CAGTATCTTGAAAATTAGAAGCAAACGGCAGAGGCAAAGGCGGCCCGAATGTCTCTCTTGTGAAATCGAAACAGAGTAAGAAACAATTAAGGCCATATTGTGTGTCTGCAGCGAACCAGTAGGTGTTTCCCTTTAAAGATAGACCACGTTCACCACATCTTATCATCCAGTCGTTGTTTCGAGGAACAAAGTCATCAATAATAATCCTCCATGAATCACAACTCAAGTCGTAGATTTTAAACTCGACAAAACTCATGGAGAGAAAATCACTAAACCTCAAGACTTTGTGAGACTTACTGTTAGTGTCGTACCCGAGAGCATACGTATAGTTGTCCATTGCGTGGGGATTATGTGTTTGCTCGATCCACCTGGTTTGCCCCAAGTATGGGTTCCAAACCACGAGCCTGGAGGAGCGATCTTTGGGGATGCATAACAATAAACCGTCGCAATGGAAGATTTGACGCACATCGATTTGATCTGAACCGTCTGGGCCAACAAGTTTAGCTTCACGCTCTACACCTAATTTGCTGACGTTGGAAAGATTGAATCTCATCAAAAAAACCCTATAATCCATCATCATGACCACAAGAGTGTCGTCTTTTGCTTCTTCTTCTGCAACTTTTGCTTGATGAGCAAGGTGCTTCTTTGCAAATACGCCACATCTCGACAACGTGTTCCACTTTTTGCAAGTGGATCGGACTGGTCTCAGAGATGTCACCGGAATTCGACAGAGCACCTCCTCAGCCATATCCTTTGGAAGATCACACATCTTCATCTGAAGAAACAGAACCTTGTCTTAAACCCAAATTTCCTTGTTGTCGGAAAAAGTTAGGTCAACCTACAATTGAATAAAAATAAAGCAACTTACTTGTCCTCGTTATGTCCTGAGATTGCAAATTTCTTTCGCCTCTGAATTATATATAACAACTGAAGAGGCAGAAACTCTCAAGGAATTGGATTCGATTAAGACAGAAGAAAGAAAAAACATAAACCCAAATTAATTAGGAGAGAAAATAAAAATAAAACTTTAATTTTCATGTTTGTGATTCCCGGCCTAGCTAGATAGCAACAACTGATGAAGACACAAGGAGAGGATTCACTCAACTTATAAGCTTAGAATCACAGATAGCAGTAACTGCCTCATCTCCCCCGCACCACCGTCATCCTTTGCCGCATGAATAAGGTAATGCACGATACACACAAGGTTTTCACCAAGATGATGATTTCACTCAAAAATATGTCTCCTTTGGAGTCAGCAAGTGGCTTCGATATGAAGAATCTGTAGGCGCCAAATTTACAAGATAGGCAAATTTGATATGTAAAGCAAGAAAATGCAAATAACATGAATCAAAATACAATAATTTAATACCGTAATTAAAAAATAAATGGACTGAAGCAGAGTCGAGACTAAGATCTCTTTCCTTAATCCTTTAGACGCACGCATGTAGTGTGTCGATTTAATACGTTTAAGAATCTTAAGATACAACTGCCTATATCTTCGATTTCACAGCACTTAATAATCAAAACCGGTCGAATCTAGAATCTATGTTATACTCTTAGACACAAAAAAAAAAGTAAGAGATTGTTGTTTTTGTTTTCTTGGCTGTGTGTTGTAATGAGAAGAACACTATAGCTATTATATAGCCACAAACCAAACCATACGTCTGTCTTCGATCACACCTTCAACGTATAGTAATTAATATGGAGATTCGAGAATTATTCTCTCATTATAATATGGATACTAGATTTTGACCCGCGCTTTTAAAGCACATGTATATTTTTATTTTAACAGAACTGAATTGAATTTATAATTTTGATTAGAAAATAAATGGTTTTACAGTTTTCAATTTGTGTTTCAAAAAAATTGTTCTATTATAATACTTGATTTTCAAGCGGTGTTTTCATATCTAACCCAGACCTTTGATTGAACCAATAAATCCGGTGATATGTATATAATTCAGTTCAATTTAATAAAAAGAATTGTAATTATAATCTTAGAAAATATGGTAAGAATCTAAAAATGCGCTATTGACCTAATATGTTTATTAAATAATTCATACTTCTTAATATTATATAAAATTGAAAAAAAAAATATTTAGACTTTAATGAGATTTGTATTATGTCATTTGAAGAAAATTAAACAATGGTAATAGGAAACTTCATTATTGATATAAAAACATTATTTCCTTTTTTTGGTTACTAATAAGCTATGATAAGTTTGTATTTTTATTTATTTTTAGATCTAAAACTTAATTTTAAGATAAGTTTAATTTTTTTTTGATAAAAATTGGCAAATTGTTATTATGTAAAAATGACAATAACAGTTTTTTTTTTGAAATTTACATGTATATATACATATCCGATCTTTAAATAATATTATAGATGGAAAAATGATATTCAAATTAAATAGAAAGTATGATCTTCATAAAAATTAAAATTATTATCATTTACAAAATATGGAAAGTATTAATTACCATAGTTATAGAGAATATTCTATTTTTAGTTTAAATTAAATGTTAATAGGAAAGACTTGTAAATATATTGAAATGTAGGTGCAAGATTCTAAATTTTTAAAATAGGATTCCGCTATAATTGTATAAATGCTTTTAGCAAAAATTACAAAATTGAAATCAACTTTTCATTCATTCTCTTAAATCACGTTTACCATGCCTATCATCACTAGAAAATATATTTTCCCATTCCAATTTTTTAACTTTGTCAACAACAAAGTCCAAAAATAAAGATTTAGACCAACAAATATAATTTTGTTTTTAAAACTATCAAACCATTAATTAAATTTCAAAACATGAAAATTATGTATGGTCCAAATATCTTTTCTTATATAATTAAAACTTTAAACTTTAATATGTTTCTCCATTTTAAATATAAGAAGATTTCCACCTCATAATTCTAATATAAGTATTTAATTAATAATCTCATATTAGAATTTCATTTCTCATTCAAATAAACTTTGTTTTTTGGGCATATGATTATACTATATCATAATACCCACAACAAGAAATTCAAAAATTCCATCCAAAATTATTGGTCATACCAACTTGTCAAAAAAACAGTTCCAACAGAATCTCATCGCCTGGTCTAGGTCTTCAAGATACACAGTTCCTTCTTGCTTCATTCATGTCAAGCCAATCGAAGTTATCCATGAATCTACGAAAGTTGTAAATATAGATTCCTTCCTCAAACAGCTCTGGCGCTAACCATGCATTGCTTATAAGGAAAGGAAAAAGTTGATGCCGATTGTAGACAGAGCCGTGTGGGCACAAGTTGTGTACATAAGCCATAAATAAATTGTGCACAGATGGTGTACCAAGCAGAACGGATTTTCACCGCGGTGATAATTCTGTCTCGTAAACACATGCATCGCCTTCTTCAGGCCTCACCAAAGAGGCTTCAGTATAAGTGACCTCGCCTCAGCCCTTGCTACAGTTGGTCCAGATCTGCAATTCCTTCTCCTATCCTCCTCCATGTCGTCCCACTCAAAATGATCCCAAAATCTACGATGGCGATACAAAAATATTCCTTCCTCTAGCGGTTGCGGCCCCAACGGTGTCGGCTTAGACGGAAGGATATAGCTTGATGTCTGTTGTAAATCGCCACAAGATCCTCCTGATTCAGCCAATCAAGAGTCGATATGTGGAAAACCTCTTCGATGCCGTCGTTGTAGTGCTCATCTTGGAGATTCGTAGCCATTATCTTTCAATCTTTCAGAGAAGCGCGAGACTAAAACAAACTTTTGATTCTTTTACTAGTATAATACTCTTCACCGTCTTTTTTAAAGCTTTTTACATTGGGCATTTCTTCGGAATATTATTAACTTCAAGCTGAGCTTTGTATTTTTTTATAGTAATGAGGCTGTCGTATCGTGTTTCTGGTTGGGTATAGCTTTGCATCGCTTTGTGATAAAACGCCGTGATGTTCTAGTGCTTTGTATAACCAGGATCATTTACACTGTGTTGTTCTCTACTATAAACCGATCAATCACAGTCTTTCTGATTCCACAACTTGACATGCTTGATGCTTTACAATACTTATGAACAAGACCACTCCATCATCTCCATGTACTTTAGCTTGGGCTTAGACCTAGTTCCACTATTTTTGTATGAAATCTCAGAAACTTGTTAATAACTGCAGAAATGAATGGAAGTTGTTATCACACAAGGTGGCGACGAAAGGAAGGTCAAGTTACCTGAGTATTTCGGTGAAGGATCCAAACCGAAACGACAACGTTTCATCGCATGCAATTTGGACGTTTGTAAAAAAATTTTAAGCATTTGGGTGAAGGGATAGTATAGTTTTTTTTAAGCATTCATTCAACATTCCCACTAGATATCAAGAGATTTCTTGGAGACAGGGAACAAAACCGGGTGGTTCAGGCAAGAAAACCGGTTACTCATAGCCCCTAAACGAACTAAGTCGAGTGTTCACCTATGGCGAAATGAACCTACCATCTTGTGATCAAAAGATTACAAGAATCTTCCAGAAACAACAACAAGCCCTTGACCGCTAGCAGCAAAGCACATTTGTGCAAAAGAAATAACATAGAGAGAGATAGAGAGATGAAGAAGAAATTTATACTTTTTTTTCTTTGAATTAACCATAGTGTCCTGCTGCCAAAACCAAATGATTTTGATGCCCAAAATTTGATTTATTATTAAATGTAAATGTAAATGCCAAAATTGAATCAATGTGCCTGCCCTAAGAGAAGTTCATGGTGATACTACATAAAAAATAAACTCTTAAATAATTGTTAGTATATCATGGTGATACTTACATAAAAAAATTAATTCTTAAATAATGTATAAGAAATCTATACTTTGAGAAACTCTTATAGAATTGAATCAATGTGCCTGCCCTAAGAGAAGTTCTTTAGTGAGAGTAAGAGTCCCAATTTACCAAATATAAAACTCCCAACCAGATCATATTCCAGAAATACAGAAATGCATAAGAACACAGAGCATAGATAAAGTGTTTGAGTCATTAACCATGATAGCCAGAACAAAATGCATACAATCAAGAAACATGAGAAGACATTCAAAACTTAAATATCTAAATCATTGTTCTTCACTAGAAACCATTTTTTTCTGCAATATCCTCATAGTAAAGTCTTTTATTTAAACACATGGAGATTAACATCATATTAGTCTGTGTAAGAAGTTCAAGTGAAAAATCACTAAACCCCAAAAGATAAAGAAAAAAAACATGTTTATAAGCTAATCAAAGTATAATCATCATCATCATCATCACAAACTGTAATGATCCCATCTTTCATCTCAAAAGAAAAGATAAAAAACCTTTTTTCTTCATTTCTTGATTTTCCTTTGCTGCTTCTTAGGACCAGGAACCTCTAACCTCCCAACAGAACACCCACACTTCGCCCTAAAAACCAACACCGCCCTACCATTAACCGGAGCCATCTTCTTCAGCTCCGCCTCCAACTCACGATGATGATCACGAGGCAACTCAAACAACCCTTTCTTACTAACAACACTCGCACTCGACGATCCCTTAACACAATCCTCCGTCTCTAACTGAATATCAAACTCCGCATTAGCCTTCCCAAGCCCTCTACAATCAGGCTTCCCGCATTTATTCCGACTAGAAACTAATATAACAATCATCCACGCCGACAAGGCCGTACACGACACGCTCAGCGCGATCAAACCGTATACGATCGGGTCAGGGTTACGGAGAATCTCTTCCTTGACTAAACAAGAGATGTCTGAGAAGATCTCAACGGATTTGACGGTGATGAATCTGATGTAAGGGAAGATCAAGAAGCCTGATGATGTTACGACTGCGATTAGGATCAAAACGTCGATTGCTGCTGATGGAGATCCGTCGCAGCAGATTGATGATGATGATGATGATTTGCGATTGGTTCTTGGCTTGTTGTTGTGGTGATGAGACATGATCGGTGATTGATGTTCTACGACGGAGATCGAGCTCTGGAGATGTACCATCTCATAAACCGATTCCAAATCCGATTCGGATCAAATCGCAATCAAATCGATCCACCAATTCCTGGGGACAAAAAGAAAAAAAAAACTCAAATCAGATAAAATTGGAGTGGACCTGATTGGATCCGATCGAGAACTGATCGTGAAATCAAATTGAAACGCACCGAAACGGAAATTAATCGAAAATGATGAAAATCTTCAAACTCCAATTCATACGAAAACGAAATTGATTTTTTTTTTTTTTTTCCGTTTAGTAATCAAATCTAATTGTATACACCACGTCGAAGCAGTGATGGGGATGTTAAATAAGAAGAGGAAATGGAGAAGTCGGTAAGGTAACGTAATCGCGGGTGAAACTAGTGCATCAGAATATATAAAAACAGACAGAACAGGGGAAGCTATCTGGTGTCGGAGAATTCAATATGTAAGAGGAAAAAAAAAATTTCAGATCGTCATCATTAATGTTTTTCACTCTTTTACGGTCCGAATCGATGGAAGGTCGTGTCGTATTACGAAGGAAAGAGAGGAAGTCACACGCGTTAAGATAATCAAACCCTCAAATCCTTCTTGCCTAGGTGTATGGTTATGTGTCGTATTAAAATATATCAAAGTTGTTTTTATTAATTTTTTTATACTTTCTTGATTTCGTGGGTCACTACTACTTATGCTAGACTTCACTTTCCGTAGGCTTCATTACATTATTAAAGGATTGTCTGAAAAGAAGAGCAAACCAATACTTTAATAATGAGTAGTGGTACTAATATTAAAGGCCCAGATTCACTATTCAAGCCCAATTTCAAGCCCAATTTTTCATGTTCGTTGGTTTTTCTGTCGGGTGTGGTTTGGTCAATAGGTCCGAAGCTACCTACCTACCATTCAAAGGCTATGTAATTTTTTAAGAGTATCTTATCAAATTTGGCAGGGCACTGATTTTCATAAACCCTTTTGCTAATCACATGCTTCAACACCATTTTAACTTACATTTTTAAAAAATTTGATGTTTTATTACACAAGTTATGGATTCATTTGTCTTGTTATGTGTTATCATTTTAAGTGGACGGCTAAAATATTAATATGTCAACATGGCTCATATGTATTCAACCTAAGTCAAACCTTGTTCCCTAGCTAATAGAGAAAAAACACGGTAATCGATGTCTTTTCTATATTCAGCGTCTTGGTTTCTTGTTTCTTTTCCAATAACCCAACATACATATTTTTTTTTCATATTCCAAAGTCCATACTTGCCAACCTCGTGGACGATACCCTAAGTGCCTAACTTTATGAGAATTGTATTATCAGAAAAATTAGGCAGACTTCATGTAGTTTATAGGGATTTAGTGAAATAGCTGATCAGTTATTTACGCGGTAAATAACTTTTACAAAGAAAACAATAACTTTTACAAAAAAAAGTCGCTGATATTCTTTGCTTCTTTGGTAGTGGCAGACATGAGGAGCTCGACTCCAGTTCATATCACGTGGAGTCATGGGGGCTACACGTGTAACCACACGTGCGAGTTTGCTTCACAATAATCCACTGGCGATTAAGACATAAGTAAGTTTTATTATATAGTTCTTTTATATGATGACCCAGCTATATAGAACTGAGTATTGTAATCAATCAATCAGATCTTTCTTCATTGGATCTGAAGCTGAAGCAGTTTCCAGGAAAAATGGAAAATCTTGAAAGTAAAGGCTCCTTTTTCTCTTTATTAAAGTTCTACTTATTATAATATATGAATGGATTAATAACTAAACAAATTATTAAAATAGTTCTATACAGTTTATTATAAAGAAAACCACCAGAACTTCGAACAGACAGCAATGGGTCAATCTTGTTTCTTCAGAGTTCTACTTGTTTCCTCTCTTATACTACTTATATTCTTCTCTAATGGTAATCTCTGTTACTAGTGTCATCTTCTTCTCCGGCTTCATCAACTGTTAGAATAATATTAAACGTTTTATCTTTTTTTGGAAGCTTATATTTACTGTGGTTGCCTGATGATGTTTGTTTGTGGATTTTTAAGCAATGGGAAGAAACTTGCGAACTGCAAAGTTGTCAGGAGTTCACAGCACTGCTGAGTTATTTCCTTCCAAGGTACTTCTCTGTTCCCCACTTCTATTTAGTTAATTTTATTCTGGTAAAAAAAAATGTTAAGTGATACAAAATAACGATAATTAGGCCGTATGAACTTATATTGGATGTAAAGAAAGAAGAACAAAATTCTCCCAACAAAATATCACATAGGATTTATTCCCTGTTAAATGGTATTTGAGATTCTAGGTCTTGTTGTACTTTTTCATTTATAACTAGTGTTAACCATATGTTAAACAATTTTTCGTTGCAATAATGCCAAAGCGTGCAAGTCAAAAAGATATCAAAGACACTTCTAAACCACTGGTTTACGCTTTGGACTTGGCTTTTGTATCTCCGTTATGGTAAATCCACTTGTTTCATATGGGTGAAACATGAGGATCATAACTGAGACAAACAAATTAACAAATCGAGACATATAAGTAACCCACCACCCAGCATAATTTATCGAAAACGTCAGATCTAAGTTCATGTCACTTACCCCAACTCGAAAGCAGTCAATATTTTTTGTTAATTATATATATATATATAGAGTTATGTTTGCAATAATATTTCAAATGAAAAATACAGGATGACAATGTGCGGAATATGATCGAGTTGATGGACTACAAGCCGCCCGAGTCTAACACCAATTGGAGTGGTTTCGTCGCTGCTCCTCCTCCCCAATCTCCTCCACCTCCATAATTTTTTTCAAACGATGAAAAACTCTTTTCAGTTTTATTTTTGCAAACAACGTTTGATGTCTGAATAGTTTGGCAATAAATAACAGTATGTAATTTTAAACACTTTGATGTGTAAGCTTTACTGAATTGTGGAAATTGTGAATTCAAAATGTAACATAAATTGATTGGTGGATGCATGGAAAACACCATTCTAGTTGAAAATATAATACTTCTTGTCAGCGTTTCAAGATTGTACACCTTTCTTGGTTACAAATGATTAGCAAAAACAACTGGAATGAACTATCTTATAGTAACTTCTAACTATGCTATTTTTTAAAAAAAACTTACTGTCTGCAAAAAAAAAAAAAAAAAAAAAAAAAAAACTCACTGCTTGCAACATCTATTTTTTTTTTTGATAAAAAAAAAGCCTTAAGGGCCCAAATAAGATAAACGATAAAAAATGGGGCAATAATGACAATAATTAAAAGATGGAGGCGTATTAGTAAAATCTGAAATGATATAAACTAATTGAAAAAAAAACTGGGAAGAACAACCGATTAAATTTCCGCGCAAAAACCCTAACCTCAAATCCGAAGAATCGATTCCTCAACAGATTCAAAGGTTCGCACTTTCCTTTTTTTCACCCCTCCAAATCCATGCGTCTCTGAGATCGTTAAACAGAATCGAAATCTCTAATCTTTTTTCTCATTCGTTGAGCTCGTTTCACTAGAAATAAAACAGTTTAAAGTTTGATATGTTTATTGAATCTTCTGCGATAAAACTGTTTTAATTATGAATACGTTTAGATAAATGTGCAACAAAGTTGCATACTTTCATGTTTGTTTTAATAGTTCTGATTATTTGATTTACTATTGTGATTGAAAGGTACAGACTTTACCTTTTGTCTTTGTTAAAATGTCACCGGATGATAAAAAAAGTTCCAATTTTGATATGTTTATTGAATCTTCTGTGATAAAAAATGTTTAATTATGAACACGTGTAGATAAATGTATAACAAAGTTGCATACTATAAATTCAAAGTTCTGATCTTTTTAATTTATATTATGATTGAAAGGTACAGACTTTCTCTTTGTAACAATGTCACCGGATGATAGAGACAGCCATTGGAAGAGGTCTCGTCCTGAGTCTGACCACGATGACAATGTTGAAACCAAAAAGAGACACCGTGGCGGTGAGGTTAGAGACTCTGTTGTGATTGACCGTGATGACACTGTGTTCCGTTACCTCTGCCCTGTTAAAAAGATTGGGAGTGTGATTGGTAGAGGAGGAGACATCGTCAAGCAGCTGAGGATGGAGACTAGGGCGAAGATTAAAATAGGGGAGGCGGTTACAGGGTGTGATGAACGCGTGGTTACTATTTATAGCGGTAGTGATGAGACTAATGATGGTGGAGATGGAGAGAAAGTAGTTCTTTCTCCTGCTCAGGAGGCTTTGTTTAAGGTTCATGATAGAGTTGTTGCGGATGATGGGGATGGTTCTGATGGAGGAGAGAAGAGTGTTACGGCTAAGCTTCTTGTTCCTTCGGATCAGATTGGTTGTGTGCTTGGGAAAGGTGGTCAAGTTGTTCAGAATATTCGGAGTGAGACTGGTGCTCACATTCGTGTAAGCAAGGATAGGAACATGCCTCTTTGTGCTTTGAATACAGATGAACTCATTCAGGTGTGTGTTGGTGACTTGGTGCTATGTGCGTTTTACTTTTGTTGCATTTTCTGATGTGTTTCTCTTTTTTTAGATATCTGGAGAAGTGCATATTGTTAAGAAGGCTCTGCATCAGATTGCCTCCCGTCTTCATGATAATCCTTCTCGTACTCAGAACCTTCTTTCTTCTGCAATTCCCGGTGGATATACTTCTGGTACTCGAATTGTAGGGATAGCCCCGGTGATGGATCGCTATGATGCAAGAGATTGGTCACGTCCTTTATACCGAGATCCTAGAAATGAGTCACCGGCTACAGATTTCTACATCCGGCTAGTTTCGCCAGTTGATAACATTGCAAATGTTATTGGTAAAGGAGGTGCTCTAATCAATCAGCTTAGACAGGAAACGAGAGCCACCATTAAAGTTGATAGCAATAGAACTGAAGGAAACGATTGTTTAATAACTATTTCAGCAAGAGAGGTTTTACCTTTTGTTCTTTTAGGTATGAACAGTTTGTCTAGTTTTTGTTCCTTGAACAGTGTGTGTCTAATCTGTTTCAGGTTTTCGATGATGCGTACTCCCCAACCATAGAAGCAGCTATGCGGCTGCAACCAAAATGCAGCGACAAGGTGGAAAGAGATTCTGGACTTGTTTCATTCACAACTCGTCTTCTTGTGCCGAGTTCAAGGATTGGTTGTCTTCTTGGTAAAGGAGGAGCTATCATAACCGAGATGAGAAGAATGACCAGAGCTAACATCCGCGTACTCGGGAAGGATAATCTTCCAAAAGTTGCATCGAAAGATGATGAGATGGTTCAGGTACACTTCACAATAACATTATATCCAGCATTGAAAGCCCTTCGCGTGGAGATTCTAACAACAGAAGCTATCTTGATATTCAGATATCCGGAGAACTTGATGTTGCCAAGGAAGCTCTCATACAAATCACATCAAGACTAAGAGCCAACGTATTTGACCGAGATGGTGCTGTTTCTACGCTTATGCCGGTCTTGCCTTATGTTCCTGTTGCACCAGATGGTGGTGATAGATTCGACTATGATAGTAGAGATAGGAGAAGACCTGAACGCGGGAATCCTTATCCTAGTGGTTATGGCTCAAGTGGTTTGTCTGAAGGCTATTTGCGGGTATGTCTGGTTAAAGGTTCAATTACATGTGGTTTTCAACATATCAGTTCTCTGTTAATGACTCTTTGGACGTGTTTTTGTAGTTTGGTGGTCGTAGTAGTACTTCAAATGGAGTGTATGGAGGTTATGCATCTGGACGTAGTGGCAGTTCTGGGTGAGATTATTATGCCTAGTATTGTTATCAAGTGTTTCTTGTGGTTGATCCTTATCTTGGGTTTTGTCATCAGGTTATCCAGCTATTCCTCTACCCATCGACGCAGAAACTATGACTATTAGACGCTAAAAAGGGTATGATTAAGACATGATTTGTTTTTTTTAGTCCTTTTAAACTTAGTTTACCTAGTTTAACCCCCACCAAGTTGATGAGATAATCTGATCTGATTTGTCCCGGTGTCAGATTCTGATACACTGTTTTTTCTCCCTTTGTGACCTTTTTCCCCCGTCCCAATAAAACAGTGTGTGAGATCCTGAAGCCTGAAGCCAACCCCCACAGCTGAAGCTTTTCACCAAACAAGATTACGTCTGGATGAGATAATTTAGTTTGTTTCCATTGTCCGCTTGTGACCAAAAAATACTGCCAAGTTCCTACCCGTTAAAAACCATATCCAGTTGCCTGTAATAGCTTTCAGTTTACCTTGTCTTTCCTTGGATCAGACTCAGAAACCCTTTAGTTTCGTAGTTCCATTTTTATGAATTATGTTAAAACATGACTAGGTAATCATAAAATATAACCTTATAATTGATCTTTCAGAGTCTTTAAAGATCATATGCAGGGAAAAGCAATGAGTGAGAGAATATACCACAGTTCTCGCCAAGACATTGTTAAGGTAAATAAACCACTTGGGCAGCATCAATCTGTTGACCCTTTTGGTCCACATTAAAAGGTATATAAATTTCTTCTTCATCTCTCTCTCTGTGTTATATCTTTCACAAAATAATACTTCTCTGCTAGCAGTCAAGGACAGGTTGCTATTTCTGGAAGATTATTTCTCGTAATCTTTTGATCACTAGATGTTGGTTTATTTCGCCATAGGTGAACACTCAACTTAGTTAGGGCCTATGAGTGACCGGTTTTCTTGCCTGAACCACCCGGTTTTGTTGCCTGTCTCCAAGAAATCTCTTGATATAGCTTGAATGTTGAATGATTAGTTCAACTGTTAGAAGAAATTATATGTTATTTCAACTTTTCTGCAAATTATAGTTTGAACTATTGAAATGGTATTTGTGTCTCTTGTCAACTTATTTGGATCGATAGAAGATTTGTAAGTGCTTACATTTTCCATGAATGACAATAGAAACTAAAGTATTTTGATTAACGCACTATGTCCAAACATACCTTCATTCAAAGGCTATAAAACACTTAACGAATAACGTCCAATTTGCATTTGATGAAACACTTTGATTAGCAGCAACACGATGATCTCCATGGGGGATAACTTTCAAATGTCCTTTTAGTGTAATTTTACGTCAAGACATGAGAGCCAGACAGACTTACTGTTGTTGTCAACTTTTGCGTTAGTGTTATTATTATATCAGTGATAAGTCTAATCAACTAAAATCTATTTGCATCTAGCTAACAAGCCAACTCAAAAGCGTATGAAAATCATATCTTCAAAAACCGAAAAGCATACGAACTTTTGTAGATATTTAAATATTTTCATTTGGGTTAGGTCTCCTGCTTCAGTTTGATATATATTGATATCTTTTTTTAATTAATCTTAGTAAGTGTTTGACACATAACCATTTGAGTTTCAACATCTCCCATCATTTGGGGTTTGTTAAATCATATGCTGCTTGAGGCCATTATTCTAACTTATCACTCCCGCATCAAGTATAATGTTTAACTACTCCACATGGTTCCTTCCTTCAACAAGAAAAGCTTTATTAGTTGAGCTCAAGATTTTTGTACAAAAGTGGACAGAGTTTATGTTGTCCAAATTTGGAAAGATTAATCGGTTTGGTGGATTAGGAAGGTTGAATACATAGGTCCTCTTTCAGGCAAAGTCTATGAAATTATATAATAATATTATAAAAGGGAGGGATACCTTTAGCAAGTACAAGGACCTTATCATAACCACTTCATGTCCCAAATGCATGCAGTATATATACACTGAGTGATTTGCTCGCAACACTCACCAAACTCTCACACTATACCATTCTTACGTCCCAAGAAACTCAAAACTCAACATAACCCTAAGTTTCTGCGCAAGCAACCTTCAAGAAGAAAATGAAGTCTGGTGAAACTGAAAGCGTGGAAACAAGCAAAGGTATCCAGAAGAGCGGTTTGATGAGCAGAAGAATTGCGATTCTCGAGTTTATCCTCAGGATCGTTGCCTTTTTCAACACCATAGCTAGTGCAATCCTCATGGCAACCACTAATGAAACTCTGCCTTTCTTTACTCAGTTCATACGGTTCCATGCCGAATACAGCGACCTTCCAGCCTTAACGTATGTGATTTCAATTCTTGTAAACTCCTTTACCTGTTTCTTGTAACGCCTGGATCATTTCTTAAAGATTGTCTTGCTTATGATTTGATTAACCAAACAGATTCTTTGTGGTTGCGAATGCTATCGTAAGTGGTTACCTCATCTTGTCGTTACCTCTGGCCTTTGTACACATCGTCAAGAACAAGACTCAGAACAGTAGAATTCTTCTTATCTTCCTTGATGTAGTAAGCCATGAGCAAACCAAACGCTCCCCTGTTTTTTCACAAGCATTTGCCTTCTCGTTAGCTTTAATAGTTAAACAAACAGTTGACTGATTCATCCAAATGTTTTTAGGCAATGTTGGGTCTTGTTACTGCTGGAGCATCTTCAGCAACAGCTATTGTCTACTTAGCACACAAAGGGAACAACAAGACTAACTGGTTTTCTATATGTCAACAGTTTAACTCCTTCTGTGAGCGTATCTCAGGGTCTTTGGTTGGATCTTTCATTGCCGTTGTCCTCCTCATTCTTCTCATTCTCCTCTCAGCTATTGCTCTTTCCCGAACCTGATATATGAGTTCTCTTTGCCTCTGATTTATTACATGATTTGGTGTGTAAGAAAATGAGCTTTCACTTTATATCTCCTCTGCGTTTCTTGTTTTTCTTTTCTCATATCCATTGTAATTTTCTATGTGGTTCTATGCTTTCTATGTAATGGGTTTCTATGTGGTTCAGAATATCTTGTTCTTCTTTTAACATTATACTGTACTATAATCTATGCTAAATCCAGAATCATGAAAATTGATGAAATCAACATAATAGATGATGATGATGACAAGACAACACCTATTTTTATGATGAGAGTAGATATCTCATCATCAATTTGTTGTCATCATCCTCCTCAATCAAGCTATATCCAGACGGTTTTTTCACTCCAGTATCATCAAACATCTTCCTTACTTTCTGCACCCTCTCCCACTCACCAGTAGAAGCATATATATTTGAGAGCAACATATAGTCACCGCTCTCTCCTTTTCTCATACTCAGCAGTTTCTCATTTGCATACTTCCCTAACTCCACATTCCCATATATCCTACAAGCACCTAAAAGTGTTCTCCACACAATAGCGTTGGGCTCAATCTCCATCGACTCCACAAACATAAACGCTTCCTCTAATAGCCCCGCTCGCCCCAACATATCTACCATACATCCATAATGCTTTATGTTTGGTGCAATTTTGTACATTTCCTTCATATGACGAAAATACTCACGCCCTTTATCAACTCTCCCAGAGTGGCTGCAAGCTAATATAACTCCAATGAACGTCACCTCGTTTGGCCAAACTTTCAACCTTTGCATCTCTTCAAACATCTCGATTGATCCCTCTGCGTGATGCAAAGCCAAACCAACAATCAAAGTGTTCCAAGACGACAGGTCTCGTTCTTTCATCCCTCTGAAAACTTGGATTGCGCTATCTATGTTTCCACACTTTGCATACATGTCGATCAGAGCATTCCAAACAGGAGTGCCTATATACATGGACCTCGAAACCGAAGCAGTTTCCAAGATGTAGTGATGGATTCTCTTCCCAGTTTCGGAGTCTCCCAAGTCTGCACAAGCAGATAACAAACTCAGTACCGTCACAACATCTGGATGTTCACCAGCTTCCCTCATCTCCTTAAATATACTTAAACCCTCCTTAGGGAATCCACAGTTCACATAACCAGAGATCATTGCGTTCCAAGTCACAACATCTTTCTCCTTAAACTTATCAAAAAGCTCTCTCGCTCTATCCATCTCCCTACATTTCAAACAACCAGTAATCATCACATTCCAAGCAACCTGATCTTTCTCCGGCATTTCATCGAATATCCTAATAGCCTCATCTATCTTCCCTCTCTTAGCATACCCAGAAGTCAAAGAAGACCAAGCAACCTTATGAGCCTTTGCAGAGTCATCAAAAAGCTCACTTGCAATCCCTAAATCTCCACAGTTAGCATGAAAAAGTATCAAAGCGTTCTTAACATAGTCGTTGGAAGCAAACCCATGTCTCATTACTTTCCCATGAAACGCAAAACCGTTACTTCTCCACTCAAGCCTCGAGCAGGTCTTGAGAACAAACGTAAACGTATACCTATCAGGCCTCACACCTCGTCTCTCCATCTCTTTATACAAAGAAACAGTCTTTCCTGGTTTCATGCTCTGAGAAGTGCCGCGTAGGACGTGGTTACATATCGATACGTCTAGTTTGGGAATTACGTCGAACAACTTGTGTGCGTAAGTAAGAGCACCAGGAATCGATAAAGAAGCTGAGTAAATTAGCTCTCCGACAACGGAGAGGTCGGACATGAGTTCGTTAACGACCATGAAAGCGTGAATTTGCTTCAAAGATCGGAGACTTGTGCAGTTCTGCCATAGTTTTGGTCGGTTTCGTGTAGCGGTTCGGTCGTTGGTTTGCTTCCTGATCATCTCCGTTTCATGTCTCTCTGTTTCGCGTCGGTATTCATATATGATTTCCGGTTTAGTAAATTCGAACCGGAACCAGAATCAATTAATGTAATTCTTATTCATGCAAACCGGTTTATACACTCATCTAGTTTTCTTGTTGAGCGGTGAATAAAAGACAGTTAAACATTCGAACCGGTTTATATGATTTTCGGTTTAGTACAATCGAACCGGAACCGGAACCAGAATCAATTAATGTAATTCTTGTTCATGCTAACCGGTTTATACACTGGTCTGGTTTTCTTGTTGAGCGGTGAATAAAAGACAGTTAAACACTCGTACTAATGTACTGTTTACTGAGTTTGTTCGTATCTTCTCGGTCTGACATGTCTTAATTGTTGCTTAACTCTTTTGAATATGACTTTTCAAGTAATTGATCTGTCACTACTCAAACCATTTATTAAGGTTAGTCCTTTTGACTCTGTTTTGTACAAAAGTTTCTATGATTGATTGATTATTAATTTATTACTATTAAATACAAGTTGTATGATTGATTGATCATGATTACAGACGAACTTATGGATGGGAGCTTAATTACTTGGACATGATGTGACTGAGACCAGCAAGTTACTTTGGATTAGCTTCAAAAAAAGTTTATTTTCAAGAAACCCAAATGATGTTATGTCATTAATTAATGTTTTAGTTGTGTCTAAGAAGCAGAGAGAGTCTGTAATACTATTATGAATTTTAATATTAAAGGAAGCAAATTTGTTTATTTATTTTTCCATTGAGTGAGTTGCTTAAGGTTTAGAACATGTTTATTGAGGAATTCTTAGCGTGGGGTTCTTAGCGTGGGTTCTTATAACAGATTTATTGCAGTTGCTTAAGACAATTGCTTAGAATATTTTATAATTAAAAAAAAAGGAACTAGGAAGAAAAGAGAAGAGATGTTGCTTAATTAAGCAATAGAATGGTGTGTTGCTTCCTATGCTTTTCATCTTTTGATGCTACTTTCTCTTTCTCTTTTCTTTGCCCATTTTTTTTTTCATTAGCCCACTTAAACAACTTTTAAAAAAATTTAGCAATAAACATGCTTTTAGCGGTGTATAAGACTCTGTTTCTTAACTTTTAAATAAAAAAGTTAAGAATCGGCTCTTAAATAAGATATTTAAAAACCGGTTCTTAGTTTTTTTATTTAAAAGTTAAGAAACGGAATTTTATATTCCGTTAAGAACCCCACGCTAAGAACCTTTCAATAAACATGTTTTAATAGACTTGTTTTCCACGCGAACTATGCCTTTAATTGCAATCGCTTGTCAGGGTGATGCAATATGCATGCACTATTGAATGGTAGCAAAAAGAGACTTGGCTAATCCTATGTCTTTTTCTATAATTATGTTCGAAAGGGGACCTTGTGTATATCCGAGTTTACTAACATTTTATGATAGTTTTGTTAAGCTTTTTTTTTTTTTTAACTGTAAAAACTGTTCTTGTGTACCAGCTTAAAAGCTGCACCAACTACCAAACCAAGCTACAAGTGTTGAAATCTTTTCAGTCCGATGTTGCAGATTGAAAAGATGCATATTAGTCTCTGCGCAGATGGCATGATTCAAGAGGCTCAGTTTATGTTTTCATAGATGTGTGGCTTATTGGTTTTTGCAATGTTAGCAACAAATGTGGGAAGCCGTGGATCGACAGAATATCGACAAGTGGCACAATTTATGAAGGCAATATTGAAGTATGTTAGGACCATACAGAGTGTAGAAGCTGGCAATATGGAGTCAGAAAGACATTTATAAAGTTTGTCCCCATTGTCCTTTACATCATTTGAAGCCAATGTGATTTTCTTTTGATCCATGAGCTCTTCTCTCTCTCTCTCTTCTTCATCTTCACCTTTCATATTCACATTTATACATTTTAAATAATAAAAAAAAACTGATTTCTTTTTGTGTTTATTTGTACAATTCTTTATGATTTTGTCTTTATTGCTCTCTTATTTGATAAAGATACTTGTTATACCCTACAAGCTTGGAGCCCACCTCAATAAATCCATCTTTTATAGACTTCATGGAACATTAAGCTACTCTTCATTGTTTGCGTGGTCTAGTAAAATCAAAATCTCTTTAATGTCACCGCTTGCCTTCATAAATCATCTACCTTTCTTGGTAGGATAATTTACCTTGCTGGTAACATTTGTACACCTGCAAGGTACTATAACCACATAAAGATCAAATCAAGTCGTCTGTGTTTTAAACTGAACTGATCTGAAAGTTGTGATGCTACTATGTTCTCAGAGGATGTCCAAATGTTTTTTGAATACAATGTTTGTTATTGTTCTTTAATCTAATGTGAAAATTTTGATACTCACTGACTTGACACCAATAACGATAAAGCAGCCAATGAACATGTCATTAAATGGTGAAGAAACCACTGCACAAGAGAAGTCTTTTCAGCAAGAAGTAGAATTTCTCTACAACCACATAATGCTTTCCAAATAATTTAGGAAGCATAGTGGCGTGTATCACAATATTTTCTTGACAATACTATTAATTGCCTATGCTATATGGTTTATTTTGTTGCATTCCTAATATAGTGTTGCGTGTGAGTTTTATTGTAGTCATAATGTACAGAGGTTAGAATTTTACCATATCCAGAGAAACAAAAAAATTGAGTTGTGAAGAAAGTCTTTGCAATAATGAATTTACTTGCAACTACTAAGTTTTCTCCTACTTCATGCTCTCTGTCCGATTTGTTTCTCTAGTGTCAGTTTCCTATTAGTCACCGCCTTTTTTAACAGCATTTAGTAATCTACTCCTTTTAGTAAAGGTTGATGAGAGGTAAGAAAAGTGAAAAGAGAAACCAATAATGTAGTGTGACTTAATAAGAGATGACTAGTTATAGTACTATACATATACATAGAGGGTAATACATTGAGAACGTTGTGGACTTTAAAAATAACTTGAGGGTAACTAAAACAAACCAAAGGCATCTTAATTTTCTTTTTCTCAACCATATTGTTAAATTTTTAGGCAAGTTCAATGCGGAAAAACAATGATAGCACATACCAAATGAAATGATGAAACTAGAGTCCTAGAACCGGATATGTTGAAGGCGAAAAAGTTGCAGAACCCATAAATATAAGGGGGTTATTGAGTTTAGATTATATAAGATCATCAAAGAGATGAAGGCTATTTAGTAGCCAGTGACCTAAATTTACTTCTAGCACAAGAAATAACTGCTTTAATCTTGTGATATAAAGAAATTACAGTGGCAGGTAATAAAAGATCACCTTGCTTTGGTGTGTGTGTGTGTTATCTCTATCTCTCTCTCAGAGTTATGTTAGAGAAGAGGACTTGTTAATTCCAGGTCTTCTAGCTACAAAAGACAATAACTTCTGGAGACCCCATTGTTAATAAATGCTCATCCATGTGAGATAGCCGGGAAAACAGGGGATTCATTTCATTTTTCTCGTGTATGTCTTTCCCTCTCCTCTATATATCATCCTTCAGTTGTAACATTTCTACAACTGTAGCCAAATATACCATTCCTTTGTGTTCAATGGTGATGACTGATGAGTGAGATATCTCTTATTACCTTCTTCTTCTTTGATTTGTGATAAAAGATTCAGTTTTAGTTTATTTTTGGGAAGCAAAATGGGTAGATCACCGTGCTGCGATAAATTGGGTTTGAAGAAAGGACCATGGACACCAGAAGAAGACCAGAAACTTTTGGCTTATATTGAAGAACATGGACATGGAAGTTGGCGTTCATTACCTGAGAAAGCTGGTTGGTCAATGATACTTTAATATCATCTATTCTCTGTATATTTCAAAACTTTTTTTTTGTTCTCATCTTATCTTCCTTCATTCTCAATCTCAGGTCTACATCGATGCGGGAAGAGTTGCAGACTAAGATGGACTAATTACTTAAGACCTGACATCAAAAGAGGCAAATTCAACTTGCAAGAAGAACAAACCATCATTCAACTCCATGCTCTGTTAGGAAACAGGTGGTCGGCTATTGCAACTCATCTGCCAAAGAGAACAGACAACGAGATCAAGAACTATTGGAACACTCATTTGAAGAAACGGTTAGTTAAAATGGGTATTGATCCAGTGACTCATAAACCCAAAAACGAGACTCCTCTTGGTTTATCCAAGAACGCAGCCACACTTAGCCACATGGCTCAGTGGGAAAGTGCTCGCCTTGAAGCTGAAGCAAGGCTTGCTAGAGAATCAAAGCTTCTTCACTACCAAAGCAAAGCATCATCCCATAATCATCATGGGTTCACTCATAAGTCATTGTTAACCACTTGGACAACAAAACCAAACCAAGGTAAAACAAAACAGAACATAAACATGAAATCAGTTAACAATTAGATACCTTATACTCCCTCTTTTTCTAAATTAATGTCACTTTGACATTTTTCATGAAAATTAAAAATATTATATAATATACTAAATATATCCCTATAATGTATGATTAATTAATTTAAAATAATTTAAATAAAAATCTATTGATTATTTAAAATGATAAAAAATAAATTTAATGTACAAAATTATATTGAAATCATAAAAATACATTTTTTGAAAAAAAAAATTAAAATGACACTTATTATAAAACAAAGGAGTATATAACATTATATATTATATACATATTTTTGATATCTTATATTTTGTAGGCAATACAGACCAACAACAACAACAACAGCTTGAATCTCCGACATCAACAGTGTCATTCTCAGACATCAAGGAACCATCCACTGGAATCTCGGCCAAGATGGAGTTCGTGGGATCATCAACGGGTTTGGCTCTGATCAAAGAACCTGAAAACGATTGGATCAGTACAACGATTTTCGAAGCCACGCAAATGGCTGAAGGAGTGGAAGAAGGCTTCACGGGTCTCTTGCTAGGAGGCGATACACTAGGACGGAGTTTCTCCACGGATAAAAACGAGAGGGAGGGAAATAATAATGATGGTGAGTGCAACAACTACTTCGAGGACAACAAGAACTATTTGGACAGTATTTTCAACTTTGTTGATCCTTCACCGTCCGATTCAACTCCCATATTCTAAATTAAGGTGGTTGATATTTTTCTTGGGGAATGGTTTTGATTCTTGTAGTTATTAGTAGTTGTTTGAACCAATCATATGATCTATCTTTCATATGAAAACTTTCAGAAGAAAGAAAACAATTCATAAATATCCATTCAATCTTTTCTATGCAGTCTCAATTCCAATCACCTTTAACCAATATGTATACTGGTGCATACCATGAGAGTTGTGTCCAACATGTTTTTGGAAAGGCAACCGCCTCTCTGGACACAATTATGGTGGTATACATTAGTATAACCTGTTTTTGATCAATTAAGTGAACATTTTTGGTTCGTATGTTCCCTTAATTAACCAAAGATAGACTATTTTTATTATTTTCATTAATATTTTTCTACAAATAATAATATTTTGTGAAATCTTGGTAAATGATTGGATAGTCATTTATGTTTAATGGTAAACAATATATGCATATGATTTTTGAGCGTCTTTTGATAATATTTGTTTTGTTTGGACATTTGATTATTTCAGATATTCTAAACTTATGCATACTTATTTTCTTGTTTTTTTACTGTTTTTTTGCTTCTTCTTTTTTTAGTTTTTTATTTATATTTTATCAAATATTTATTTAAGTTGTTTCATACATAATTGTATGTTATAAACTGACCATATAAATTTCTAATTTAACAGCTACTTTTCATATATTTAAATTAGTAATAATAACTTTGACCAATCAGTATACTGGTGGATACTACCACCTAGACCAATATCCATGGACAAACACCGCTAAACTATAAATTGTATACTGGTTACATAGTGAGAGTGTGGCTGTGGTGAAAACAGCACGTTGACATGTCGACTACTATAAGCCGAAATAAAAGACCGAGACAGTCTATTATTTAATGAAATAATAAATATGAACATGGTGATAATTGGATACTATTTATTTGGATATGACCTCCAAAGTGGCCCTAGAGAAAAATATCCCAAAGGTTTCTAAAAAGATATTGGTTATTGTGTTGTCATTCAGATACATAAATGATTACTGAACTGAATATTTAATTAAAAAAAAACACTTCCTCTACACTTATGGTGTTTTTAAGATTTTTACACAAATAATAAGAAATTGTAAATTTTTATGTACTTTTATCTTGGTTACATAAAATAAAATAAAATAAAATTAGTTCAACTAATAAAATAAGATATAAGTAATACTCTTTCCATTTCTGATTAATTGTTATTCTAACATAATTTTTTATTGCAAAATATATGTTATTTTATGTTTCCAAAGTAATGTTTATTCTTATTATTTTTTCATAGTTTAACTAAAATAAATGTTATGTAATTCAAATAGTCAAACAAAATTAAATCTGGATATTAAATAGTTCTTTTAGTTTGTACATAAAACTCTAGAATGACAAATGATTTAAAACGGAGGCAGTATTTTGTAACTGATTACAAATTTAAATTGACATTAAATTTTATCTAAAATAATGAGAACATTATTATTACCCCCTGTTTCATATTAAGTGTCATAATGGAGAATTTTTCCTTACAAAATAAGTGTCGTTTTCTGATTTTTAATGTGAAATTTATTAATTTTATTATACAATTTATTTTTCTATTAGTTAAAATATGGTTAGGTGTATAGGTAATTGTGTTTTTATATTAAAAATATGCAAAATTAATTAAATCTGTGTGTAAAAGTTAAAATCTTATATAATAAAAGAGAAGTCATGACTTCACTTCATGTGTGATATTTTAAAATGAACCATCTAATAGAATTTATGACATTGCATTATTCAATCATTAATAACATTTATTAGATTCACTAATAACATTTATTGGGCTTACTAGAATTTTTATTGGGCTAGTAAAAATTAGATGATCCATTGGATTTATAGATATTATAATAAAATATATATTTAAATTAAACTTATTTATTTTAATATTGTAATAGTATAAGTTAATTATTTATATATTTTTGATGTTAACTTTAAAAATTATATAGTTTATTTTAAAAAAAAAACAAAATCATCATTTTCTAACAATAATTAATCTATACTATAAAATAATTAATCATCATTTTCAATATACACCCCTTATATAATATATACCAATTTAAAAGTAAAAAAAAATGTTTATATAAAAATAAATGAAAACAAATACCCGCGCGGTTGCGCGGATTGAAATCTAGTGATACTTATAATGAAACAAATAAAAAAACTTTATATACCAAAAAAAATTAAATAGCTCATAAAAATATATAGCTTTTTTGGGTATCTTATCTTAAGAAAGCTAGTAACTATAGGCCCATTAAGAGCCCAATAATCAGCTCAAGGTGAAGTAGTAAAAGAGGGATAGCGCCACCACCACGAAGGGAATCAATCGCTAATCTGAGAGAATTGTGAAATTTAGGGTTTGTGTTTGCTGTGAAGACGACAATGACGCTACCTCCAGGACTTTACTCCGGCACCAGCTCTCTTGCTCTTGTATTATATCTCTTCTCCATCTGTATACCAAGATTTTTTGTTGTTGTCTCTGAGTTCATGTGATTGATCTGATTACTCGTCTTTGGCTTGGATAATTAGGTGGCTCGTGCTTCGGCTTTTGGAGTTGGTCTCTTCTACGGGAGCACCAAGCTCAAGTTCTTGAAGGTAATAAAATTATAACCTCTCTGCTATGAATCTCCAATTCGGTATATCTGATTGATGATTGTGAGATTTGAGTTTGGTGTGGCTACCCCAAAAACATTTGATCTCTAGCTTTTGTTATACCTCTGACTTTTGAGTTGTAATCTTTTTATAATTACCTTTTTTTTTTACATTAACCGTATGCTACTTTGTACAAGTTGTCTTTCACTGTGGTTGAATCACTTTTGTGGTATCTTTCCTCTGTACGTTGCTTTTGAGTTTTGAAGTTACTATCTTTTTCAAAAGTTTGTGATTGCGAGTCTCCTCCTCTGTGAACCGTAAACAATGATCCTTTTGTGTATAAATTTCTGGCTATTTTCTACCTTTTTTACTTATTTCATTGTCTTGCTTGCTCATCCTGGTAACGGGTGTTCATGAATCTTATAGTTATGCTAAGAAAATACTAACAACTTGCTTTTTTCCAACTGCAGATGACGAAGCCAAAGAAGGTTGAAGCCAATGTTCAGCATTAAACCATTTTTTCTCTCTCTTTTACAATAAGAAACTAAAAACCCCGAGGGTGTGAGTTCATGTCTGCCTGTCCCGGTTCATCAATTTTTCTTTCAGCATTAAAAAAGGAACTTTTGTGTCTGAAAAGCATATTATACGGTTCTTAAGACCTTTGTTTTGGAGCCAAAAATTGCTAGCGGTTTACAAAACCAGAGTTAACAGCATCTTTACATTTGTTGTCACCGTCCAATTTCACTTCACCTCTTAAACCAAATTCATTATAACAGTAACGACAAGCTCAATCTCAAGGCATCACCTTTTGTTTTGCAAGTCCCATTATATTACTAACATTCTCGATTATGTCTTTCGACCATATGATTTTTGATATGTATTGTATAGGAATGGTTCCCGGTTAACCTGACTAGCCCGGTCTAGCTCAAGTCTACAGTTTTATCTGTTCTTATAAAGCATTTTCTGTTTTTGTTGTCAATGATCCATCACTGATTGAAACTATACATACACAACATTCTTTTAACTTAGAAATATATGAACACACAAAGAAACACGATACTGAGAATTTATATTAAAATCCAATGTCGACGAATAAGCTTTTAAATTGAAGTGTATAATATAATTTGCACTTACACACATATTTTCCTCTCGAATGTGACAGCAGCGTGTAAAATTGCAACCGCGCATTCATACGTTCAGTACCGGCCCTGAAGGGAAACATTACAAGCAACAGCTTCTAAGTCTCAAAAAATACTTGAAAAATCAGCCTTTTATAGAAGAAAATTATTATTATAATATATAAACTTTTTTTATAAAAATAGCCAATTTTTAGAAAATTGCTTCTTATCTTTCTCATGTCAGGACCGATACTGCATACGCGCATAGACCTCATCTCACCTCTGGTCCACTGGTTGTTCAGTTATATATTTGGTTGCAATACCTCGTGGTTACTTCAATAGTTCAATATTGTTTTATGTTCATACTCTAAATTCAAGAGATATAAGATTTTTAAAGTTAATTTCTTTAAAAAATATATCTCATTGGCCTTTAAGCCATCTCAAAGGGAGTTTGTAGTATAGTTATATGTCTTATATTACGTAAGTTAACGTTTCTTAATGTATATGCGACTTAGCATGGTTGATAAAATATTCTAGAGGGAGAAAGTGACTGGTTGGATAACTTTCTAGAAATTTGGGCATAATACTAATTGTATAATCAAGATCTTGTATATTCGGCCATACAACGATTTCCACAAAAATTATTTAATTAAACAAGGAAGAAAACGTAAGTTAGTAACGATAAAACCTTATAATTTGCCACTGATGTTATGCTTTTAGTTTATGATATTGACCCATCCACCAATACCCTTCGCTTATGTGTGTATATCCAAAACTATTCACTCTTGTATTATTGAGTATTTAAAAGGCAGCATATGTTTTTTTTCTGAACTAAAACAACTATTATGTTGAAGTCTTTAAAAATAATTGAAAAAGGAACATAGCATTCACGTGCAGTATGGATCTAAAGAACCCCTAATTGCATTGATCTTATTATTTTCCCTTGAGATAAATTTGTTTTCTTATTTTTTTCTTCAGTATAGTAAACTCTATTCTGGTAAGAAAGTTAACTACGTTTTGAACCTTATAAGTTTAGACCGAATAATAGCATACACATGTATGTCGAAGACAACCAAACAGATAATTCATTAAATTAAGAAGACAAAAAAACAGGATTAAAGTCATTGTATTTGATATCCTTTGCAAATGTAACTGCTTTCGTGGTCTAGTGAATTTGTTTCTAACTAGGTTTCATAGATATAGAGGAAACCTAACCTCATGAAATAATTCCATGCATCCTCTATAGTTTATGCAGGTATTTCTTGTAATGCTCTAGTAACGCTATAAAAAGTCTTTGCGATACACAATATCGGGATGAAGTTCATTTTGCTAATTATTACGAGGCTAAACTTTACAGAGGGGGACGTTCATTTTTAACGGACAACTGAGTAATCTTTAAAGCCCTAGGATTAGAAACATATAACAGACGTGAGCTGCCGACCATATCAAGCGGTTTGGTCATATTTAAATATAGGTATTGCTTACACCAAAACTCTTCTTTCGTAACATATTTAAAAAGAAGAAAATTGCACTTCTCTACTATAAATAGGTGCATTGTATATGTGCATAAGCATTGTATAGACTTTCAAATTTAACTACTAATATCAAATAACATTAGAGGATACTAGGAGAGACAGAGACAGAGAGAATAAAAGAGGGAATCAGAAATTTTCTTTTTCTTATAAATTTACCAAGTATTACTTTTATATTTCTGAATTATCGTTTTAAGTATTTGGAAAACCGATAGTTAAGATGGAAGATGTGAACAAGTTGAAACCCTCGTTCTTGAGCTCCGATGAGAGTCTGGCTGTTCATGCTGGTACGTACGTTAACTATACATATCCAGTAGGATTATTACCAACGTACTAGTAAGTATGTTATAGGTAGGACTCGGTAAAGTATTTGTAATTTTTGATTTAATTCGTTATTTGTTTCTATTCGAATAAAAAGATCATAGATCCGTAATTATACAAAGCAAAGAAAATACTAGAATACAACATCGTAAGAAACAAAGCAAATTACAAATACTAATATTTTTAGAAATGGATATCTGATCTGATATGTTAAATACATATATATATATATATACATATTTTAAAAGAAGTATACATAAAATTTATATAAGTTTATATAAGTTTTACAATAGTTTTATTTATTAAATTTGTTATATTAGTTATCAGAATTTTGAAAATTAAAGAATTTTTATTTTTGTAATATGTATTTTTATTTTGGATTTATTTTTATTTTTATTTTGTATGGATCAAAATGGATATATGGTTAAAATCTAAAAATTTTGGATATCCGAGACACTGAATATTCAGGTGGATATCCAAAAACCCAGATATTCGATCCGTGTTCACGTCTAATGTTAAAATTTCATTAATTTTTTTTTTTTGTGTTATCCGTTTTGATCTAAATTCTCAAAGTTCAGAAATATATGTATATTTTATCTAGATGCTAATATTTAGAATTGTTATTAATAAGAACAATATATATAGAAGAATTATCAATGAAATATAAAAAAATAGCAATTGTTGTTTAGGTCGACTAGTTACTCAGTTTTTTGTTTGTTTTTGTCCTCGCTTACGTGCATGTAAATGTAAAAAAAAATCTTCTTCCGTGTTAACTCTCCGACAAGCCTTCAATTATGGGGATTATCAGAAGTGATTGTCCCGTTTCATTTGTTTTGTCTTATTTGCATTCATTTGAAAAGAATGTGATCACTTTGGTGACTGGAGAATCTGAGATAATGGGAATTATTGTGGGGTTTATGGTTTATTGTCAGGTGAAAGATTAGGTCGTGAAATAGTCACGAATTCAATAACGACCCCTATCGTAACCACAGCGACCTTCTTCTACAAGAATTCTTCCGAGCTTATCGACTCCAAGGTCCGTTTATATTATAATATGTATGTTGCTATGACTGATGAAATCCACTTGTGTTGGTTCTGGTCATGGTTAGCCAAAAATGGTACGTAGTACTATTCGTTTATAAAGAATTAAAGATGACTCTACTTTCAATGTTGTAGGAGAAGCGGATTGTATGTAACGAGTATACTCGTTATGGAAGTCCAACCAATACTGTACTCGAAGAGAAGATTAGGTCTCTCTCTCTCTTTCTTTCTGTCTCTTGATGTATTTGCTGAGTTTTTTTCTTCTTCTTAATTGTTCATTCTATTCTCTCTTGCTTAGTGCACTTGAAGGTGCTGAATCAACTTTGGTTACGGCTTCTGGTATGTGTGCAAGTTCTGTTGTGCTGTTAGCAATGGTTCCAAGAGGTGGTCATATTGTGACAACTACAGATTGTTACAAGGAGACAAGGATTTTCATTGAGACTTTTCTTCCAAAATTGGGAATCACTGTAAGAATATCACCTTCTTTTTTTGGCTTTCTTATGAGTCCACCAATTAGCCATTTGTTATGTATGTGTGTTTCCAGGTGTCTCTGATTGACTCTACTGATATCGCGGGGCTTCAAGCGATACTTAATAACCATGAGGTCATATATAACTTCTAACAAGTTTTTTTTTTTGTTTGTTTAAAACTTGCTATAAGTTCTCTTTAGGATACTTATGTGAATTGTGATCTGTTCTGTTCTTCAGGTTTCTATGTTTTATACCGAGTCCCCAACAAACCCGTTTCTTCGATGTGTGGACATCAAGTTAGTTTCAGAAATCTGTCACAAAAGAGGAACTATTGTTTGTATAGATGGTACCATTGCAACACCTTTGAATCAAAAGGCACTTGCTCTTGGTGCTGATCTCGTTATCCAATCTGCTACTAAGTACATTGGAGGCCACAACGACGTGCGTAAATCAGAATCCAGAACCTTATTAATATAAGTGCTTGGAAAAAAGTGATTAAATATGATTATGTGTTCCTTCTGTCTTTCTAGGTTCTTGCTGGATGCATATCTGGATCGATGAAGATGGTTTCCGAGATCCGCATCATGCATAATCTTTTGGGAGGCACGCTTAGTCCGGTAAATATTTTCGATCCTCCTCTAATGCTATCTCTTCATATATATGTTGAACTTTCAGTTTGTGTCGGTATGGGTTTTAAGACTTTGCTAGCTTTCGGGATAGTTCACTCTGTAGTACTCAGTGTGTTCTTCTGAAGGTCGACCGGATCAGCCGATAGGGCTAATAAAAAAAAAAGACTTAGCTAGGATCTAGGTTTTAATCATCAGAGAGTTATAACCTTTGGATAATTAATGAGTTCTTTGCCAAACAGAACGCTTCGTATTTACTCATTCGAGGCATGAAGACCATGCATCTTCGAGTAAAACAACAGAACTCTACTGCTTTGAGGATGGCCCATGTTTTAGAAGCACATCCCAAGGTTTTTATATTTATTCACCATGATCCCTCTTTCGTTTACACGTTATATATTAATTGTGTATGTGAAAGTCGATGCTATATAATCTTATTAAGGTAAGTCGTGTTTACTATCCTGGCCTTCCAAGTCATCCCGATCATCACATAGCCAAACAGCAAATGACAGGTTTTGGTGGCCTGGTCACTTTCGAGGTAAGAATATAAGAATCATTCATATATACATCACATTTGATACAAGTAAATTAATAATAAATTTTTTTTAGTAAATTAATAAATTTTTTATCTCAAAATGTGTTTTTTTTAAGATAAGAATCATTCATATATACATCACATCTGATACAAGTAAATTAATAATATTTTTTTCTTAGTACATTAATAATTGTTTTATCCCAAAATGTGTTTTTTGAAGATAAGAATCATTCATATATACATCACATTTGATACAAGTAAATTAATCTTAATTTTTTTTTAGTAAATTAATAATTGTTTTATCTCAAAATGTGTTTTGGTTCTTTTCTTTCGTAGATTAATGGCGATCTAGAGACTACAATCAAGTTCATTGATTCTCTCAAGATCCCTTACATTGCAACATCTTTTGGTGGATGTGAGAGCTTGGTGGACCAACCCGCTGCAAGGAACTGGTGTGATGATATTCTTCTCTAAACATTTGAAGCATTATGTGTACTTACATATAAATGTTTTGGTGGTTTTTGATTTATAGGGATGTACCACGAGAAGAAAGGCTCAAATATGGACTGAAAGACAACTTAGTTCGCTTTAGTTTTGGTATTGAAGACTTTGAGGACTTGAAGGCTGACATTTTTCAGGCTCTTGAAACCATATCCATCGAAGCTTCATCGTTTTCCAACCAAAACGTTACAGTTTCAGACAAAAACTAGCCTTTGAAAATCGTTTCGTAAAAACACAACTCTTTCACTTGTACAAAAATTACAGTTCCCTAAATGTGGCATTATTGGCAGGTTTAATATAATATATCTTTTATAAAACACATAAAAAAAAATCTTATCACATGCTAAACAAATCTTGGAGTTCAGGACTTGTCAAAATTTCAATATAGTGAGTATATAATAAAACTAAAGTAAGATGTTTATTCTTTGGTCATATACAGTTTAGCCCAATAATAAGCTACAGTCGTGACGAAAAAGTGTGTTAATGATATAATAAAAAAGTTAGAGAATTTAATGCTGTGTGGATCCAGTGCTAACTATAGGTTAAATACAGAAGGAATCTCATAATATATAAGACGAATCTTATATATTGGAATATATAGAGCATATTATAGATTAGTTTTCCCTAATATTATAGTTGTAGATGCCTGTTCAAGCCCATCAAAGGCTGCACTGTCGTGATTAAGAGCCACTTTAAGAAAAGTTATAACATATGATGTAACACTATAATAGTAATGAATTATTTGATGGGTCTTGATGGAAATAGTATATATGCCTAACCACAAGTTGGTGAATATAAAAAAACAAGCTATGTTTTGATATATTCGACTGATCATTTGTCCAGCCAATCTCTTTAATATTTCCTTTTTTTTTGTTGGAGCATTTTAAATTGAAATAATTCTTATCTAAAAAAATCATTTATTATTAACACTACCTGAATCTACTATATTAAAACAGAGTCATTCTTTTTATCTACTGATACAAGTTGTCATTTAAATTTGAACCCTTTATAGAATGTTACAAATAATATAAGTCATATAATTGATTGAACCGTATTAGTTAAATTAAATCAACACAACTAATGTAAAGAGACGACCTTAATGTAAACTTCCTTCAAAATATGGCAGGTATCTATGTGTATACCGAAAACACATATTTTCTCCTACAAATATGGAATGTTTTAAAAGAATATATATCATGAAAATATGAAATATGGAAATCTACTAATTATATTTAAATTAAATCATTGGTTATTTATGTAATATAGTCTTGGGCTTACTTTTATTTTTTGAACAAATTATATAGTTTGGTTTTTGGGCTTAGTATTAAGAAAAAAACACTAAAAACATTGAATAAACTTTTCACCTTAAAAGATCAAAAAATCAATTATTATTTTCAGAACCAAAAGGTATTTAATATTTTTAACAAAACAAAATTCTCTATTATTAATCATTTATTTAAATCATGTACTTTGAAACATGTTAATATATTTTTTTATTCTAATTAACAATCACTTTGTTTTGATAAATTTCAATGGTAACTTTTAAATAATTTATTGTTTTATTTTTCTTAAATAATTTACTGATTAAAAAAATATAAAGCAAAACCAAAAACCAAATCTAAAAACAAAAATCCAAAAACCAAAAGCTAAAAACACATGTTATATTTTTTTGCTTTGTTTATTTACAAAATAAACTATTTCAATTTTTTTTTTTTAATTTGTTGTCATCTTTTCAGTTTTGAATTAGATGTTCGATTATTTGAGATTTGTTTGTTGGTAATATTAGTTTAAACTAACTTAGCGGGTTTAAAAATTAAAAACTCAAACCAAAAACTGAAAATGAAAATTAGAAACTTAAAAACTAAAAACCAAAAACCAAAAACCAAAATCTAAAAAAAAAAACTGAAACTAAAACCTAATGAAAAATAATCATCACCACAAATTTTGGTGAACTGATTTTATATCAAAATATTCTTTAAACTAAGACAAAACCCAATTATGTAAATTTTTAATCATAAAAAATTTCCGCGCTTTTAAGCGCGGATCAAAATCTAGTTTTAATTATTCTAGCACCTAAAATGTTTGTCATTTTAGAGGTTTGACTGAGTACCGATTTATTCAGAGCTTTGGACTTTAATATCCGAATTTATAATAATTACATTTAAAAAAAAAACTTAATAAAGAGAGACACTGAATGAATCAGAGTGTTTTAAAATACAAAAAAGAACCATCCAAGTCCACTTCATAAAAAGATTCCTCGCGCTTTCTAAGATTCCTCTTCTCTCTCTTTAAACCAAACCCCTCACCGTTCCTTCTTATCTCCATCTCTCTCTCTCTCTCTCTCCGTCTCTCAGATCCAAACGAAGGAGTACTCATTCTCTCATGAAATTCGGGAAGGAGTTTAGAACCCATCTCGAAGAAACCTTACCAGAGTGGAGAGACAAGTTCCTTTGCTACAAACCCTTGAAGAAGCTTCTCAAATACTACCCTTACCCTCCCCCCGCCGACGACGATTCTTCCAATTCCGCTCAGATCGATTCCCGTCAGGTCTTCGCCGACACCACTAACTTATCTCCTTCCGACGATGCTGCTGTGAGGCCTGCGGAGGATCTTCAGGGCTCGTTCGTGAGGATACTCAATGAGGAGCTTGAGAAATTTAACGACTTTTATGTTGATAAAGAAGAAGACTTTGTCATCAGATTACAGGTTTTTGTGTCTGAATCCTTATTTGATTGAAGTGTTAAAAGGAGTGTTTTAGAATTGGATCGGCAATCCAAAGTTTGTAACTTTAGGATGATGAATCTTAGGAAAGGGGTGTTTTAGAATTGCAAAGTTTGTAACTTTAGGATGAATATTGAAAATTTTAGGAAAGGAATTGCTTTTGAAACCTAATAGCTATAGTGATGGTGATTCTCTCTAATCAAAGGTGCTAGAAGGGTCTTTCTTCTTCACTATTGGATCAAGTTGTAGTCCAAGTAGATTCTGTATCTCCTGATTCGTATTTAAAGGACAAAACTTTCGACAATTGTAGTAATCAATTTGAATTTCTAAAATATGGTCTTTTAAAAAGTTCACTTGTAGTGTAGGCTTCTTATAGTTCGATTGTCTAAAAAGAGTAAAACAAAACTGACTCTTTAGTCTATTACATGTGTTTATAAAGTTGTGGTTTGTCACTGTTGAGCTCTATTACAGCAGGGCATTATGTTTTATATTGCTTGTGGTTTGTCACAGTTGAGATGTATTGCATCAGGACGTTATGTTTTATATTGCTTTTGGTTTGTCACAGTTGAGATCTATTACAATAGGACATTATGTTTTATATTGCTTGTCGTTTGTTACAGTTGAGATCTATTACATCAGGACATTATATTTTATATTGCTTTTGGTTTGTCACAGTTGAGATCTATTACATTAGGACATTATGTTTTATATTGCTTTTGGTTTGTTACAGTTGTGATCTATTACAGCAGTCCATTATGTTTTATATTACTTATGGTTTGTGACGTTTGTCACAGTTGATAAACTATTACATAAGGGCATTATGATTTGTCACAGTTGAGATCTAATTGCTTACAAGTTATGGTTTATGATCGTTGCTCATCTTCTTGCTCTGCTTGTTTTGAACACACTAGTTTTAATGCATGTTGTGTTGTACTATTGTGGTTCATCTTTAGCTTTAACTGAATTGTCTGTTTATTAGGTTCATCAATGTATTGTTAATCTGTTTTTGTAAACAGGAGCTGAAGGAAAGAATCGAGAAGATCAAGGAGAAGAACTGCAAGAATGGGGAGTTCGCATCAGAGAGCGAGTTCAGTGAAGAGATGATGGATATCCGCAGAGACCTTGTTAGTATTCATGGCGAGATGGTGCTCCTTAAAAACTACAGCTCTCTAAACTTTGCAGGTATGATTGATTGTCTATATATCATGTTTTTTCTCTCCAGAAGATTATGCTAAAACATCTCGGAAAACATTCCAGGACTAGTCAAAATTTTGAAGAAGTATGATAAGAGAACAGGAGGACTTCTTCGTTTGCCTTTCACACAAGTGGTTCTCCATCAACCCTTCTTCACAACTGAGCCACTTACTAGGTTAGTCCGTGAATGTGAGGCCAATCTCGAGCTTCTTTTCCCATCAGAAGCAGAAGTTGTTGAATCTTCTAACGCAGTGTCAACCTCACATCAAAACAACTCACCAAGAATCTCAGCTCAGACTTCTTCAACTCTCGGCGATGAGAATCTTGATATATACAGGAGTACACTCGCTGCAATGAGAGCCATAAGAGGGTTGCAAAAGGCCAGCTCGACTTACAATCCTTTATCATTCTCGTCGCTTCTTAAGAACGAGGATGATGAGACTGTAACAGCTGAAAACTCTCCAAACTCTGAGAATCTGCAGAGCAAAGATGAATCAGAGAAGGAAGACAATGGACCTTCCCCTTGATTTAGAAGAGAATCATACTCCTTTTTATCACCCTGACATGTCCTAAAGTATTAACACATTGAACATCTGTCCGGATCCCTGTTTAGGTTCTTTTCATTTTGCAGATCACAGCTTTTGTAAGCATTTGAACTGTAGAAGAGCAGCACTTTATAGATTTCTAATAATTTTGTTCTTCATTGTCTCAACCTTCTCTCATTTTGCATATTAGTTTACAAAACTAGTCTCAAGAACTGATGTATTGTACGGTCGTTTGATCTGTTCACCAGTAATCAGAACAAGAACAAGAGCCTCCTTTAAATTGATGAAACCTATTTCTATCTCTGATGATGATCTCTCGGTCATAGACCGTTGAAACAATCTTCATAGCTGAATGACAATCCTGACATATCCTCAGATTCTTGAAGACATAAAGAGGTGTCCTCGGTTTCGTTACCAGAAGCCCGAAACAGACGGCTAGTTTCTCACTGTGAAAGCACACAGCTTGCTCCTTGTCCTCCAAGTCAACCTCCGAGGGAGAAACCAGGCCAGAGACATGAGGGACATAACCAGCTGATCTAATCCGTTCAATAACTTCATTCAACTTCAAGTAAATCTCTTTCGTTCTCGGATGTGATCTATCTCCTGCACTAAACCGATGAACTGAGCCGTTCAAGTGAATGGAACTCATACCAGGTACTTTCCTGATTCCCCTGTTTCTCATACTTCCTCTTAACCTATCCACAACGTCACTCCTACCTTCTGCAGCATACATGTTGGATAAAACTATTTGATACCCCATGTTGCCTGGACTCAACTGAACAAGCTCTCTTTTAATCCGTTCGGCTATCTCCAGCTTCCCATGGACGCTACACGAGCCTAGAAGCGAACCAAGGACAACTTCATTAGGAGGCACTGTCATTTCCCTCATCAACGTCTCTGCTTCTTCAATACGACCAGCTCTCCCCAAAAGATCTACCATACATGCATAATGGTCAACCTTAGGTTCCAAACCATAGAGTCTGAGGTTGTGGAAACATCTCCACCCTTCTTCTACCAACCCGGAATGGCTGCAAGCACTTAAGACAGCACCGAAGGTTAAGTCATCTGGCTTCACCTCTCTTACCATCTCTGGGAACATGTCAATCACCAGCTTACCTTTCCCGTGCATTGCTAACCCACTAAACAAAGCGTTCCATGTTACCACATTCCTCTTACGCATCAATCTGAAGACTTTCATGGAAGAATCTATGTTTCCGCATTTGGCATACATATCAACCAATGCTGTTCCAACCATGACATGATCACAAATCTCTTCCTCCCCCATCATCTTTAACGCATACACATGAACCCATCTTCCAATAACCAGGTTTCCTGATTGAGCACAAGCCGATAGAATCGAGCATAGGGTGACGAAATTCAAACCATGCCCACATTTAAACACCATTTCCTCCAGAAGCTCCAATGCTTCACCTGTAAACCCAGCTCCCACATACCCAGCAACCATAACCGTCCAAGCAACAACATTTCTCTCAGGCATTTCATCGAACACCTCTCTCCCATTCTCTAACCCCTCCCATTTCACAACCGTGTCCAAAACCACCGTCCATGAGACAACACTTTTCTCCTCTAACATCTCAAATAAGCGTCTAACTTCACCCACAAACCCACATTTACCATACATATCCATTAAAGCATTACAAACCTTAACACTATTCAAAAGTCCCATCTTTAGAGCAAAACCATGTCCTTGTTCACCGAACCCAAGATCCTCTAACTTGGCACACACGCCAAACAAGCAGACTCCTGCCACGTCATCAATCTCAACTCTTTTCCTCCTCATCTCCACGAAGAGCTTCATCGAATCAACCAAGAATCCGCACCGAGAAAGAGAGGACAACAAAGTGGTCCAATCCACATTGTCTTTTTCTGACAGAGGAATTTCGTCGAACACCTTCTGTGCACTAGTCATATCTCCGGAAGCAGCATAGAACTGAAAGAGCGAGTTGCTAAGGTAAGACTTCGGAGCTTTCTTCAATCCAGAAGTTGTCAAAACGCCGTGTAGTTCCTTCCCGACACGAAGCAACGAGCGTTGCTGCGCACACTGTCGGAGAAAGATACGAACTTTTTGGTTCGATAAGCATTTCATTACATTTAAATGATCCAATGTTCGTCCTTTATTTTCTGATTAAAGATTTGCAGACAACGGTTTCGAACTTTTGGTCTTGTGTTCAGTTTTGCCGGGAAAATCAACATTGCATCAAACTCTCACCTCACGGGCCTTAATGGGCCTTTAATTTGGGCCATAGTGTTTGCAAGCCCAAAAAATATCGTCCAGAATCTTCGTTATATTATCAAATCTAGAATTCTCGAACGTCCCCCCCCACAAGTCAGCATCATAAATTTCATATTCTTTAGGGGGTCCATGTGAAATCTACTTACATCCCCTCCATACAATTTTTTTAAAAGAACACACATTATATAAACATATACACGTAACTAAATATTGTTCTTTTGTTTCATACTGGAAACATATTAATTTTCAATCTATTTGGTTATAGATTTGACAGCTTGATGAAAGGGACATGTGGTGGTTAGATTTCAGTACTGGAAATTACGTACAATCACAGATATACTCACATGGAACAGATAAGCCAAACTTACGTTAGAAGAAATTATATTAAAAAAATTCCATTTCTTGAAAAAATAATTTCATTCACACATGATCCAGATACATTCATTCAACAATTAAATTTCAGCAAATAATAAATCGAAGTACATCCTTTTTAGACAATTGATTCAAAAACACAAACAAAACAAACATTACAAATATAAAGAAAAACTGAACTGATTGGACTTTCTAACTTAAAATAATTTTGGAAGTTTTTCAAATAAGATTGGTGACTAATTAACTACCACGTCATCCTTAACAGGGCAAATGGAATAATGAACTGAACGAGACTTGTGACCATGGAGACTGATCCAATGCTCTTGACAGGTGCGGCTTTTGGTGGAGGAGGAAGCTTCTCGACTTTAACAGCGAGCTTCATGCCTCCGTAACATCCACCCTTACCGTCGAGGAGATAGTAATGTTTGGTCACGTTGAGAGGGACAATGTCTCTCCCAGCTCCACGCGTATAGTTTCGGATAGGATGCTCGGCGTTACAGTTTTCGTAGTCGGTCTTGTTTACTTCAAGAATGTTGTGTTGGTTTCTGTCGTACACGAAATCTGATAACAAGAGACCATAAATTAGACAACCAAAGATCTTTCTTTTGTATTATAAATCACATCAGAAAAAGCAAAAAAAAAAGGCCCATGATTTGTGTTTGAGCTATAGATTAAAGATTTCAACGTTAACCACAAAGAAAGGTTACTGTTTATCAGACAGTGAACAGAGAGAGACTGTGTTTCACTCAGACAACCTTAATAATGTTGGTCTAACCAGATCTGGACTAATCAGGAAACATTTATGGAAACAGGAAAAAAACAAAATTGATGAACCCTTCAATGGCATTGTAGAAACTTTGTAAAGTCAAAACTTTGGTATAAAAAGTTGATTTTTTTAAATATTAGTAGATTTAAAGCAAAACCCATTTCAAAAATCAGATCTGATATACATAGATGAGAGAGAGAGAGCATACAGAGCCAGTCTCCGAGGTAGAAATGTTTTCCCTGAGCCCATATGGTATAGTTAATGTTTGGATTCCAGAACTTGTTGTCACCGACTGTATACTTCTTGGCCGTCACTCCCGGCACAGGCATTGCCACTAGAAAAGCTAGCACCACCGCCAAAATCATCACCGTGAATCTCGCCATTTTTCTCTCTGTTTTAGAACTCTCTACTCTCACACTCTCTCTCTCTAGACTTGTGGGGTTTAGTTGCGCAATTTGTGATTTAGAGGTGGACTAGTGGTGGGGGTTTTCATAGCCCATTTTTTTTCAACTGCTGTTTGCTGTATAATCATAAATAAATTAAATTATTTTAAAAATATATGAACCATAACACTTTTAATAATAGTACTAAATAAGAAAATAATAATATAACCGCGTTTGTTGCGGAAGACTTGCTGCTTTTAACCACTTTTGGCGCGCTACAAACGCGTCGCCAGTCTCTTTATTCAATGAAGTTGCGAAATTTCTTAACAAATTAATTTGCCTTGAATTATTTGTATTATTTCTGTTAGTTTTAATGTTTTTGTATTTTATATTGATACGACTAAACGAATACAAATGTTAAATGATCTCTAACTTTTCATAACATTAATTAAATAAGTGTTTGTATTCACAGGTTTTGGAGAATTTAAACAAAAAAATAAAGAAAAGAAAAGAAATCCAATCAAGATTTAGCTGACAAAAGTATATGCTAAGTTTCAAATCCAGACATATCCAGAACATCACGCTGTATGTCTATAATATTATTATTTATATATTCGTTTATGACTATTGTAATGCTACTTTATTTCAAATTATCAGACACATATTATACTCTTTTTGCATGTGATGTGATGATTATATATGGTTTTCATGTACGTTTCCACTCTTTTATTGTCGGCCTCTCAAATCTCATTACTTGATTGGTTTTCCAATTCACATTTTATGGATTTGATTTTCCTTCACGGATAAATAGTAGATTATAATATTACAAAACATAACCAGAAAGCAAACTTGACCAGATATATATTACAAAAAAATGTTTGTGAATATAACCGTTAAACGTAGTTGATAATGATTTTCTCAAAAACCAAACGTTGTTGATATTGAGCTTTTCTATAAAGGTAAAAGCTAATCACCGATCTCGCAACATAATTACGAACGCGCGCGCGCGAGCCCAAAACTTGCCAATAATTATATACTAAGCCCACTTAGTTTTAGGCCCAACTAAAAAGCCTCGTTTGGGCCCAGATTAAACATTATCAAGACAAGAGAGATGTGAGACACAACCAGTGGTCGGCGAATCGGAGATGATGTCTTCAGTTAGAACCCTCCTTTAACTGTCTCTTTGCTCTGTGATTTCTCTTCTTTCAGTTCAGCATTTTCGAAACTGATTCAAGCTCGCTCTTCAAAAATCACAAGCTTTGGCAGCAAGCAACACATGAACTCCTGCAAAACCCTATTCCGCGCCTCCCTCTCTTCATCATCTCCATTCATTCATCTCCCAAACCCTAATCCATCCACCACTCTCGTCTCCTTTCGCGCCTTCTCGTCTTCTCCCTCCGTTCTCCGTCCAAATCCATCTACACACAACATCGGATGCACTCTTCACGAAGCTGCCTCTCTTCCAGGACTAGAAACCATCACTGAGAATCCGCCCTTAGATCTTACCGTGAGTGTCAAGGAACTGCTGACAACAAATAGAAATGACGCGACGAGCATGATGAAAATGGAGCGGAGGAGCTCCTTAAGCCGTGGAGGTTCGTGGTTCCCTTACGAGGACAGGTTCAGGTGCGGTGACGTGTATCTTAGTAGCCGTGAGGTGTTGGAAGCGGTGAGTCCTCATATGATGGAGGAGAGGTCGGATAGGTTTAGGCGTGTGGTGGAGAATCGAAGCTTCTCGGTTTGTCTTGTCGTTGAAGGTTTGTCTGATATTGGAAACATCTCTGCTGCGTTTAGGTCTGCGGATGCGTTGGGGATTCAGTCTGTTCATGTTGTTGCGTCTGACAGTTCCAAAAGGTGCCCACTTTGAGGTTTGGCAAGCTCTGTTTTCTTTGGTTCTTAGGTTTGGTTTTGATGTGGACAAAGTTTCGAGTAGATTGTATGTACTCTTGAGTCCAATGCTGATTATAAGATTGAATGTTAGATTCTTGTAGTTACTTGAAATGTGTATTGACACTAGAGTGATTGGATAGAAACAAAAAGTTGATCGTTTGTTGTGGTATGAAATTTATAAAAAAATTAAAATTTGGTCTAGGCGGTGCAAATCAGAGCTAAACTAAATGATTTTTTGAATGATTTTTTTTTTTTTGAAATCGGTCTAAAGCGTTAAAAAAAATTAGTTTAGGTGTCAAGTCTAATCAATAATCTCATATAAGCCGCTTAATTACCGACTAACGATTTATTGAACACTTGTTGGTCTATGTGTGTGCATTTGTGTATGTTTAGGTATAGGAACAATCGACATGTGAGTATGGGAGCTGAGAAGTGGCTAGACATTGAGCTTTGGGAGACACCTAAAGAATGTTTCAAGGTCTTGAAGTCTCGTGGTTACAGGATTGCCACAACTCATTTGGGAATGGACACTGTAAAGTCTTATAAGATTCTTTATTTTTGGGTTTTTTTCTTTCTCTCATCATTGCTCATAGAGACATTTTTTGTTGGTTAATATCTCTCATAGGTTTCAATTTACGATATGGACTGGACACAACCAACAGCAATAGTTGTTGGAAACGAAGGGAGTGGAATAAGTGATGAAGCGTTGGAGTTAGCAGATTTGTATTGCAGTATTCCAATGAACGGAATGGTTGATTCGTTTAATGTCTCAGTGGCTGCTGGGATTCTGATGCACCACGCTGTCTGTGACAGAACCGCTCGTCTGGTAATAAACCACCTGCAGAATCTTCTTAAGTTAGCTTTCATTTCAGTTCAGGTTTTTTGTAGTAACATTTTGTTTGAACAGGGAAGTCATGGAGATCTGTCGGCAGAAGAGAAAGAGATATTGATGGCTGAGTTTTCACTTCGACACAGTAGAAGCTCACTTTGTATTGCTTCCGAGTTTGCTAAACGTAGACAACAACAACACCCTGCTTCCTTCTAGTTTGCCAACACTCTGTTTTCATTTTCGTGTTGTGGGCTGTTGTATTTTTGCATGTAAGGTAAGGTTTTACTCAGCCTTGATTGGGCTTTTAAAATCTTACAATTTTATTTCAAATTTAATTATCATTGAATTTTTACGTTGATATGATAAACGTTATTTATGAATTCTACTGAATTTGGAAATAATTTTCAGTTAAACACACTTAAGACAGCAAAATAAGTCCCACTTAATCGAAAGAAAGCCTAAAGATTTTTTTTTTTTAAAAAGAGGGTTGCTGTTATTATTTTTGTTTTGTTTCTAAGAATACACAACTAATCGATTAACATATCACTGCTTGTAGTCTGTATCCTCTCCTTGTTGCTGCTACCATCTTCTCCACCTGCCCGTTTCTTAGACTGATGCGACCTCACAAACTCATCGATTCTCGCTTTCAACTCGATGTCCGGTATTAACATATCCGATGTCAAATGTGCCCGGTTAAACGGGTCGTGCTGCAGCAAAAGCAAGCATGATCAGATCGAAGCCAACGTTAAATAATGGCTTCGATCAACTGTGTATATAAGTGAATACTTGCTTACATTGTCACTAAGAAGATGACGTTGAATGATGGCTCGATCAACTGTGGTTTTTGAGCTTGGGAGTATCACTGGATCTCTCATTAACGTGTACTGCAAAATCAATACAAAAACAAGAACATACATTACAGTATATGTTTCAGAAACATGATTTAGTTTTCTGTAAGATTAGAGAGAAAATACCTGAATTGGGTCGAGGAACTCCTCTGGTATTTCACCAAGTGCAGCTTCAGCATCCATAGCTTCGGAAGCAGCAGCTTTGGCTTTTGTGCCCAGCTCCATAAACTCTTGAATGATTCTTCCATCTTCGCCTATTCTCCTAAGCACATCTGCTCCTGCGTCGAATAACTGCAAAAAAAACAACCACTTGTTTTTGTTCAGTTGAGAGACCGTTAAAAATTATGACGAAAGTGGATCTCCGGTTTAGGAGGAGGAACTGGACCTGTTCGTTATATGATCGTCCATCACTGGATATGGCACCGGGGAATATGTTTTCTGAGTCTCCTCTTGCGAGATTAACATATATACGAACAATCTTCAAAGTTCACCAAAGGTTCCATCAGTCTTTTTTTTTTCCACACATTAGGTTTCAATAAGAATGTAATCACTAACCTGTTTAAGCAACTGTCTTGGACGGAACTCGTACTTCTCAGGATCTTTCAAGCTTAAAGACTTACGCTGTGGACCCACGAGTTGTAACAAAAAGTAATTAAGCATATTCGCAACCCTCTCAACCTGATACGCAACGATGAATTAAATAAAATTTGGGGAATCACATCGAGCAGGTAATCATTTTAGGTATAGAGTCAGATTTACCATCTCAGGGAGTAGAAATGGGGCTGTGATCTCCTCAGATGTAAATGCAAGCATAGTCACATCCTCATTAGCTAGCTTCATGTCAATTCTAACAATCTGCAGAGCAAAATAAAATTCTCTCAGGCATCATGAACCGACCGAGTCAGAAACAAGACTATAATAAGTGTAAACCACTAACATTCTCCTGAGAATGGAAGAGTCTCGTTCTATCCTGCCTCTCTTGAGCTGGTCTCTGCTCCCACTCTGCAGTATTCGACATCTCCGCCTCGATTTTTTTAATCTCCAGAATTTTGTTAAGACTTTCATCCAGAAGAAAGATGCTATCATTGACTAAGAAGTTTAAGAAGTTCAAGTACACGCCTTTCTCTTCCTCTTTAGCAATCTGTAAACAATCAAATTTGGTAACATTATAATATTGGCACATGATGATGGAAACTCAGAGCCATGGTAAAGGAAATTAAGAATTTACTCGTCTCCACGCATTTCGGTGACTAGGAACCTGCCAGAGATACTCTAAAAGCTCGGCAATGTTGTGGCGAATGTTGAATTTGTCATAGAACTGCATTTGGATCACTCAGTTTCAGTCACATTAAAAGCGAGAAAGAATGGTCATTAAGGCTTTTAATGTTAACAAATTATGAAGTACTATGCAATAGAGAGAAGTATGTTACTAAAGAAGTATTATTGCCACTAAACAAAATTTCTTGCAATCACCTGAGTATGAGAACCCGTGAACTCAATGTCAACGTATAGTTTCAGTAAATTCCTGACAAGATACTCAAGCGATAACTGATGGCCTTCAAAGAGAGTAGATGTAGCAGAAGAACCACTAAAAACAAACAAAAAATTGGCTTGCGATTAGTGGACTGCTATGATTCAATACTTGTTGCACTAGCAACAGCAAACGAGGATTTTACAGCTTTCTTTCATGGGAAGAAAAAAATACCTTGAACGTGGCATCCAGCAGTTCAGAACTTCGACCATCTTTGCCCTGAGATACGGGTTTCTAACATATTCTGGACTTGCCATGAACATAATTATGAAGTTCATAAAGTCATCCTAAAGGAAAGAGAACAGCCATCATTAATGCAGGTTCAAAACATTGAAGTTCTGCAGACGGATGAGACTAAACATACCAGTAGCACCCCATCCAAAGCTTTGGGGATTCTTGAAGCAAATATCAGTAACTCCATCGCATCTTCAACGAAATGCTCCGGCATACAGGAGAATTCCATGGGGCAAGTTGAAGGTAAAGGCATCTTAAAGCCACCAACAAGTCCAACTAACCAAACGATGACTAATCGATAGAAAGAGAGAGCTCGCTGGATGAAGTCTCCATCCTTTAAAACAATAAACATGTAAAAACAGCTATTAATATCATGTCCTCGGTCCAGATAAAACGCTAAAGACGTTCTCAGAGTAGAGAATATGATTACAAACCCTTAATAATTGAGCTTCGTGGCAAAGCTTTTCTTGAGAATACAACTCTAATTCTTTTTCCATTCTGGTTATGTCAAGTTCTAACTGTGGAGACGGTGCTTGATCTCTCATGGCTTTTAATGTCGCAAGATTGTCTTCACCTCTCGAGATGTCCTACGCCATGCGACAAAGATAAAGGTAAAGAACAGTACAATAACTATCTTCTGCAAATCCATGCATTACGGACTCTATCACAATCTAAACGAGATTAAGTTCATATTTTCTCTGTAATTCCTTCTTGGAATTAATGTCAAACGCCTTGTCCAGAAAATATGTCACAACCATATTAAACAAGAGGTGCCTGCAAGATAGTTTATCATATTGTTTCTCCATAATATTTCAAGTCCAGGAAAATAATGATGGTTACCTGAGACAGATGTTTAAAGTCCGAGAGTGCTTTTAGGAGACCCAAATTGAGGACCCTTGCAGTCATAAAGAAGCATTCACAAATGAAAGTGTATTTCGTTGTTGACTTTGCATTCTGCAGAGAAGCATTACTACTTGAACTTGTGGCTTCTTTGGATTGTAACAAGCGACTTTCACTCCCGTTTCCAGCGTCATTTGCCGCATTATCCTTGTTAATCCATTCAGAAACTTCCTCGGATGATGCATGGAGAGCAGTCAAGTCGCTGGTGTAAATAATTAAATGATATTACTCATCATGATTATATAAAATTCAGTGAGGAGATATCCATATTTCGAGGTCCGTACCTTAATTTTAAGCGCTGCCCAGAGAATGCGTACTTTGGATCAATCTTATCCCTTTTAGTAAAATGAGGGTCCAAAAATGGTTCACAGAGCCGGAGCATGACTGCACTGAGATTACAAAACATGCCCGAGCTAGCACAAGAAACTGGATCAACCTGTCATACAAGATAGAACATTAAAGAGTGCCGGATTAAGCAGAAAACACAAAGACCAACTTAATGAAACCGGGAGGAGACAAGACAGATAACAAGGTATGAATGAAGATCCTAAGTGAATATACATCCCACTGAGGGATGATCACCTGTATATGGCCTCTCGACGCATTTGCATTGATCACTTCAGCGAGAAACTGTAGAACACGCTCACGTGTATCGGTACTTTTAAGTAAAATCATCAGTACATCATGCAGCCCACTGTACAAAATATTCATAAAGTTTTTGATTGTAGAGAAGGATGACAATAAATCGGCAGGACGACGTTCCGATGCTCCAGAGAAACACTGCTGCCTGAAATTCACAAAACAAAAGACATGTATTAGCGATACCTTAACAGGCAAATAATCTTATCTGATGCCTAGCAGGAGAACCCTTTCATTTGCACAAGTTATCCTTGTCAAAAGACAAGACTCGTCAGTACAGAGCAGAAACAAAAAATCTCCAACACTAGAAGAGAGCTAACTATTGCTTTTGTAGCTATGCTAGGTTTGTAGAATCACATCATGCTTAAAATATACATCACCTAACACTAAAAGAGTCATCTTATAAAGCAAAACATCTGCTTCTTTCCATTTTTATCAAGATTCCACTTTTAGCAAAGCTTAGCAACATTTCTTATTGTCCTAACTGGCTTGATAACTAAACAACCCCAAAGATTACAGAATTCTACTCAATAAACCGAGAAATAAGTATAAAACTCACCCAACATCAGGTTGACTCTTGAAGAGAGTATTATCAGGCAACGCACTAATATGAAAAAAAGGACCAAGAATACTCGTCAACTCCATAGCTCTCCCATTCATATACGCCCCACGAGGAACCCACCACTCATGACTAACAAGAGACTTAGCTCCAACAGGCAAACCAACAAGATACTTAAGCGCCCTCAACGGCGGCTGGAAATCACCAAGCACAGACACATTAATAACCGAAGACCTCAAATCCTCATACAACTCCTTGAGAATCAAATCCAAGTTATCAAAATCCTCCGCGTCCTTAAAAAACTCATCCAAAAAACCATGAGGACACTGAACATTACTACTACTCCCACCACCACCAAACATATCCAACGAACCAGAACCAACCTCGGCGAATAACAACGGAAGTAACGGAGACACACTCTTCTTCCTCTTCTTCGCCTTATTATCATCATCATCCAACCTCCCGAACAAATCAGGGTTCGCTAAATGAATCCTACAGTAAGAAACCGCGAGCCTCTTAGCGTCTCTGGTGACAATTTCCATCTCCGATCTGAGTTTCTTGTCCTTCATCGACTGGATTTTTTTGGACTCGTCGTGCGCGCGGCGGTAGGAGCCGATTAGGTAAGGGAAAGGCGGTTCGGAGGAGGGGAAGTTGTTGGAGGAGGAGAGACGGTCGATGAGGACTCGCTCGATTAGGTCGCGGGAGAGGAGGAGGGGTTTGCCTTCGCTGAGAATCTCGGCGGCTGTCATCTCTAGGTAGACGACGACACGTGGATCGGATTCGGTTGGGGGTTCGGTTAGGGTTACGTGGAAGATTTTGCGGAGGATTATGTCCTCGATTTCGGCTGGGGATCTTTGTGGCTTCGTTGTCGACATTGAGAGAGATCGGCGATGAAACGAGCGGAGATAGTTCAGAGAAGTATTTATTAAGTGTGATTAATTATTTTGGAAAAGGAAAGAGAAAATTAAAATTTGGGGAAGAAGAGAGAAGCCATTGATGGGGATTATTGAGGATTAAGAGAAACTTGTTTATTTCTAACTTGAGGATTAAGACAAATCTAAATACGATCTGCAGTGTCGTACTTGGTCGTTATCAAGGAAGGAATATTTATTTCGCAGACTTGTTAGCTAAGAAATTATCTATGGGCTTTTGGGCCTTCGGCTTAAATACATTAAACACATTAAATATATTTATAATTATATGATATTAAAAACTTTGAAGCTATTTATAAACTTTTACTTATTAAGATATGATAAAGTAAAAAACATGTTAATGTATTTCTATAAATCAGAAATAATAATCATCAAAGTTTTAAATTGTATAAGATATTTAAAAATATCGGTTTATATAATTTCAAATTTGTAATAACATTTCAAAAGATTATTTTTATCTATTTATTATTGAACCCTTTAAAAAAAATATTACGGCATGGATTTGAATCTCTGAATAAACAAATTTAAAAAATATTAATATATCAAAACAATATCATTTTATTTTATTAATGATTGACTAACTTCTGTTAAAATCAATGTAAATTTGTGTATATTTTAAGAAGTTTAAATGGTTTTTGAATTATAATTGAATTGAAGTTGTATTTAACACTGACCATTTGTTCAGAGCGTATTTGATACAACTGAAATTGTTAGAGTGAATGGCATTTTTTCGTTTATCAAAACAATGTCTTTTTATCTTGTTATGATTGACTATTTTTTGTTAGAATAACTGTAGATAACGATATGATATTGTTTTATCTTATGGTTGACTAATTTTTTTTTTAAGAATTAATGTGGATTTATGCATATTTTAAAATTCAGATAGTTTTTTAAAATTATAATTAAGTTTATTTTGTATTGATTATTTGTTCGGTCATATTTGAGACTAGTCCAAATTGGCATTTTTTCCGAAAAACTCAAATGCTAGTCTTAAACTCAAATAAAAGCACATACACATCATCGAAAGATAGATTTTATTTTACACAACAATGGGACACAACAACAAAACAATCGAAGATGAACAATGGATACAAATGAATTATTAATTTAGCAACTTTTTTTTTTACTCAAGATGATCATGCGGTCGGATGGACATGAACATCGCTGCATACTGAAGTAAACGGCGTTCACTGTTACCTTCAACGCTATGTTCCGACACAGGACTCATCGAACCACCTACACCACCACACGTTCTCTTCCTGTACCGGCGCCACGACATTTGAATATTCACTGCAGCCCACGTCCTCCAGTTTGAGGAGTAGTATCTTGCAGTCCTCTTTAGACGCTCGTTTGCGAATTTATAACGGAAATGATCGGTTATGTACCTAAGATCTTCTGATCCGAGGGAGAAGGCCTCGATGTTGTCGAGACAGACAAATGTTGCGGAGGAAGGAGGAAGACGGTCAATGAATGGACGACGTAGGCACCATGAGAGTAGCTCGTCGCCTAAGTAACCGCCTGGTTCGAGTGTACTTGTGGCTACCACGCCTTTGCTTAGGCTCTGGTTACGTTTGACTCTCCCACGCATTATGAATATCATTCTCTGTACAGGATCTCCTTCGCGGATGATCTGTTGTGACAATCAACACAACCCGAGAACTCAGTTATTACAAACTAAAGACAAAATAATACTCTTATGATGATGCGACAAGGACCTTTTCGTCTTTAGAGTAGACACGAGGCTTAGCACGGTCGCAAATGTTGTCTAGGATCAAATCGTCCATGCCCCTGAACAATGGTACCTAAAAAAAATAACATATTATCAGAGACTTGGCCGTTAATGTTCTCACAAGTACTCTTAACAAGATTCAACTATGGTTTGTTTTTTAGTACCTTGTTAATGAGATCAACGCAAAGATATCGCTTAATATCTCTTCGAAGACCCGGAGGCAAATCTTGTATAAGTTCCAGCTCGTCTTCTCCACCCAAGGCAGTCCATCTTTGCCGCTCAAATCTCCTAACTCTCTGTCTTAACCGAGAAGGTAACTGCCTACGTTTCATCCACCATTCCATATCCCTACACCTTATCTGCATTTTCCTCTTCTTTGCCATTACAGCGTGCAAAAACACCTTCAAAAGAAAGCAAACAGGTTGTTAAAAACTTCTTATCCCATCAAAACACAATTATCATTTAAAGAGAGTCTTCTCCTTCCTTAGTTTACCTGAATGTTTCCGATCAACAGAGTGAAGAGTAACAACCCACTAAGGACCATAACTATGCTGAAAACAACCTCAAGCCAGTTGCTTGTGGGCTCAAGATCATTCCCAAATGTGCTGTAAACCGCAACACACAAATCATGGTCAGTATTTAACACTTAAAAGGTTATTAAACATGGAAAAACTCTGAAACTACCTGAGAGTCATTAGCCCCCAGAAGATAGGGTAAAGTATCTTAACCGCAAGAGAGTTGCTGGAGATGACCGGAAGTGCCCAACCGTAGATACCATATCGAAATGGTCCGTCAGAGTCTAAGCACATAGGCTTATTGACCACACTGGTAAGGTTTCCAGATAAACATGGATACCCAATTGTGCTAGTCGGTGACACGAATTGGTAACAGACCTCTTCTTGACAAGACAGACTCAGATTACAGTTCCCGTTCCTCATGCATTGCTGTCTGATACAAGAAGCAACACGCTGTATCGCAAGAACATACCAGCATCCCCCAGCTACCTGTAACCACACACAAAAAACCATCAAAAGACCAACATTAGTATCATTTCTTACCTTAGAACTTAGGAATATATACACATATATTAGAGGACTTACATGAGAAGCGATGAAATATGCGATGAGATTAAGAGCAAAACCCCACCAAATAGTCCCAAAAATGTAACCAGTGACTTTCTGCATCCTTCTCATCAAGCAGATACAGTGATAAATCTTGGGGAGGAACTGGAACAAGAAGATTAGCAGAAGGATCGTCATTATCAGCTTAACCTTCTCTTCTCTTATCAGTTTTGGCACCACTAACCAAAACACAGCCTGCAAACAATAATGATTCATGTGGGCTCAATTGACACTAATAAAATATTTATGGTTACTTTAATAATACCAGAATACTTTGAGGACTGTTCTGAAAAAAAGTTTTAACCTGAGGAACCGGGAGGATGACTATAACATCAAACCAGAACCCAGTAAGAGAGCGCGCGTAATGTGACGCAATAGCGCGTGGATCCCAAACAAGCTTCCCACACCCAACCACAAGCGACTCTCTCGACACGTACGCCAATCTAAACTGAAGCCACACGTGCCAAAGATGAAGACCATCCAAACACGTGCGAACGACGGTTACAACTGCCGCGAAGGCCCCGTCCATATAAAGACACGCGGGTCCAGTAGTCCTCCCGATGGAGAGCGCGTAGAAGAAGAGCGGATCAACAGCAAGTGCCATCCCTCGAGCTAGAAGCAACGCGCGGTTCCATCTCTGCACGCGCTTGCTCCTCGGATCGAGAACCTCGCCGAAGGGGCCGTTGAGACGTCTGACCCGGGCTCGAACCGGGTTGGGCGCGGATCCTTCTTGGATCGGGACTAGGGAGGATCCGGCTGAGGCGCGCCATTCTGGAGCGTTGGCTTGATCGCAGCTTGTGGAGTGGAAGGCAGGTACGCCTGCTTGTGTGCATGCGTAACACTCGCCGGAGGTTAGTACCGGCGTGTCGTCGCTGCTTGATTCTCCGACGTTGTTTTGGATGATGCTGTTTTCCGAGAATCCGGTCGTTTCTCGCCGGAGTTTCCGGGAAAAGAATCCAATCCACCTGAGAATTCGAATTTGTGAAGAGACTAATCAGAAGATGAATCGGTTTATTGTGAAGTAATTGCATGGTGGCTTAGAAAGGTACAAAACAGTTCAGAAAGACTGAAGAAATTTTCCAGGAAAACTGTTTATGAGAAAGTAACAAAACCTTAACCGTTGAGAAAAGAAACAGAAATAAATAAAAAACGAAATACATTTTTGAAATTACTGAGCATTTATACCTGAAGAGGAAGTTGGTGTGAGAGGGCATGATTGAAGTAGAGGAACCACCATGGGAGAGACAGAAGATTTGCAGGTAAAGATTGGAGAGAGAGAGAGAAGTATGATAGATTTGTATAGGGGAAGGGAGAGTGTGTGATACGTATGTCTCTAGTAGGATTCGGTTTATTGTTAGGATCCGGTAAACAAGAGTAAACCGAAAATCCACCTAATTCGGAAACCGAACCGGATTTGGACGATGAGGGATGAGTTGTCAAGTGTAAGAGATGTGTGTGGTTAGTAGTAAAGAGAGACATCTTTTGGCAGTGGCCCACAACAGAGACACTGAACAAATTGGATTCCGTACAGAGCATGAAGATTACAACGTTAGGGGACCCCCATTTCAATTATTGCATACGTTAGTTGGGTTCTTATTGCTGAATCATTGAAATTTAGATAAGCTTTAATCTTTGACCAAAAAAAAAAAAAAAAAAAAAGATAAGCTTTAATCAAATTTGCTTGCTATAATAGGAAATGTTTTACTATAAGAGAATTCTTTGTAAAACGGATTTGGAAACTAGGGATCATCTCTTTTTCAATTGTGTCTATTCTAAGGGAGTGTGGTTGAGCACAATCAAGAATTTATTGGGCAATAGGAGGGTGTATGACTGGCCTACGGTGATCCAGCTGGTGGTGAAAGGTTTTCGGGATAAAGTTATCACTTATCTTATGAGATTTTGCTTTCAAGCGGTTGCTTACTTCTTATGGCACGAGAGAAATATGAGACGAGTTGAGGACACTCAACACTATGCCTCTTGGTTTATTACCAGATTAGATAAGTTGATTAGAAACATGATTACTTCCTTACAAAAGAGAAAAGGGAATAAGCATGAGAAAACTATGTAGGTTTGGTTTGGTTTAAGCTGATATTTGTTGGGATGCAGTGCTGTGTTGCTGGAGTTGGGAGAGGCCTGGTTACTGCTTTCTGGAGGGTTGAGTTTGTGATCTTGGAGCTGTTTGCAGTTTTCGTATGGGGTTTTAATGGGCGTGTTGGCAACATTTAGCACTCCCATTTAGCACTGTCTTGATCATGAGTAGATTACTCTTTTTCCTTACTAAAGTTTTATCTCATGTTGGGTTTTTCTTTAGTAAGGTTTTAATGAGGATCACCTCATGGTCCTCCCAAAGCTTGACTTGCTCCACATGGTCAAGCTTGAGGGGGAGGGCTATGATGAATGATTTTTTTCCTTTGTTTTGCTTCTTGGTCTTTTGATTTGTTTTGCCTTTTGTATTGTTCTTTCTATCTTTGTTGTATCTCGATGTAAAACAGTTTTTTTTAAATGCAATTTAAAATTCTTTCAAAAAAAATAAGAGACTTGTAGTATGCGTGCGTATTAATACATACCATGAAATATAAATATTTTATTTCAGAGGTTGGATAGTTTGGCAATCAATTGTATAAAGAATATGCTTTCATGATTCTATATTGATATTTGTCTCTATCATCATAAAAAAAAAAAAATTGATAGATTTTTTGTTGTGTGATCAATCGATAGTTGTTATACGTAATATTGTACCTACCTATGGAAGTATGGATTGATCACATGGGACGTAAGCCATATATCTAACACACACTTTTATTTAAACGTTATAAATAAAATAAATTATTTGATTATCAGAAAGTTAAGGCAGAATAAACTATTGTGATGGTTATTATAATTATTAGGAACATACTGCAAAATCTAATCTCGTAGTTAGGCATTTGTTGGTTAACAGTCTTACAGATACCCACTTATTACTATAAAGCAGCACATTTTTCAGATTTTCAAGATTACCCAAATTTTGGGGACCTGTGGTATATCAGCCACGTACCTGACTGTGACAGTGAAGTTTCCACAAGGTGAGAGTCGTATAAAATCATACCATACATTTATAGTTCGAGTCACGGCCAATATCAACCTATTACGTACACCCAATTGAATGATAATCACAAGGTCGAAATTCTAAGTGAGAGCCAAGAGAGATTAGTGGAATAACCGTGAAGGGAGTGAAGGAGAATAAAGTATAATGGTAGAAATTTGAACTTTAGTATAAAGTAATATGGTATCAATCCAAATATATGAATACTAGTGATCTTGAGTAATCATTTTTAAGATCACTAGCTCACCAACCACTTAATGCATATAGATTTTCGTCGACATATTCTAATAAATTAACAAGCACCTAATTTAGCAATAACATATTTAAAAAAAAAACAATAGCGAAAATGTGGAATACTGTCTGGTGTACTATTCGAGCATATTGCAAAAGGACAAGAAAACCATGTGCAATAACTCGTGTCTATTTTGTCTTTCTTTCATGTCCATGTATGTAATAAGCTAACGCCAAGACGAAAAAACTTAGCAACCAAGTGGCACAAGACGGCAAATAGAACGTGACATTATCTGATTTCGATTGTAACCGGTTGGTCGACATTCCTTCCATAGAATCACTGAAATATCGATTTTGACCTTGGAGGTTTTGAACACGACTTTTCTTTTGGTTTTGAGTTCAACACGCCAAGAAGATCAGAACTTTTTTTGAACTAAACATGTCACCTTAAAACTCTTTAAATCTAAGATGCAAAGCAACACAACACATATACACATCCATGTCTTCTTGGCAGCTCTACGGTGAACGGCCACACAAGCCTAATAAAATATGCCCAATAGAGAAGTGGTCACAAGAAAACTATTTAACTTTACAGAGATTCATTCATTACCATTTTCTATAATCTCTGGATTCTGAGACATCAGTACAATAACTTAAAAGCTTATGATTTATATTAACTCACATTGAGATAAATGTTATCATTGTGTTTTATCACAACAAACTCACTAGAAGTACTATACTATAAAGTCCGAAACTTCTTGATCTCTAAACGATGCCGTTTTCAATTGCTCTGTTTTGAGAAAGCTTCTTCTTCCTCAGCAGAATCTGCAGTCTCCGACTCAATCTTTTTAAATATGAGCTTCTGCTGAGGTAACTGACCGTTGCCAAACGCTGTAACCTCAGTATCAATCAGAATGCCATCTTCTTCCTTGAAATCACCTCTCAAGATTCCTTTTGCAAGCTCGTTCTCAATGTTCTGCTGTATCACACGCTTGACAGGTCTAGCTCCATAGTTAGGATCATACCCTAGGCTTCCAAGAAGATCCACCGCTGCATCTGTGATCTCTATCTTCATTTTCCTATCCGCAATCCTCTTCTGCACACGAGCCAGCTGTAACCTGACAATGCTGTTGATCTGCTCACGGTCAAGAGGCTGGAAAACAATATACTCATCAACTCTATTCATGAACTCAGGACGAAAGATTGATCTCGCAGCGTCCATCACTCTCTGCTTAATCGTCTCATAACCAAGCTCATTCGCGTCATCATTCAGGATATACTGCGAGCCAACGTTCGAGGTCATGATAATAACGGTGTTTGTAAAACTCACTGTCCGTCCTTGAGAATCAGTGACTCTCCCATCATCCAAGATTTGGAGAAACACATTGAACACATCTCCATGAGCTTTCTCAATCTCATCGAATAGGATCACCGAGTAAGGCCTTCTTCTAACCACTTCAGTTAACTGTCCTCCTTCCTCGTAACCTACATATCCAGGTGGAGCTCCAATGAGTCTCGACACAGCGTGTTTCTCCATGTACTCACTCATGTCGATTCTCACAAGAGCTTCCTCCGTGTTGAAGAGATAAGAAGCTAAAGCTTTAGCTAGCTCGGTTTTACCAACACCTGTTGGTCCCATGAACATGAAGCTAGCTATTGGACGGCCTGGATCCGAGAGACCAGCTCTAGACCGTTGGATTGCTTCAGCTACAGCCGTCACTGCTGGATTCTGACCAACCACACGTCTATGCAACTCCTCTTCCAAGTGTAGAAGCTTATCTCTTTCGGATTGTTGAAGCTTGGAGACAGGGATACCAGTCCATTTGCTCACAATCTCAGCTATGTCGCTACCTAACACCTCTTCTCTAAACATAGACTTGCCTGAGCTTAAGTACTCGTTGAGCTCTTTCTCAGCTTCGTTTAACTGTCGTTGTAACGAGTTTAAGCTTCCGTATTTGAGCTCTGCTGCACGGTTTAGATCGTATTCACGTTCTGCTTGCTGGATCTCGAGGTTTACTCTGTCGATCTCCTCTTTGATGGATTGAAGACGGGACATAACAGACCTCTCGTGCTCCCATTGTTCGGTTAACTCAGCTTGCTTCTCCTTTAGTAGCAATAACTCTGTTTCGATTCGGTTCAGCCTCTCTCTTGAAGCTTTGTCTGTGTCGTTAGTGAGTGAAAGCCTCTCCATTTCGAGCTTTATCACCGCACGGTCAAGCTCGTCAAGAGCTGTGGGTTTTGATGTGATTTCCATTTTCAGTTTGGCTGCTGCTTCATCAACCAAGTCAATAGCTGGAAAAAAACGAATAAGTTTAGTAACATTGTCTAGTAACGAAGATTTATATGGTAACGGTAAAGTATCAACCTTTGTCAGGTAGGAACCGGCCACTGATGTAACGGTCAGAGAGAATAGCAGCTTCCACTAGAGCACTGTCTGAGATGCGAACTCCGTGATGAAGTTCATACCTTTCTCTCAAACCACGGAGGATTGATATCGTGTCTTCCACGGTAGGTTGATCAACGTAAACTTGTTGAAACCTACGCTCCAACGCTGGATCTTTCTCTATGTATTTTCTGTATTCGTCAAGCGTTGTTGCGCCAATACATCTTAGCTCGCCTCTACCTAGCATTGGTTTTAGTAGATTACCAGCATCCATTGCTCCATTAGTCGCACCTGAAAGAACCAAGAAATCAAAATCATTGCAAGAAAAATATAAAAACTTTTCTCAGTCATCAAGCGATGCTGCATACCGGCACCAACAACTGTGTGAATCTCATCAATGAACAAAATGGTTTGGCCTTCTGAGTCAGTGACTTCCTTAAGTACAGCCTTTAGTCTATCTTCGAACTCTCCTCTATACTTTGCTCCAGCAATAAGTGCTCCCATATCAAGAGATATCAACTGAAAAGATACCAAAGGATGGTTGAGTAAGAATACAAAAGGATTGAAGTTTGATGTTAAAGTTGAATACCTTTCTGTTCATCAATGCTTGAGGTACATCTCCTTGCACAATCCTCTGAGCAAGTCTGTTTCAAAATTTGGTATCTTAGCATCAAATAAACATATGGTTTTAACTTAGTGAAGTAAAGTGTTGTGACAATTTACCCTTCTGAGATTGCGGTTTTACCAACACCTGGTTCACCAATTAACACAGGGTTATTCTTAGTCCTCCTTGAGAGAATCTGAATACATCTACGAATCTCATCATCCCTCCCAATCACAGGATCAAGCTTCCCTTCTCTCGCCATTGCTGTCAAATCTTTCCCATACTTCTCCAACGCCTCATACTTACCTTCCGGATCTGTCAAACATAAAACGAATCAAGTCTCCAAGACTCCAAGACAAATCAAGTCAACGTCCAAAATGATATGTTACCAACCTTGGTCAATAACTGATTGTTTCCCTCTAATAGACTCAATAGCAGTTTTCAAACTCTTCTCAGATATCTGAAAATCCTTAAACAACTGCCTCCCAAACCGTTTATCATCAACGAAAGCAAGAACCAAATGCTCCACAGAGACATAAGAGTCCCCCAAGTCTTTCTTATATTGCCTTGCCCTCTGAAACAAACCTTCCAAATCACGCCCCAACATCGAACCAGCAGCTTCTCCATACACCTGATGAAAGTCACTAACTAACTTAACTCCTCACTAATCCCCATATAGCAAACAAAACCTCAAAACATTTCATTTACCTTTGGCTGCCGTTGAATGAACTTATCAGTCGCTTCAAGAACCTTAGTGTTATCCACACCAATCTTAGAGAAAATCCTACGAGCTAAACCGTTCTTCTGCTCCAAAAGAGCTTTCATAAGATGCTCAGTCTCCACAATCTGTTGCTTATTCTCTTTAGCCACGTCTGGTGAAGAGACTATCGATTGCCACGCCATCTCTGTGAACTCTTGCTGTGTAAGCTATAATAATACACAATCAAAGTACAGTATCAGTCTCTAAGTTCAATAAAACGTTAAAAGTTTGAGACTTTTACCCTTCCGTTAGAAGAAGCTTCACATCGGACGACGAACGGCCGATGCTCAAGCCTCCGCCGCGTGAAGCTCACGCTCTGTTTTAGTTTCAGTGATTTGAAGGAACTGGGCTTCGCCGGAAAAGCCACGGAAGGTTGGAGGTGAGAAAAAGAAGAAACCTTTCGGGAGTCCGATCCCACGCCGACGATACCACCACTAAACGTCGTCGTCGCCGTCGCCATTTTGCTCGGAGAACTTAAAAAGACGGTAAATAGATTACAAAGGGAGAGATATATTACAACAGGGAGTTTAGTGTAATTTCAGTAAAACGACGAGATGTTTACTTAAGAACTGAGCAAAGATGACACTTTTTTGCTTATTTTTCTGTGTTCGTTCACGTGAAGGAGGAGGAGTGGAAGGATGAAATAATAAAGAAGGGGAGGAAGATGCTAAACGACGCCGGAGGCTTCGTGAACCCTCGGGATGACACTTTAGACACGTGTTATCTCTCTCAAAGAAATTATTTAATTCTTTTCCGAGGTGGAAATAATATGAGCCGTCTAAAAGAGCAGAATGTATAAATATAAAATATATATTTTCCCGAAACTTGGGCTAAAGAGGTCGCGGCCGGCCCAAGTACGACTGTAGTGGAAATCAAACAGTGCAACCCACTAACAGCTATAGAGCGCGTGTAATCAAACAGTGTAACCCACCACGCCTACGGTCAGTGCCGGTAAACACGTTTGGTCTTATTAATAGATTTAAGCTCCAATTTTGTTAGGAGTTAGGACTGTTACTTTAAAGTTTAAACTTCTACTTTAAAGTTTAAACTTTGATTTTAGAATTTTGTGACTGTAAAGATTTTAATTTTAAGGATGTAACTATTACTTGATGACAAAAAAAAAATTATTACTTTAAAATTATTTAAAATTATGATTAGCATCAAAAACTTTAGAAATTGTGATTGTGATAAATATATATATATTAATGATTTATTTCCACAATTAGTTATCAGTAAAAGTTTTGAGTTATATCTTATTACCAAATTGAGTCTTGTTTTGGGTTATGAGTAAACTAATTTTTTTTTTATTTCTTCTCTAACATTACCAACAACATTTTTTATAATAAAAAATGGATCTTAAACAAAAGAAACTAAATAGTAGTTGTGTACTAATGAATTTATTTTTTGCGATGAAACATAAATTGATGTAGTGCACTTTGATTTTTTTAGGAGGAGAAGAAAAAAAAACAAAGAAAAAGAGTTAATTTCTATTTTCTCACATCCTTAAAAGTCATGATTTTTATCTCTCCCTTCTCTCATGCTGCATCAGCATCATCCCATCGCTCTGCAACAAGTTTCTTATGTATGTGGCTGACATTTGAGTGAGTAAAACCTGTAGTGTTATGTTTTTTTCGTTCATTCTTTTGCTGCTCCAAGATGTGACAGTTCTTGATGAAATCTACAATCCAGCTAAGCAAGGAGACTGGATTACCTTTTACGCTCAGATTCTGCCTTCTCTTTGAGTTCGTCATTGGAAGCAATCCTATTCACTTAATTTGCAGAAAACCCGGCCCCGTAAGCAGCATTATCGTTCCCCACATTAATCGAAACACCCTGAAAAGGAGGAGGAGGAGCCACGTCATTGACATTGGACACCCCATTGAAACTACTATCAAGTGAAACACCAGCCATTTCTTTGTCTGCTCTTTTCTTATTTCCAACGCTTTTCTTTTGGCTCCTCACGCCAACATGCATCTCCATTGGCTTCGGATATGTCACTTGAAGGATTAGTGTAATTTTATGGATTTTGTATTATTTATTATTATTTTTTGCTTATTTTTTTCCGTTTTTCATCTTTTTAGTAAGCAATATTTATAATCATCTATCATCTATATATATTATTTGAGAAGTGATGTATTGCACTCTTGTTAACTCTCAATGTGACTTATTACATTGATATCTTTGATGAATTATGTGTATTATTAAAAATCTCATTATTAATATTTTTATTTATCTTTTTATAATATTTATTTCCAAATCACCTTATTATAAAAGTTTAATATATTTAATGTAAATATATATTTGTAAACCATGAAAGTTAATAAACGAATTTCCTTTCACATAACTCAACAAGAATTTAATATAATAAGATAATATATCTTATAGAAATAAATTAATATCAGCTTTTATATATATAAAACATGTAGTTTAGCAAAACTATTTTATATAAATCAAAAGGAATATAATATCTTTAATATAAGAAATATGAATATATATATATATATATAATCTATACTTTTGGGAAAAACTATTATTATATGTATATAAACAATAAAAGGATATATATATATATATATGTATATATCAATTTCTCTTATATTTATAAAATGTTTTTAATAAGAAAATAATTCTCTTTTAAAATCTCAAACTCACAAAATATTATAAATTTTAAATCATTTTATCATGAGATTCAAATATCTGATATCTTATATATAAATAAAAACATTTAAATTTCTCCTTTGTTTATTATTAGTAAACCCATCAACTTCTACTCAAGTGATTACATATACATATCACTGCAGCCACCAAAAAAGATACGTTTCTAAAGAACAGAAATGATATAAGATGTAGATGCAAAAGCAACAAAAGTGTTTTATACATTGTTCTTCAACTATCAACAACTAACCTTTTTGGTCATCAATAACAATCTATATATCAAGCTTTAATTAACAAAACATGTTCTAATGACAAGTATGATGGTCGCTAATGTGACTATATATATATGTCTCACCTTCTAAGGTTGATATGGGTAGTCAATGTATGCATTTGAGTCTTAAGTGTCGCGAAATTGACTTCCAAGTTGTAAATTTACAGCGCCTTCCTTTGCTTTGAGCGTGCAGCTGATTCCCGATTTGCCAAGGATCTGAAAAATCATATATGTTCACATGTACAATATGTAAATGTCACAAAACAAATATACAATCTAGCTAAGCAAGGAGATTGGATTACCTTTTGTGACTCTTACGCTCAGATTCTACCTTCTCTTTGAGTTCGTTATTGGAGACAATCCTATTCACTTGATCTGCAGTAAACCCGACTCCGTAAGCAACATTATCATTCCCCACATTAACCGAAACACCCTGAGGAGGAGAAGGAGCCACGTCATTGACATTGGACACCCCATTGAGACTATTACCAAGTGAAACACCCTGAGGAGGAGGAGGAGGAAGCGTCATTGACATTGGACACTCCATTGAGACTACTACCAAGTGAAACACCAGCTATTTCTTTGCCTGCTCTTCTCTTATTTCCAACGCTTTTCTTTTGGATCCTCACGCCAACGGGTATCTCCATTGGCTTCGGGTAGGTGCCACTTGAAGGATTAGTGTAATTTTATGGGTTTTGCATTATTTATTATTATATTTTGCTTATTTGTTTCCGTTTTTCATCTTTTTAGTAAGAAATATTTTTAATCATTTCTATATATTATTTGAGAAGTGAATTTCTTATGTATTGCACTCTTGTTAACTCTCAATATGATTTATTACATTGACATCCTTGATGAATTATGTGTATTATTAAACATATCATTATAATATTTTTAATTATCTTTAAGTAATATTTATTTCCAAATCACCTAATTATAAAAGGGTAATATATTTAATGTAAATATATATTTGTAAACCATGAAAGTTAATAAAGGAATTTCCTTTTACATAACTCAACAGGAACTTAATATAATAGATAATATATCTAATATAAATAAATCAATATCAGCTTTTATATATATTAAAGCATGTAATTTAATAAAAATGATCTTATATAAATCAAAAGGAATATAATATCTTTAATATAAGAAATATGAATATATATATATATAACCTATACTTTTGGGAAAAAATATTATTTTATATATATATATATAAAAGAAATATATATATATCAATTTCTCTTATATTTATAAAATGTTTTTAATTAAAAAATAATTCTCTTTTAAAATCTCAAACTCACAAAATATTATAAATTTTAAATCATTTTTATTATGAGATTCAAATATCTGATATCTCATAAATAAAGACATTTGAATTTCTCCTTTGTTTATTATTAGTAAACCCATCAACTTCTACTCAAGTGATTACATTTACATATCACTGCAGCCACCAAAGAAGATACTTTTCTAAAGAACCAAAATGATATAAGATGTAGACGCAAAAGCAGCAAAAATGTTTTATACATTGTTCTTCAACTATCAACAACTAACCTTTTTGGTCATCAATAACAATGTATATATCAAGCTTTAATTAACAAAACACGTTCTAATGACAAGTATGATGGTTGCTAATGTGATTATATATATATATATGTCTCCTTTTCTCAAGGTTGATCTGGGTAGTCAATGTATTCATTTGAGTTTTAAGTGTCGCGAAATTGACTTTCAAGTTGTAAATGTACAGCGTCTTCCTTTGCTTTGAGCGTGCAACTGATTCCCGGTTTGCCAACGATCTGAAAAATCAGATATGATCACATGTACAATATATAAATGTCACAAAACAAATATACAATCTAGCTAAGCAAAGAGATTGGATTACCTTTTGTGACGCTTACACTCAGATTCTGCCATCTCTTTGAATTCATCATTGGAGGCAATCCTATTCACTTGATATGCAGTAAACCCGACTCCGTAAGCAGCATTATCGTTCCCCACATTAACCAAAACACCCTGAGGAAGAGGAGGAGGAGCCACGTCATTGACATTGGACACTCCAATGAGATTACTACCAAGTGAAACACTCTGAAGAGGAGGAGGAGGGGCGTCATTGACATTGAACACCCCCATTGAGGCTATTACCAAGTGAAACACCAGCTATTTCTTTGCCTGCTCTTCTCTTATTTTCAACACTTTTCTTTTGGCTCCTCACGCCAACAGACATCACCATTGGCTTCGGGTAGATGGCACTTGAAAGATTAGTGTAATTTTATGGGTTTTGCATTATTTATTATTATATTTTGCTTATTTTTTCCATTTTTCATCTTTTTAGTAAGAAATATTTATAATAATCTATATATATTATTTGAGAAGTGAGTTTTTTTATGTATTGTTAACTCTCGTTGTGATTTATTATATTGATATCTTTGATGAATTATGTGTATTATTAAAATCTCATTATTAATATTTTTTATTTATCTTTTTATAATATTTATTTCCAAATTACCTTATTATAAAAGGTTAATATATTTAATGTAAATATATATTTGTAAACCATGAAAGTTAATAAACGAATTTCCTTTCACATAACTCAACAAGAATTTAATATAATAAGATAATATATCTAATAGAAATAAATTAATATCAGCTTTTATATATATAAAACATGTAGTTTAGCAAAACTATTTTATATAAATCGAAAGGAATATAATACTTTAATATTAGAAATATGAATATATATAACCTATACTTTTTGGAAAAAACTATTATTTTATATATATATATATAAACAATAAAAGGAAATTGATATATATATATATATATATATATATCAATTTCTCTTATATTTATAAAATGTTTTTAATAAGAAAAATAATTCTCTTTTATAATCTCAAACTCACAAAATATTACAAATTTAAAATCATTTTTATTATGAGATTCAAATATAGAATATCTCATAAATAAATATATTTGAATTCCACCCTTTAGTTTATTATTAGTAAACCCATCAACTTCTGCTCAAGTGATTACATTTACATATCACAGCAGCCACCAAAGAAGATACTTTTCTAAAGAACCAAAATGATATAAGATATACATGCAAAAGCAACAAAAGTCTTTTATACATTGTTCTTCAACTATCAACAACTAACTTTTTTGGTCATCACCCCCCTTAATAACCAAAATAAATAAATATCCAATCCAATCTTTCTCGTTCTTATAGAACACCTCACGAGTTCGTATTCTCCCGAATGAATTTCAAAACAAAAATGAGTACCCTTTATATTCTTCAGAAAGAATGATTCTTTTCTCTCTTCCTTACTCTTATGCTGCATCCCTTTGCTCTGCAACAAGTCTCTTATGTACGTGGCCAGCTAAAATTTTCTGAATCTTTTTAGAGTGAGTAAAACCTCTAGTGCTCCTGTTTTATCTTTCTCTTTCTAATATCTTCCTCCTTCTCTTTCAATATATCCCATCTGAAAGTTTCGGGATTCGCTACTCCAGGATGTGACAGTTCTTGATGAAATCATTCGAGTAGTTCACGTATTTTGTCCAGAATGGCCTGAGATGCTCGAAACCAATCTCTAGCCACGGCTTTGACTGCCCATTGTAGTGGATCACCGCAGCTTTGCTAATACTCTCAATGTTGGTCTGACTCTGATAGCCTAAACCAAGCATATGCCATGACGAGTCTATTATATGGACGTGACCCTTAAACGCAATAAGAGCAGGAGGCAACGTTCCAAGCTTCCACATTGTCAGATTCGACTTAAGATTCTGCTCAAAACCAAAACCAAAACCAAAACAGAGTAAGAGAGTGAGATAACTTGAGATTCTGCTTAAAGAGAGTTCTTTGATTACCTCTTTTAGCCAGGTGTGATACGTTTCTCTGATGTTTGTCTTTCTCCAAGCTTTTAGATCAAAGACATTCATACCATACGCCCAAGCGCATTCTTCAGGATTCAAATGCTTTGCTATGTGCGGGTGAGAGAAATTGAAGTAGTTCCTTAAACGCTTTGACATCACACGTTCATCCTCACCCCGGCAAGTTTCCACTGCTCCATTGACCTTACCACCAAGGTCAATATCCCAAAGTGGAGCCAAGTCTCTCTGAACAACTATATCATCGTCTAAGAACACCACCTTGTCCAAGTTCGGGTAAAGCTGGTTCCAAACAAGAGAGAAGAGATTGTTATATGATGTTTAGAGGAAACTTGAGATAAAGCTAGTTCCAAGTTGATTTACCTCTGGTATATAGATTCTAAGATGGTTAAGCAAAGATATGTATTTAGGACTTCTAGACTGCAACTTCGAAGCAAACCTTCTAGGAGTAGTTTCACTGAGGTTTGCCCCAGCGACATGACTCCCATGGTAATAGTTCATAAGACCATTATGGCTTTCCACAGCTTCCAGAACCGGAACATTCTCTCTCGTCAACCAGTCAAACTGATGAACACCTTTAACTTCCACAATAGCAGGAGCAACAGAGTTGAGCGCAAACCATGAATGCATACCCGCGTAGGTTTTCTTGTCTGTGATGATGTGAAAGACGATTTTCTCTGGTTTTGAAGATGACTGCACAGCGGATGAGACAACAACGGATGCAGCCAGTATATTGTCGGTGGAGAGAATAAAATGGTGGTAAGAGTTATCTGAAAGAACAGGGAGAAACTCTGGTGAAGGAAGTTGTCTACGAGCATGAGCATTTGAGGAGTATTCATCTGTCAGTCTTAGAGAGAGACAGTGAATGCCTTTGGGGATGGAGCTTGCTGCAAAATGCTTGTTGGTAAGTTCAGCAAATTTAGTTTCTCTAATGTCCCGTTCAAACTTCTCTATCTGTTCAAGACATAGATAGACAAATCACATAAAGATATCTTCTAATTTAGATGGCTCATTTTTAGATTAGACAAAACCTACCATGGCTCGCAGGACAAGAGCAAATGTTTTGGCATCATAGTGGTTATTCTTGGTATCCGAAACAAGGTGATTAAAAGAATCTGGAAGCTTCAAACCATCTGGAATGTCTTGAGTGCTTACTTCGTTCAGAATTTTATAAAAGTCTCTAGCTAGTCTCTGCAGCAAGAGAGACACATGATGGGAGAAAACAAAAAAATTAATTTAAGAACATGAAAAGATACTGAAATTAGCAGAGCCTAAAAAGAAAGCAACAACTCACCTCTGAATCATCTACTCTACCAAGAAGACGTGGACCTAACCGCCTCCCTAAACAATCTGAGAGTAAGAAGAAAAAAGTAATGAGACCATCACAAGGATACTCCAAAACTCAGCAAATGAACATCTTAAACCCATAAAAAAAAGCATAGAAACAGAGATACCTCAAACAACATATAGATAAATTCATAAAACAAAAATTATCATTCAACTCCACAACCCAACAAAATGCATTGATGGGGAACTAAAAATCATATGTACTGACAACAATTAAGGCCGTACAGCTCCTTGAGAACCAAGATTCCTACAAAATTTAATCAGTGGGGGACCTAACAAAGAAAAATCCAAAAACTTGATTGACTTAATCCTCATCCTAGTACGATACCAAAGAATTGCCGTTGGATAATACAAATGTACACTAAAAAGGAAGATCCTTTTTATTACACACATACACACAAAATACACATTCCAAAACAGAGGATCCTAAAAGATGTGATTTTTTAAAAATTTACCAATAGAGGAGCACTTGTTGGCACCTTCGAGGGTAACAAGAGCGGTTAAGATGAAAACAAAGGGCAACAAGAAAGCGAGGATCAAAATAGTGTGGAAGAGAGTTCGGTAAGAGATATGACGAGCTGCGACTTTGCTGCTCGAGATCGTGATGCTTCTCATGCTAGGCGATATGTGAAGCTGCATCCTTTTCCCTCCTGCAGCCTCACTACAATCACAAAATCGAAAACCCTAATTCCTAACAATCCCAAACACAACATCAGATCCCGTCTATCAGATTCTGCCTCCCCGATCTCCCAACGATTCTCGATCTAACTTTCTCCTTCCTCGTCTCTGATTGGTTCCTTATCGCTATTCTTCTTCTTCTCATTGGGTTTTCAGACCACCAATCAAAATTTGAGATTCCCGCGCTACTCCGTTGGAGATTGGTTTAATCAATTTGAATTGAAATTGGGTTTGCCGCAAAGTCACGTCTTTTTAATGGAGAGTCTTCTCAATCTCAGAGATCAAGATTCGAAATCAAAGAGCTGAGGAAGAAGGAGAAAAAATAGAGGGAACAAAAAAAAAAGGAAAGGAATATTCAAAGAGTTTTATTTTGTTCTCAGTGGTTTCGTTTTGCCGGTGGATATAAAAAAAATAAAAAGAAATTAAAACTATAGTTTATTTCAAGAGATCTAAAATTATTAATGAGTATTTAATGAATTGGTGTCTTAACCTTGAGTTTAGGGAGAGCTAATTATACATTTTGTCTTCCCACCTATTTTCATGGCTAAGCAAAGAGTTTTGCTTTTCCATCTTTCTTTTAAATGATTGATTGATATATAAACGGAGTTAGTTTTCAATTCAAACATATTGTTATGAAAATTGACAATTAAATCGCTTTTACACCATTCATGATAATTAGACATTTACACTCCATCTCCAGCACAGTAAACCGCGTCATTCATATGGAAACTACGTGTGTAATATACTATTGAGTCTTAGCTAATTGATAGTGGTAGGTCAAAAATCACCACAGGGATTTCCTTCCCAAAATTTGATCACAAAATGCCAGTACAATTCTATTTGTCAACGTTAGTGTTATTTAATTTTATTTTATATGTTCAATAGTTTTGTTGAATACCATAGATAGACCCGACCGACACATTCTAGTATGACTTTTCAATATCGTCAAAATTTGACTCAAATGCTATTATTTCGAGTGTTGTCCCTTTGCCGGGACACTTCTTGTGACCACCTAAAACATGAATCGACCTGATATTACTTGAATAGATGTTACAGTACTTGTGTCGGTTCTCAAGAGTCTTTATTTATTGATTCATCGTCACGTTCTCCTGATTCCTCTGTGCAACTCTTCTTGCTCTTTCTTACCTTTGCTCATCCCATGGAACGTTTGATGACCATATAGAACAGGGCCGGTTCTGAAAATTATATTGTTTAAAATGATTTTTTTTAATAATTTTATCTAATTTTTTTTTCTTTTATAGATTTGGAACGTATAAATATTTTTAGAGGTTTATATACATATAATTTTTTAAAAAAAAATTGGGATTCAAGATTATTTCATCCGGAAAAAAAAAAAAAAAAAAAAAAGATTATTTCATCCGGCATTGCATAGACCTTGATAAAACGAGATTATCGTGTTGCATAAACCTGCATTGGTGCGCAACGTTCATTTTACCAGGTTCCTGTAACAATCTCAGTGTCTGAATCAAAACACAACATAGCTCCAATTCCAAGCTCAGTTCTGTAAAATCTAGATTCAAAGTCACATGATTTTGGCAGTTTCAACTGACCAAATCAAACTTGTGCCCCAAGAAACTCGCTGTTCCTTTCCATGTTTCATCACTACCAATCACTCCTTTGGTTTTATTACCAAATATTATTGAAAAAATTACCTTTAGAGACACTTTATGTCTTTTGAATTACACCCTGAGACACTTCCTGCCTGAGACACACTTTTTCTGTGTGCTTTGTCCAATATACCCTCAAGCTTAACTAAACAAACCTAACAACAAAATCATCAATGAAACAGAATCCCTAATCCTGTCGAAACAACTCAACTCTCTTTCCCCAATTCACGTCCTCAAAAACCTAATTCCAAAGCTAAAATCAGAAACCTCTTGATCCATAACTTGAAATCCAAGCCCTCAATACTTTTCTTAATCGATTAAGAACAAGAAACTCAAATCATGAGGGAAATCACTATTTTTTTCAAAGTATCTCTCTCTCAATCTCGAGAGACAAACAATCAGATCCTGCCTCTTCGACGATGAAGAACAAACCCAGAATCATGACAGAGGGTTCTAAAGCAGGACCATCTCGATTAAGACATGCAAGGTTTGTTATTTGCGTCTCTGTTTTCATGATTACTCTTATGTTTTAAACATTTTTCTGGATCTGACTTAATCTAATCTCCAATCATTTAAGATCCATTAAACATGATTCGTGTCTCCCCCAGAGATGATTTGCCTTTAAGGGTAATAGTTGTTGTCTCTAAAACAGGTTTGTGGACATTGCAATTTTGAAACACTGTCCACAACCACAAGCACCATCACCAACATTGTCGTTTGCTTCTAACTCATAATTTATGCAACTCATGTAGTCATCCTGTGAATCACCGCTATGAAGAACCTCCAATCAAAGCTCCAAGCCACCGGCAAGCACCGTCCAAGCCGTATCATCTGGTTCTCTGCTCACATCTTTCCACTGTCTCATTGTGGATTATGCGCTCAAGAGGTCAAGAAGTTTATTACTGTAAGTTCAAAATCTTTGGAAAGTTATGTACTTTTGGGTTTTGTCCTCGTGATCTTTGACGACAACGTAATATTTGTATGGAGTAGGCTATTGATGTTATGTGGGTTCTATCATAGGTGGCTGGTTAAACTTCTTGACATCAGCACACATTGATAAATGCTAATCTTTCATAAAGTCTAGCCCTTTTCTTCTCATGTCTTGCTGAAACTTCTACTCTTTTAATCTTTTAAAAAGTATTGACCTTATCCACATATATGCGTCCACAGTTCCCATGTCCATAGTTTATAGTATGTCATAACCACAACTTTCTCCATCCATATGTGGATACTCAATGCTTCTTTTTTGTAGCCTACCAAATTCAGTTGTTTTGTTTGTTCTTAGGAAAGTGTGGATACTCAATTTTTTTTTGTTTCCCTGAGATGCATGTTACTTCAACATTTTTGCTGGAGACCTCAGTTTAAAAGTTACTGGTGCTGCATTATATCAAAAAGTTTGTTCCACTTGTTCATAAGTTCTCATCCTTGATCAATGATACTTTTTTATTAGTGATCTTTAGAATGTGAAGATAGAAGAAGTGTGCATGTCGATTAGAATAAGCCACAAGTTCACGAACTCTAAACCCACTTGCCTTTTGTAAGTAAATTCCGGTGAGAAGTGATATTTGTCAAGGTCTCTTTCTTGATTTGTTGCTATGTTGTTTTTATATTATAAAATATATAAAACTGAAGTTAAAATATAGCCTTCCATAAACATTTATGTATTTTTATCAAAATATATATATATATATATTTATGTATCCATATCCATGTCTGTTCATAAACATTGTGGACATGTTTCATTGTTCATGTGGCTGTGTGACCGTGTCCACTTCTACTTATTCGTCGGATAGAAAACTTCACCTTTAAGTATCTTGTGGTCATTAAAAAGCTATTTCTTAATAAACTTAATCTAATTAATACATAGCATCATATTTTTTCTCCTGAAACGTAAAGTGGTTTCATAAATTATTACAAAACTCACTTTTCACCTATAAAATAGTATATCACCTTCCAGCCATTAGATCTTTTGCCCAACAACAATCAGACGGCTTATAACAAGACACACTTTCCTATGAATCAAACGTGAGATTGCTTAGTTTAGCTAAAAGAAGGAAGGGCACAATAGTCCCAAATGAGCTCAGATTCAAGACAAAGTGTCTCTCCAGTAAGTTGTGTGTTAATGTGTTAAAAAAGTGAAAAAAGTGTCTCATTCCGTTATCAACTCAATATTATTTTTAAGACATGATATGGGTTGGTGCTGATTGGTTTTGATTCTTAGTGTTGGGTGGGTTTTCGATTTTTTTTTTAAAAAAAGATTTAGCTTATGCTCATGTAGAAATGAAAGTAATTTCTAACTGGAGAAAATTTTTATATCATGCAATAATACTTGAAAAAACTTACAATATATGAGAACCCAAGGTACATAATTACCAACAGAAACCAAACCTAAAATCTCTGTTGGATTTTCATAAGAATAAAAGCGACAGTTATTGATCAAAACATATTAAAATGGAAAGAAAAAAAATATGGAAAATTCATAATAATTCGGGAAAAAAATGAAACAAAAAGCTAAGGAAGAGGCTTGTTTGTTTGGTTTGGTTTTAGGCAAGAGCAGGCATGTCCTTGAGCCACTGGTCCAATGGCTTACCAATAGAGTAAACAATAAACCCAATCTTCCTCAGTTTCTCAGCATCCACCACGTTCCTACCATCAAAAACAAACGCAGGCTTCTGCATATTATCAAAGATCTTCTCGTAATCGAGCTTCTTGAACTCGTCCCACTCGGTCAAGATGCAGATACCGTGAGCGTCTTTGGTTGCAGCGTATGCGTCCCAAGCGACAGAGACTTGCTTCACAGTGGTGGGGCTCATTGGCTGGAGATGAAGCGGGTGGTCCCAGTCGAACTTGTTCATGGTTAAGTCTCTTTGGATCTGCTCTTCAGTGACTTGTGGGTCGTAGATGCTGATACGAGCTTTGTCACCTAACAAGCCTTTGCAGACATCAATGGCTGGAGTCTCTCTCGTGTCTCCCGTGTCTTTCTTGAAAGCGAAACCGAGAACAGCAATCTTTTTGTTGGAGACCGTGTTGAACATTGAAGAGACAATGCGGTTAACGAATCTGGTTTTCTGGTAGTCGTTGATCTTGATGACTTGTTTCCAGTACTCAGCGACTTCAGGTAAGCCGTTGCATTCACAGATGTAGACTAAGTTGAGAATATCTTTCTGGAAACAAGACCCTCCAAATCCGACACTTGAGTTCAAGAACTTAGGACCGATCCGAGAGTCTTTACCAACAGCGTACGAGACTTCCGAGACATTGGCTCCAGTTGCTTCACAGAGAGCTGACATCGCATTAACCGATGAGATCCTCTGAGCCAAGAAGGCGTTAGCAGCAAGCTTAGAAAGCTCAGCGGACCAGAGATTAGTGGTGAGGATTCTCTCTTCAGGGACCCACTGGGAGTAAACATCTTTCAAGGCCTTAACAGCTGCAAACCCTTCAGGCGTCTCACGACCACCGATGAGAACACGGTCAGGCTTGAAGAGATCTTCAATAGCGGTTCCTTCAGCGAGAAACTCAGGGTTAGAGAGAATCTGAAACTTGATCCCTTTGCTATTATGCGTAAGAATCTTCTCAATAGCCTCAGCTGTCTTAACAGGAACAGTCGATTTCTCAACAACAATCTTATCAGAAACCGAGACATCAGCGATCATACGTGCAGCACTCTCCCAGTAAGTCAAGTCAGCAGCTTTGCCAGCTCCAAGACCACGAGTCTTGGTCGGTGTGTTGACAGAGACAAAGACAATGTCAGCTTCTCTCACATGTTTCTCAACGTCGGTGCTGAAGAAGAGATTCTTCCCACGGCACTGCTTAACGACGTCGTCGAGACCAGGCTCGTAGATAGGAAGCTGGTCGCTGTTCCAGGCAGTGATCCTTGGGACAGAGATGTCAACAACGGCTACTTCAACGGATGGGCATTTTAGTGCAATGACTGCCATGGTTGGACCACCCACATATCCAGCTCCAATGCAGCAAATCTTCACCATCTTTTATTTTTTTACTGAATTGCCATAAATAAAACACCAAAAATATTAAATTAAATTACATAACAAAAGGTCCTTAAACATTTTGAATAACAGCTATAAACATTAACAAAGTAGAATCTTACAATATATTAAAAAAATCAAAACTTTGGGAAACCCAGATCCGGTTAAGGAAAACCCAGATCCGGTTTAGTAAAACCAGATGCACAAATAAAATACATTTACGTATACATGATCCAATTCATATCACAGTCCAGAGATCAAACTTTCATAAATCATAATCATGCTTAACAATGAGCTCGAAATTTAACGAAATTCAAAATCAAAATCTCAGATCTGGTACATGCAGCGACGAAATTGAAATTACGTTTGGGATCACCGACACAGATCGAAACCTAAACGCGGATCGCTATAAACACAGAATTGGATCTCTAAAATGGAGATGAAGATAGATGTGATCATTACCTTTGTGGAAGCTTTTGTGGTCTACAGAATCTATGGGAAGCCAAATTAAATCGCTGAATCTGGCGATGGAGAAGAAGAGCGGGGCGAGTAGGGAGTTTATATAGGTGATGAGATTCCTAAAATGCCCTTGAAACCGTCAGAGAGGAGTAACGCGTTTTAAAAGTGTTTTTTTGTTTTACTTTAATTTATTTTAATTGCTGATTAAGTTAAGCTAACACTTTCAGTTAAAAATTAAATGTAGAAAGTAGCAAGAAAAACGATGGGGGTGTCACAATGTTTTACTTTAATTTAATTAAATGGTGATTAAGGTAAGCTAACTGCTAACACTATCAGTTAAAAAAAAAAATGCAGAAGGCTGCAAAGAAAACGATGGGGTGTCACAATGTTTGGCAGGTGGAGTTAAGTATTGAAGACACGTTAAACATTTGACATATTACAACATCAAGAGATTGGATGTCGACCGACTTTAATAGACTGTATTCTCGTATAAGTCAACCTATAAGATCATCGTATACGTATTCAGTTGATAAAATACGGAGTATGTATCTATGTTTTGTTTTGCTAATTTTTTTTTCTATTTTACACATATATATACACATATATATATATGTCCAGCAAAGCTAATTTTTATTCATGATTTGTCTAAAGGTATTTCTAACCAATTCCATTTTCATTCTAAACAAAAGTAAAAAAAAATTATAATAAAAAAAATTATATTTTATTTCTCTCTCCATAATATAATTTAGTCTATAATATATAGAATAATAAAAAAAATTGTTCATCACTTCATTATATTCCATTTTATTTCATTTTAGAGAAAAAATGATTTTTATATTGAAAATGTTCTAAGTGTTACACCCAAAATTAGTGCAACTTAAAGTACATTTATTATTCAGAGATTTTGCCAGCAATGTGAAAACTTGAAAAGTATTACTCCACACAACAATATACAAAACTCTTCTAATTTCAAACTACTTTTATGTGTGTCTGTGTGTTAAACGAAATAAGCTTAGTATTAGCGGCAGATAATCAGATATATATAGATAGAGATGGCAATTATGGATCTGGACCGCGGGTCTAGCCCGTAAAGAATTGTCGCGAGATGATATTGGGACGAGATTTTCTAGGCCCACAAATTTACGGGCTTTGCGGGATGTATGAGTTAATCATTGGATTCAGCAAACCATTGTTATGAATCTATGAGTTATAAAATAATGAGAAATATTTTCTATAATTATTTTTACTTTATATGTTAATATGTTTTGGGTGTGATACAAATAATTACAATTATTGTTTTGAATAAATAAATAAGCAAATCAATGATTGATGAATTATGTTCAGTTGAATCGACGACTTGAACTATGTCTTAAAATGGTCTAAAACATTTCGGAGGGGCTTGAATCTTCAACTGCGTATATTATCACATGTCCCGCGATACGGCCCGCCAAGACTTACAAAAAATGCGATATGGGATTGGGCCACTTTTTTCAAGACCGCATCCGGCGCGGGACAGACCCGCCACGTCTCGATAGAAAACAAATCCGCAGCGGTCCGGGACGGGACGGGTGAGCCCAATAATCATCTCTATATATAATATGATACATCAAAACATCAATAATAATGTTAGGGTTTATTCAAAAAGAAAAATCAAAAGGAACCACCATGTGTATCTTTCTCGCGGTCTACAACTTTACACGTATAGTTAAAGATACCCTTCTGTTTATTATTTTTGTAGATAGATAATACATCATTGGTTTTATGTGCGTCACTGTTCATTTGATCATCGACATTCCCGAAGGTTGGGTTGGTACTTAGTATCAATAATGTACATCTTAATCTATTGTTATTAAAAACCAATTTTGTATCAGTACTTAAGTGATTGTGCGGTGGAGTCTGCTGGACAAAACTTGATTGCACTTTGCTTAGAAACTCAGTCACACTTTTTGAAGTGCTTCTCAAGCTATTTATGACTAGTTTAATGAATAAAATACACCAAGAAGACTGTCGTTGAAAAATATAATAGTTTTAAACCAAAACCAGATCTTCTGAAAAAAATGCGAATATAACACGGTTTGTGTAACGTTGACCACACAAAAAGCTGATTCGTATACAACTCAAAGTGGTTTGCCATGTTATCTTTGAGTTGGAATGCAGTTATATGACACCTTTCACTTTCAGCAATATGTACTCCAGCCAGTTAATGTAGTTAAAGATTACGCGTACCATGACTATTTTTTCCAACCCATACCATTAGACTAAGACACTACCGGTTTTCTTGTAACAATTGTTCGTGAAATATTGTCGTATCGTAAAAGGAATGTTAAACATATGAACATACATAATTATATATTGTAGTCAGGCCTTGTAGAGTTGTAGTTCACATCATTTTTAATCAAAATTTTAGGTTGCTAATTTAATAAATATAGTTTTGCTAATAAACTCCTTTTTTTTTGTCAACGGCTAATAAATTGCTCATGCAAGTCGAAATTTGATATGTTACATCACGACTGTTATTTATGTGATCTTCTCCAGTGGATATTTACGCATTTTTAAAATAAATACAGAATTTATTAGTAAAATTATTAGGCCATTACCTCTAGCTTGATTCAACCTAGTGAAACGTCCCTCCCACACCAATCCACTCTTGGATCCACGAGGGTTCGCTTAGGCTGCACTCATTTCCAAAACCAGACCACCAAACTACATATAACCAGAACAGTGAGCCTCTTTGCATACATATAGGCTTTACAGATACTTAATAACAAATGAACTTATTAGTAAAAGCTGATACAATTGTTTTTTTTTTTGTTTCCTCTAACCATTTAAAAGGTCGAGCAAGCATTCAACTTCATCACTTGATCCCAAGTTTCACATACCACAACACAAGAAGATCAGAGGCTACAGTTTATCTTCTTGGAGTGAAACTGGTTCCTGCATTAGCGATCTCTATTATCAGTATCTTTGAAAAACTTCGTTAGTAACATGGTTTACCACCCAAACAAAGTAGAAAGATTTCATATTTGTTTACAAAATTCGGTTTACTCTGGTTAAGTTCTGGTTCAAAAGATATATAACAACTACCCCTTCAGTTTCTTTACCAAAAATAAAACTACACTCTATCTGGCCCATATATCAAATTAGCATCATAGAATACCAACGCACGTGAGGTTGACCACTTTTAAAAAAACGTGAACGGCAGGATTCGAACCTGCGCGGGCAAAGCCCACATGATTTCTAGTCATGCCCGATAACCACTCCGGCACGTCCACTTTGTGATAATATGATACTAACAATTTATTCAGATCTCCATGGGAAACGCCAACTTGGGATACAAATCATTGTGGAGGGCAAAAAATTCAACAGCTTCAAAATATTAAAATTTTGTTCCTCGAGATGAACAAAACACAAGAGAGTAAAAGATCTTTAAAATCATAAAACCTAAAACTCTCTGTAACATTCTATATCGTTGCTTCTCCAAAGCAAATCAACATTCATCTCTTCATGATTCAGATTTAATACGCCTAGAAAAGGAACCTGATCCAAACCTAAACTAAGATTAGACGTGGATTTTACTCGTATCTGAATCTTGCAGACATTATTTATGTCCAAAAGATTGGGTAAACTAAGCTTAGATCAAAGATTGTTAGCACTTTATAAAATGAATGCATACTAAGTGGAAGCAAGCGCAACCTCTCAAAACTTGGCATTGATCACATAACACATGCTAATATATATAACACACACGTAAAAGTATAAAGGTAGGTATTGTTCAAAAATTAAAGACATACAAGACAGTGAGGCACAATGAAAGACACGAGTGAACTGTTGTGAACTCATGAGAACAAGTCAAAGTGAGAGTTGTCTACCAACTCTTGACTCGTTACAAGTTTGTTGAAAGTTAGTTAATTGGTTTTCCTCGTAAGTATCGAAATCAGCAAAAAAAAGGAGAAATCGATAGTGTAAAAACATTACTTCTTCCCCTGCTTCCTCGTTTTCATCGACATTACTGCATTTTCATCCCATCTCAATCCATGGCGTCATTATCTGTTCCTTACGCCAAGATCTGTGCTCCTAACCGGCGGGTCCGATCTATTCCTGGGATCCGATGGCAGCCTCAACAACATGCGATCTCTTTTCACTTCCATGCATCTCAGGTAATTAGTCTTCAGTACGAGAAGATTAATTAGTCTTTTCTCTTAGCTTTTCTGATTAGTTATTATGATCTGTTTAGAGTATAATCAGCTATGACACTCAATTTACACTCACATTCATGCTTAGCTTTTTTCCCTTCATAACTGATGTATTATTCATACACACATTTATATATTACAATAATGACCAAGTTGCTGTCTTGGTATACATTGATTCATAAATCTCTGTTTCCATTCGTCTTCAACAGTCTCAATCTACAATCTGGAGGTTGCATGCCACAACCAATGAGGTAAAAGTTTTCTTGTTTTTTCTTATTAACCAACAAGTTTTTATACAGTTACTAATATAGTACAATGTAACTTGTTACTCACTCCTTGTCAACCTTTTTTTTAGGTTGTCTCTGACTCTACTCCAGTGACTAACGGTGGGTGCTTGAACGGAAACGTCAAGACCAATGTTCCTGAACCCGCCACCGATCTCTCTGACTTTATGTCTAAAGTCTCTGGTCTTCTTAAGTAAAGCCCTTGCCAATCCTCTTAGTTTTTGTTACTCTACACAGAACTAATCAATCTTTTTTATTTTTGGTTATCTTGTCAAAAGGCTTGTGGACTCGAGAGATATAGTGGAACTTGAGCTGAAGCAGCTGGACTGTGAGATTGTTATTCGAAAGAAGGAAGCTTTGCAGCAGCAGCTTACACCACCAGCTCCAGTTTATCACTCGATGATGCCTCCTCCAATGCCTCCATCTCAACCAGTGTCTCCTCCTGCTTCTCCTACTCCCTCCTCAGCCACTGCAACAGCAAAACCAGCAACCCCACCTTCCTCTTCTCATCCTCCACTTAAGAGTCCTATGGCTGGTACTTTCTACAGATCTCCTGGACCCGGTGAACCCCCTTTTGTCAAGGTACGTGAGGATACATAAAAAATAAGAGAGAAAATCATCTGAGCGAAGATACAATATTTTTTGCAAATTTGCAGGTTGGAGATAAGGTGCAAAAGGGTCAAGTTGTTTGCATTATTGAAGCTATGAAACTCATGAACGAGATTGAGGTCTGATATTCTTAGTAACAATATACGATGGCATACATTGTCATTATCGTTGGCAAGATATATTATGTTAGTGTGACTAAATGTTTGTGAACTTTCGGAGGTTTAAACATGTGTGTTGGAAACAGGCTGAGAAGTCAGGAACCATCACTGAATTACTGGCTGAAGATGGAAAACCTGTCAGCGTTGATACGGTACTACTGATCTCACTCTCTCTCTCCCCATCTCCGGTTTTCTTATATGAATTGGTTTTGAGACCACTAACACTTAATAAACTGTGCAGCCTCTGTTTACCATCGTTCCTTGAAATGAAGAAGTTGTCGTTTAAGCTTGGTTCAGAACAACATCTTCAAACTCTTGGTTTAGCTATACCACGTGCTGACAATCGTTAAAAGTAATTATCTCGGTCAGGCTGGTTTGGGTTCTGTTACTATGTTTTTTTTCTTAACCTCCTTAAAACTGTCACTTTCTTTTGGAGAATCACGTAATAAAATGTATGCATGTCTTTCGAATAAATTAGAGAATGCTGTACTATTTGTTTGCCTCTTGGGTGAGAACAGCCGGATCATTTATGGCCTATCCCATCTATAATAGTTTGGTCAAACGCAACAAGTGTAACATATAAGCATTCAGCCTAAGAGGTTGAGAAGATTCAGTAAGCAAAAACGAAATAACAAACCCACCCAAAAGCTTAAAACTACAATTACCGACAAACTAGAAGATAAAATAAACCTAACAAGTGATAGACAATGACACCATTTCCTAAACAATGAGAAAGGGAGAATACCATCCAAAAGATCAAATTGACCAAAAGACCTATTCTAATATTCTTCTACTTTCTTTCTTCTTTTATCCTAACAAAAGGTTATATAACGTACGTACCAATTCGATCGCAGCTTCCTAATTTTGTAAGAAATCGTACTGTACACTGGGGTTAAGAGAGCCTAAAATAATAGCGCCATTTTGATTCTCTTTCTCGTTGCTGCTGTATATACAGAAGTGATCTATAACAGGAGCCAGTGCCCTCTGACATTACCTTCTGTTGCTATTTCTGGTACTGTAATTTAGTCTCCGAGCACTCATACCACTGCTTCCTCCTCCTCCATTCCAACCTCTGTCACCGTCGTCGTCATCATCATCATCCTCATTGTAGGCCACTGCTTTCTTAGCAGATCTTGAGCTTTTCCTTGGTGTTGGCCGTTTTCTCTTGACGTTTGATGAATAAATCGTGTAGTCAAGTGTATCTTCTCTCATCGCGTTCTTAAATTCCTGCAATAGATAAAAAAGATAAATGAAATAATGATTTCTTTGACCATGGGATCTAGATTCTAGAGGGGGAGAACAAAACTTCTTGGGACTTTTACCTGATATCTCAGAACCAAGTCTTGATATGTTGAAGGTAAGTCAGTGCGAGTTTCGCTGAGGTCAAAGGCAACGCTCTGTTTGGACAGAGGATCTCCCGGCTTCAATGGTTCCGTTGGAGAATAGGCCTGTGAGAACACAATCACGCGCTTTCGTTAACAACTTAAAGAGAAAGGAAAACAAAAAAGAAAGGGATCTCAAGCTTAAGAATCGTACTTGGCAGCGGTCATCATTTAAGCTGTACGTGACTTTTAAGTATCTCTTGAGCTTCAAAAGAAGTTGTACAGCTATAGCTGATAAGCAATCAACCTGAAAGAGCACCAAAAGAAAGACTGCCATGAGACGAAAACGCCATATATATACATAAAAACAAGTAACGATCATATTACGAGGTGCTCAATTTGGATATATCAGATGTAATAAAATTAGCCAATCTGCAGCGAAACCCAAAAAAAAAATAATGTGTATAGAAATAATTTTCTATATCCACAATACCAAACATATCCAATCCTTGAGAAAGTAAAAACCAAACTGAATTTTTTTTTAAAAAAATAGAGCATATATTTGATTAAAACTAAACCAAAGCCATCTATGCAAGACCCGGTTTACTAGTTTAATCTTCCTACCGAAAAGGTGAAGTTTCAATCCCAACTCTAACACCCTAGGAATCAGAGGAGAATAAAGTATGAAGAGGTACCTGAATTTTCTGCAGATCATCGGTGGACAATGCAGGCGGATCAGATGAGGTCATTTTGTGCACATTTGCTTCCCCATTATGGGTTTGATATGAATTAAACTGATCCCTTGGATCTTGGTATACTATTCCATTAAGATCAACTGGAGCTGAATGACCATAGGAATTCCAATGCGTTGGTTCTTCTTGGAATCTTGTGTTCAAGTCCATCATGTGCATCACTCCATGAATCGGATCTTGTTGATACGTTCCATTTCCATGCTGAGGCTTTGCGGAATCTTTGTGTAACAAACCCTTCAAATTTGACTCGATCGCACCAGCCCGGATTTGTATAACTCGGTTTATGGAATATACAAGATAGAGCGGCTCATCAGGTGTTGTGAATGGAAGTAAAGCAAGGGTTTCAGTGCAATACCTGTTAAGAGAGACAGAAAAGTTAGTGTTTACGTAAGAGAGACTATAGTTTTTTTTGTAGCAGCGAAAACTCACATCAGAAAGGATATCACTGAGCCACTCCAGGTTGGATTATCAAACTTGCGAACAATAGATGTCATAAATTTGTTCCGAGAAATCCGGTTCCCACGGATAAGCTTGTAGATCCTAGAGACTCCAAGTCTAGCTTGTGTGAGAGTGGTATTAGTATGATCATTTTTCCCCGACATGTTTGTCGAACCCTTCTGCTGAGGATTTTGATTTGATTCTGAAGAGACCTGGCTTATGGATTGCATGAAGATGAAAGACATTTGAAGTCCGTCACCGAGACGGCTTTCAAAAAATGCGGGATACCTGATGAAAATGTCGAGGTATGTTAGTGAACCAATTATTGATGAACGAAAAATGTAAAAAAATTTTAAAATCCAGTGAGAGCCTGAGAGGATTACTTCTCATGCATATTCATTAGTAAATGATGGGCCAGCTTTTGGTTGGCCTCGAGAGGATCTGTCTCAAGGGCAATCAAATAAGGAACACATGTAATAGGATGAACAAGACCTTGACGTAGCACTACTTCCACTATCTGCGGGATAATATCTCTCATTAATTTACAGAAGAGCAACGAGACATAAGCAAATATATTATATAATATTAAGAAAGGCAAACCTTGAGAGCAATCTGACGTATTTGATCATCAAAGTCCAAGCATCTACCTAATATCTTATCCCAATACAACTGCACAATGCCTCCGCAAATGTTGGTGTCACCTGCACCAGCGGCCACAGGTACAGTATTTCCACCTTGCTCAATTGGGTTAACCGTGATATCAGCAGCTCTATCGGATCCCAATTGTTTTTCCGCATCAAGAAGGTAATCATACATGTTTTGCAATGCTTGCATCTGGATCATGAACATTAAAATAAAAGGGTGTAACCATATGCAGGCCTAAAACAAAACATGTATGCTATAGTAACTGAAAAACACAAATAGATGGGCGATATTTACCTTCATACGCCCGTTTGCTTCATCTGATAATGTACTCTCGATTATCTTCCCAATGTCGTCTTCCAACATGTACTCAGGCCGCGCAATTAGAATAAAACCTAGAGCCTGCATGAATTTGGGGTCACCATTATTCTAGCATAATACAATACTGAGAATGTGCAAGACACTAGCACCGTATGTACTATACCTGCAGGGACCTGACTTTCAAAGAAAAATCTTCGACGCGGAGATGTTGTTTGAACAAACTGAGACAGCCGGAGAGATTAAATTTCCTGCCACCTGAGGTGCTAATAAGAGAGTTTCCATGGCGAATAAGCAAGCCAAGACAAAAAAGGGACCGCCCAGCAATCTGCGTTAGCAAGAAATTGTTCACCATTTAGTTTCAAGGTAATCCGTTGCTGGACCCATTGTAAAGAATACCAGTTATCATAACTCAGACGACACTCGCTCTCAAGTGGGATATATGCATTGAATATTACTATTATTGGGCAGTAAAACCACAATGAAGATCAATGTCAGCAGAGAATAATGATCTTATAAGCAAGAGGAAAATGACAGTCACCTGTCTCTGCTTAACTATAAACAAGATACCAGTCCCACGAGAATAAGAAAAGGCCTCAATTTAGGTACAGGTGCAACCGGATTTACGCTCACAAATGCAAGCTACAACAGTATGATAAACCGACCCCAGGAAAAAAATCCACTTGTAAAATCATGTGCTTACAAGACTCAAAGAAGACTCACCTGCTTACAAGCCTCAAAGTATTGAACCAAATTAAAATTCTGATGCATGATCTATTCAAAGAAACTCACCTGGTTGTTATCAGACCCTTGGGCCTCCAGCCGCTTTAAAAAGAACTGAAGAAGATGCTCAACTACACTAACACCTTTTCCAGACAATTTACTCACAGAACAAAGACACCTGCGAATTTGAAGGGTAGCACTAATCAAATAGATGGTAATATCCTTACAAAAACAGATGAGTGGTCTTTCTTGACTGCATGTTCCATGTAGATTTGTGATCGTCCAAATAATAATGAACGTATGTGAAAGCCAAAAACGATGTATAGAGCCAGGAATAACGGTTATTGAGTAATAAAGGGTGGGTACCTAACGCATGCATGAACAACAGTTAGAAATGAATGCCGAACAATCATATGCTTTAGATCTTGCTCCAGATCTTCTGTGACGCTAAGAGGCAGCTTGCGGATCAAGGGTAGAACAGAATCGATAATGAAAATAATACTCTCTAGTAACTGTGCTCCTATTCTACTATCAACCTGTAGAAAATACAGGACGAAATGGAGGTTAGCAACATTTAGAAGTTTGAGATATTTCCACACAAATGATTTCTTCTCAGGATTATTACCACCATTTTTCAAAGAAAACAAGCATAGCTAAGCTTATAACAGAATCATTTATTTAAAAGAATCTTGACCGTAGTGGCCATATATAACCTGACTCTTCAAATACGGTTGTAGGGTAATAACAAACTTCGTAGGGTCTGAAGCCGGTGTACACAGCCCAGGATCCACCAGACAGAAAGCATGCAAAGCAAGTACATAAGGAAGCACTTGCACCTCTCCCTCTCCACGGCTCAGTTCTTCTACCTGGCAGAATACAGGATGTTAATATTGGTATTCCATCAACCTAGCAATGCACAGACAAGAAGCATTAACGCTGACCTGTAATATGTTTTCCAGTAAGCACTTGCACATCAGCTCGCAACGCCTGCGTACCGATGCAAGAGCAACTGGGTTGATACCAGCAGCTTTAGTTGCTTGAGGGAAAAAATCAAGGGCCAGGGCACGCTTAATAATTGTTACAAGAAGCTGGTGATTTGGGGTCCTCTTTAACAGCCCCACCATTTGCTTAGTTTTCGTTTCCACTTCCACTGGGATGGAGCTAGCATCGCTAGAATACTGAGTATGATGCCCTGGAGGTTCCTCAAACCAGAATTCATAAAAAGTTTTGCACACAAGATCCTGCGAGTAAAATTTTTTATAGTACAGATCTTGCATATTATCACATAAAAAAAAAGCCCAAGAAAGATCAATAAGCAATGCATACTGAAATACAAAGATTACCTGGATGCTAGACTCATCATCACTGATACGAGATAATATCTCGGCACATGCACTTGTAAATTCCGAGAAGTTAGCGTTTGAAGTACACATGTCACGTATTATCTTGATAGCTCGCTTTCGAACACTCACTCCAGTATCCTTAATCCTCTCAGCGACCTTCTCAAAATACTGCAAAAATAAGAAAAAATCTTAGGTCCGCAAAGACACATCAATAGTAGGGAATATGACCATAACGATACGGGAAAAGGTCAATTTACCTTTAAACCAACATCAGGATGTGATGCAATATGCCTACCAACAAGTTCCAGTGCTGCTTCCCTCACAGATATGGCAGAATCACAAAACCTTCCTTCAACAGCCAACTGAACACGCTTATCGCACAATACCTCTGGATCAGCTTCAACAATTATACTAACCTGTTATGGTCAATATCAGAATGTATTATCATTGCAAGAATAGCATAACTGTATTCTGGTTTTACCCACAAACAGATATAATTATGTGTTTAAACACTTTGCTCACTTACCGCTCGCATAGCTTTGGCCCTAATAATGGGAGAGTTCTCTCTTAAACTAGCCTATAAAAATAACACAGTTAGAGGAAAGAGAGAGAATAAAAAATAATACATTCAAAACCTTTTACTAACCAGGAGCATGTGTAGAATCTTATCAAATCCTCTAGAAAAAGAACTGTTAAGTCCAAGAGCTAAAGTAATTTTCTTAATAGCATCTCTTGTCAAGAACGAACTAGTTGCTCCAGAGTTACGGATTATTGACTTCGCTTTCAGTCTGGCAATGTAATATTTGAATTTTTTCTGAGATTTTGGGACATCTTTATACCAAAGGCAAAGATAAAACCTGCACAAAGTACCTTCCATATAAGACCTACATAAATTGCAAAATCCGCATGAAAGGAGTCAGAAACAAACCAGCAAATGAAAGTATGCACATCATCAGCAGATCCACCATCCTGAAGGTAATTCAAGAGCATCTGTTGCACCACTTCTGTCTGTGTAACCACGTTTGGATCTTCTTCTGATTCCAACTTACCAGTGCCCTTGGTGTCCGTCTTGCAGTAAGACTGCAGTACACGAAGTTGCCTCTTACTTATGCAAAACGGACAATGCCAATTTCGACTTGGAATGTCTAGTTCCTTTAAACCCAAACAATCAGCATGAAACCGCCTTTGACAAATTTGACAGCCTAATAAGTTCCCAGCCCTTTTACCTAAACAGAGAGCGCAATCTTTTGTACCAGATTGGTCAAGTTTGGTTTCAGTATCTGATTCTAGTAGCGCCCAGAATCTGTCTCCACTGCAGAGAACAGCATCCTGTTTCAACCTTGCAGCAATTGTGCCTAGCAAGTCGATGGCCATTGACCGGGCCGAGACATCTTTTGATTTCAACCCTCCATTATGCAGAAGTATGACGCAGAGAACCTGCAAGTGTTAACCTGTCAGAGTGGAAAGAAACATTGACTAATTAAAACAAACACAGTAACAAACTACGTTTACCTCAAGAATGGGAGACACTGATGGATATTCAGGAAGATTCAATGCTGTCAGTAAATCACTAACAAGGTTCTCAATCATCACTTTTATCTCAGAGGCATCTTGAGCCTTTGCACTGGCAAATCGTTCAAGGACACGAGTCCAGAAAAGGCAACATGTTTCTGTAACCGCCTCATGACATTTAGTAAGGTAGCCATCATCAACGGGCGTCTCCAGTATGGAGTTTGCACAGGAAGCCTGTCTCAGGGTTTCAGGAAGGCTTGTGCTGTTGTGAACCAACTGAATGAGCAAAGCCGTGACCATTTGAATCTGCTTCTGTTCTTCATCAGGGAGAAGATACGTTCTGAGCACTCGTCTCGAGGAAGGTAACTTCCATAGCAATTGCGATAACTCATCTATCACATACGTTCGGTGTTGAGCATATGAATTATATATCTGTATTAAAGTAGAAATTTAACAAAATTTCAAAAAAAAATCCTGACGTGAAGACACTGATAAAAAAAGAGAAACACAACAAAGATGTGGAGTAAGTTTAAAGTCTTACACCACCGATTAAGCTAATGGCTTTAAGTTGCAGAAGTTGGATATTTTCCACCAAAAATGTTGTCGTACATGTCTTCAACAGTTGTAAAATGCAACTGTCAGACAACCTTTCTACGAACAACAGGTCCTTGAGTAAGCCAAGAATAGTGCAAAGTTTCTGTAATGCAGTATTCACTGCTCCCGAGATCCTACGAAACAGAGATATCAGATGGGAAAATAAATCACAAAAGTTAGGGTACTAATCAGTAAACCTGTTCACTCCCGACTTCTTCACTTTGCCACTTTTTCCCGTTCGTCGTCTTTTACTGGCTGAACTCATGTCAGGATCGAGATCATCATCATCATCACCTAGAAACGCATGTGGCATATATCCATATGTCAGATTATTGTAATTAGAACATAACTTGTGCAGACAATAGGGGAGATCTTTGAGCTTACAGACAAGGATAAAACTAAAGTTCTAGATACGGAATGACATGCCATGCACTATACAGAATATGTACAACACACCCAACTTCCAAAGTAAATCGGAAAACAACCTTCAAATGCCACATTATCTGCTGGTTTACTTGCGCTGCGGTAAGATGGATCATAAGCAGACATCACAGCCATCATTTGGTGCCTAGAAAACTCCAGAATTCTCTCAATTACCTGATTGGTAAAAAATACAAATAAAAAAAAAATTGAGTCAGTTGAAATGGTGAAATGGTGGCAGTGTGTAGAAACGTGCATAGGCAGATTCCAGGGAAAACAACACCTAAGAAGCAATCACCTCTTCCTTGTAGAGCTGCTTTGGCATATCACTGTTTGCCATCACTGCAAGCGATGCATGGATGGACTCTAGGGCACCAAGAACCAGCCCAACTGAATCTGAATCTGACTGAAATGTTTTTGCACCAGGAAAGTGTTAGCTAAAACGAAAAAGACATATTTGCCATTTTCATAATACTAAATGTTAACACACAGTAAAAAGAGCTCAGCATTACTGCATTTTTACATCTCCAGGAGAATATAGTTCAAACAGAGAAAAAAAACTTTGATTGAAAGCTAAATTTTCACGATAAACAGTCCATGTGTAAAACGCAAACATCCCACATAAAGCAAAAGAAACGCAAATGGAAAATTACTCACATGCTCACTATTAATGGACAAGCCTTCTGCCCTATGTATCTGATGATCCAGAGTATGCAATAACCTCGACAGAATATCAACAGGTACCATATGCAGAAGCATTTTTGACCTTATAGTCATCAACTCAGTCACCAGAACACGAACTTCATCAACAGGCACGACTGACCACTCTGCTCCATCCCTATCATCACCAGGGACTTCAGCTCTGCCACAGAAGTCCTCCAGCATCTCACAAAAGCTTGTAACGATGGACTCTAAATAAGCATTAGCAAACAACTATTACTTAGTGGGTAGCGGTAACTGCAAAGAGAAAAAGAAAAAGGACAGACAGACGGACCTTGAAGCACGGATGAATCTGGCTGAACTGAAGACGCGCCAGGGCCAGCGTCATCTTTACGTTTCTTCTTTCCCTTTGACTTCTTTGAAGCAGAAGATTCCTGCAACTCATTCAGTTATGTCCACGGCACATAAGATACTTATAGAGAAAGATTGTGGTGATCGTATTACATTCATGGTGATCGTTTCAGGTCGAGAGTCAGTTGTAATATCATCTCTAGGTGACTCGTTTATCAAAGGTTTGGAATGCCAACTATGATCTTCAACATGATTTGATCGTAACACCCTTTTCAGAGGCTCAGGATTGATACTCCTACCCAAATGATGATCGGCCTGTCGTTGAATCTTGACAGGAACACTTGGCTCAGAACTTCTCTGTTGAGGCTCTTCATTGGTACAGACTGGATCGCAGGTCGGACCTGTTAAACTTAAAAGTTGTAGTAAATAATAGACACAAACATATTAAATCTATCAAACAATGGCGCAATAACAGGTAAACAAACAACCATTAAAGCTAAGATGTCAGGCACAAGGGGATCCTAGCATAGAGGTTCACTACCACCTGAATAAGGTGAAAAGGGAAGGAAGATACTGCAAGTAATAGTATCAACCATTAAAGGCATCTTCTTAAATGCCAACTAAATAATCTAAATAGGTTTCTCTCCTTAAAGACTTTCAATATTTTCCTCAATATCTGTAGCACTAAAAAAAACAAAAAAACTGATAAGGCTTCATTTACCAGGGGTGGTACACTCAAATGCTCCAGGATTGCATCGTAGAACTTGGTCATATAACTGCAAAGGCTCCACAGAATTACAGTTCATCGCCCTAGCCTCGTTTCTAAGATCCCTGCAAAAATTAAATCAGAAAAAAATAAGTTAGTATCCTCTACAAGCTACGCTAAGCTAGCGCACACAATCTCAATCTCAGAATAACTAAAATTCAAGGTTAGCTGTGAATTTAACCAACACATAACCAATCTTACAAAATAAGCAACGAAGTAGATTAAGAACCTCAGCTAATCACTAACTAGTTTTTCTGATTTCAATTCACGAATTCTAGTTCCCAAAAAAATTAAGAGCTAGAGACTCTAAACGGAGAAGACGAGTCAGATTCACTTACAGATAAGAAACGTCAGTTTGTTCAAGCATCTTCGCGATTCTACTAGACTGCGAGAGAATCTCACTGCGATTCAACGACCTGATGCCGTTAACACCTTCCCCAACCTCATCGAAGAGCTTGAACTCCCCAGGTTGACTCGCGCCGCAGAATATAGGTAACGAAGGGAGCGGCAAGTGAGAAGCGACCTCCGACTGAACCGTATTGGCCAAACCGATCCCGAACTGAGTCAAATTCGAAGATGAATCCCATCCCGAACTGCTTGGGTTGCTCATCGCTTGGATCGAACTGAAGTCGCGGATTCAAAAATTAGGGTTTCTAGAAATTAGATTTCGAATAAGAGTTTGGAAGATTTTGAAGGAAGTTTGTGAGTCATAGAGAGAGAGAGAGTTGAGCCCTAGATTGGGAAATTAGGGGATAATTGAGATGCAATTGGCGGGGAAAGTAAGAAGACCCACAGCTTCCCCTGCAATTTTCCTGATTTTATTAAATACATAAAAATGATATTTAATGATTTTTTATCCTGCTAAACTACCGTTATACCCTCACGTTCTTTAATAATCGGCAGTTACCACCACTTACCGCTCGAAAAGTAGACAGGGGTAGTTTCGGGTTGTTAGTTCCGTAACTCGAAGTATAAAATTACTCATCATTATTTTATCAAAAAAAAATAATATAGATTCATCACTTAATATTTAATAATTGAAATATAATTAGTTCTAGTTACATTCAAGAATTTATTATTATTATTTTTGACCGAAAAATACACCACTACTATTTTTTGATGGGTTTTTATTTACAATTTTTAGTGATATCTTTTAAAAAGGATATACATTTTTGCCAAATGTAAACATTTTAAATTACATAACAAAAAAAATTGTAATAATATATAGTTTATTATCTATTTGAAATGTGAGAAATTTGCTAAAAGTATCATATATTATCTACTCTTTGTGTAATTTTACTACCCTAGAAAATTAGAAATGGACTTACTGATTCTGTTAACCAAAAAACCACTTCACTATTTTTTGACCCAACAGAATTAAAAACGCAACATACGGCGGCCCATGGGCTTTAGAGTGTAAACCCTAGTCCTTCTAGAATACAATAGTTGTAAGCCTGAACAAGTCTTGTTACAATGAAAACAAATAACACAACTCCTTAAACTATTCCCATATGGAGTTTATATATTGCTTGCCGACGTCAATATTTATATGTCATCTGACTTCTGATCATTGGTCGGTCACAAGAATCTTTAGTTTTTGTTGCCATATACACAATCACTTTCCAACAAACTCAAGTCACCATCTTATACTGACATTGAAGATATTTATTTGATCACTACTACTTAATAAGAATCTAAGCTCACGTGTCACTTTAACTTTCAAGCAACAAGCTCCCAAAAGCTTGGAAGAATCTGACAAAAAAATATCCACAGGAATATTATATTTTCTCCTCCTGAACATAACCTTTATTGTGAAAATATAATATCATTTCCTAAAATGGGATTATAAGTAGCAAGCAAATGTGTATACAGACATTATGCAAGTACATGTCTCCAGATTCATATATTGATCTGTAATTTGATAAAGTAGCACATAACAGTTATCCAAAGCATACCTCTCCTTGAAAGATGTTTCATTGCAGCCCGCTTCAGTCTCTGTAAAGAGCTAATAAGAGATTGAAACCTGAAAGTAAATTTAACAGAGAAGAGCAAGAAGAAAGAGAGGATTTGGAGATTCTTGGAAATAAAATTTAAAATATATATAAAGGGCAATGTCATTATCCATGTATTGTTTATAAGATTCTAACTTCCAAACTAAGTTAATAGCTTAAAACTAGCAAAAACAAAACAACAGACATATCTGTAACCAAAAAGGATCATCCTATTCTTCCTGCAGAGACCTGATATTCAACCCAAAACACACAAAAACACACGCCCAATACAACAATATATACTTCCATTGGAAAAGAAACAGCAGCAGGAGTATAGCTAAGCTGTTGTGTCATCCGAGGATGGTTGTTTTTTCAATATATTCTTGCATTCCGAGGAGGCAAAGAATAGTACCAAAACATATAGATAAGATACTGTATGTTCTCCTTTGGTTATATGCATAGCAAAGACAGAATCATAATGAAATGCATTGTACTCCCTCTGGTAAGCTCCTAGGCATGGGTCCAACTGCAACGTATCTCTGTGGCATCGGTTTTGGAAGAGCGGATGGTCCGGAGACTGGTCCCTTGCTGTGAAACCTTGCGAAACGGTTGATAACAGAGAATCTTTCCAAGTCCTCTATGTCGAATTTTATTTCTGCCATTGACTGTGTTTTCTCCACTCTGCACCAAAGAATAGATAACAATTCTTTATAAAGTGTTAGGAAAAGAACGAGCAGCTGCTAAAAGTAGTTTTCATACCTTTCAAAGCTCTCCTTGAGTTTATTTGCTTTCTCTGTTAAACTTTTAGCAACTTCAGAATGTTGCACATCCTCAATCTTTTTCGGTATCCTATCAAGATATTCAGGGTTAAAGAGTTACTCAACAAGGAAACTATATACTGTGACTAAAGTTTTTCAGTATGATACTTACTTGTCAACCTCATATGAGGATGATGGAAACCCATAATCTCTCTTGTGGGTAACGCTGCAAGCATCACCAAGAGTTACTCGAGCAATGAAGAAACACAAAACATCATAGCTTGACGAGGCTTTTGAAAATAGAAGAAGTGAAGGTGGAGGATCAAATAGCTGCTGCATAAGCTGTGATGTTATAACAAGTCTTCTCTTTGAACGATGCAATGGCGGTGCAAATGCGAAGGTATGTGTATCATACTCGGCCTACAATGGAATTATAGAATCAGAAGAAGATTCAGCATACGGAGACAAAATCATATTTCAATCACTTCAACCATACTCTTTGGAGTAATATACCTTCTCAGCTAAGAAGTTAGCAACTCTGGCCCATTCTTGTTCTGCCTCACTGCAGAAAGAATGTATCAATTTAAGTTAATCGAATGAGAATAAAAGGGATAGGGGAAAGGGTATGGGAAAGACCTGATTGTGTAATCCCTTTGGGGTGCATTGGAGACTTCTTCATGCCAAGCCAGCTTCTTAGTTCTCATGAGTTTGCGTTTCTTTGGTGCGATTATCTTTGCATGTGTGTTTAAAGGCTTAGAATGCTGAGGTAACTGATCAAGAATCTCTTGAGATTCATGTGCAGGTTGCATCTGGTCATTTCTAGAGGCTCCCATTGGTTCCATCCTTGAGCCAGGGAACGAAAATGACTTAAGCTGTGACACTGAGCTCATTCCGCTATCCATTTGCAGTTTATTAAAATCTTTGTTGGAGGCAGTGAAATCAGCTGCTCCCTGCTCTTGAGGCAAACCAATCTTCGGTTGCATATTATATCCTGTGGACGACATATGTTGAGCCTTTTGCCAGGTTGTGACATCACTTTCCAATATCTTACCAGGAACTTTGAGTGATTCTTGCTCCAAAAGATGCTGGCGAGTTGGTAAGTCCATCCACACATTGAACTGCTGATTCGTACCTCGTTGGGGTGATCTAGTCTGACTAGTGGTGTGACCTCCAAGGCCAGGATCCAAATTAACACCTGTAAGTGTTGCATTGTCAGGTAAAGATGCTACAAATGGATTGGTCATCTGCATTTGGGATACAGACACTGTAGACGGATCATTCTGTTGTATGAACTGTGGAAACATCCCTGCTTGTCCGAGCTGACGGGGCACAAGTGAAGACATACCAGCTAAGTGACTTGCAGACGACGGAGCTGTATTGGGGCGATGAATGCCTGTCTGAAATTGTAGCTGATCAAACATCCCTGAGGACTGCATATACATATTACCTGTAGATATCTTCGGTTGAGAATTACAATCCACCCAATGACCAGTCACATTCGAGGACCTCTGTGTGGAAACAGGAGTACTATCATCCTGAAAGAGACTTGGTCTCAGCTGATTAGAAGGCACCTGAAACCCAGGAAAGCTAGAGTTCAAAGAAGAAGAGCCAAGCAAGGTGTTAGTATTCACAAAACCAGACTGTTGCTTATCATTGTCTATGAAGTTGGATATGTCATTAATGTCGGCAGATATTTCCATGTTCTGATATGTTAAGCCACTAAACTCCTCAGGGAGACCAGTGTCGCTGCTAGAAGCTTCAGCAACAGCAGTCTGCATAAGCGCGCTCCAGCTCCCACTCTGCAAAGATGATGGGAAAGGACTAGAGAAACTCACACTGTCACCGAATACTCCAGAAGCAATCTCGGAGATACTACTATCTTCCATACTGAACAGAATCTTCTCTTCTAGTGGGTCAAGAGGAACCAAACCTTGAGATAGCTTAGTAGTATCCTTCTGCTGAAACGAAGACCAGCTTGCTTGTTCCTCCTGCCTTCCACTAGAATCTTTTGGAGGACTGCCAAATTGTTGAGAAAGGAGATTGACTGAACCTGCTTCGGGCATACCTCTCCCTTGAACTCCAAGATTTGACATAAAAGTTCCCTGCTGTAGAGGTAACTGTGGTGGAGATGAAGCATATTGACTTTTAAGGAAAGGGTTATTAAAATGTTCCCTGCCATTTTCCTGATACATCGCTTGGATGGGAAGCTGTTGACCCATATTACCTCTAGCATTAGTAACCGGAGCACCGTAGAGAGAGATATCAGGCTGCTGAGAACCAAAGCCCGTTGAGAACATTGTTCTATCAAGCATTCCTTGTTGGCCGAGGGTTGCATTACCCTGTGCCCAATTTAGATATCCTTGTGAAGAATCATTTAGAGGCATTTCATTAAGAAGAGGTGGAAACTGCCTGCTACTGTTAGCTTGCTTCTGAGCTGTAGATGAAAAGGGGTTTGAAAAGTTCTGCTGCTGCATTTGAAGAGCATGTAGTTGCTTGAGCATCACCTGCTGCTGCTGCAACAACTGCATCTCATCGTAACCAGACTGCTGCATTTAGGCTTATGTTCCTGCTGGAAAGCTGATTTCTCTTGAAGCCTTGTTTGGAAACATAAAACTACACCACTAGAAGCTTCAGTTATGTCAAAAATTTCAGAAATTGTTTTCAGGATCCGACTACTCACAGAATCAGTATCTTGAAAACGAGCCAACCTGAGCTTAATGTTTTAGTTGGTTACAAAAAACTAAGCGTTCACATAACAACACATCTTGATTTTGCATCCTTGGAAGTTCAGATAAACTGCAGAATCCTCATTCACATGCATTAAACTTGTAACATCATCATCATCATCAGCTTATCATTCTCACAAGACCAGTAGATCCATCAACATCTGTAACAGCAAACAGTATTTAAAGAGATGTCATTCCAGTAAACCAATGCAAAACATAATTGCTCAAACCCCCTAATCTAGACAATCAAAGGCACCAAATTGGGGAAGTACCCAGAATCAAAATCTATAAAACACTAACAAATATACTAATCTTTCAGCAAAAAAAAACAGATTTTCAGGACAATGAACCAGAATCAATCAAACTACAATTAGTTAAACAGAAAAATTCAAGAGAAATTTATAATTTACCAAATAAAAAACCGTGATCTAGGAGAAGAGAAGCTTATTATAATCGCCTAGGGTTCTTCACTGAAACCACAAACCTCAACACGGCTCAATTTGCCACCAAAACAAAATAAATTATATAAAATAAGAAAAAAGAATTTGTTAATTATTTATTTCTTTCCCTCCTCTTTTCAAGCTTTTCTTCTTCTCACCTTAAATTGACGCTTCCAAATTCACGAAGAGAAAAACTTTTCTCCAGAAATTTTTTTCTCTGAACAGTAGACTGAGAAATTTCTGATTTTTTTTCGAGATGTTAAATCTTCGGACAAGAAGCCGAAGAAGGCCAGAGGACAGATACTACTGCAAGAAAATAAATACAGTAAAAAGAAATAAAGAGAGAGAAATTGATTTTTCTGAAAAAAATACAAAAGTTAATAAATTCATTACAAGGAAACGAACCTCAGGTTCGGAGCTTGGTTCAGTAACAAAGGCGGTAATAGCCTGTACATCGTGTATTATGCGCTTTGTTAAGTTGTGTAGATTTAACGGTCAAGATGATGATGAGTTTTAGATCGGACGATGCGGACTTATTAGAGAAAGTTGACCCTAGATAACTACGAATCGTTTGCTTCAGAGATAGACTGATTAATAAAAAGTAGGTGGGAATTAGCTCTAAGATAATCCCACGCGCTTTAAACAAAGCGTGGACTTTATTGTCTCTCATCACCACTGTAACGCTTTTGTTCAGTAAATTAATTATTAAACTATTTGTTTTGCTCGCACTTGCGGGCATAATTCTCTTATGAATATTTATTAGTTGATGTTTCCTTAATTTAAAAATCAGCAAAGTAAGTTATTAATTATGTTTTCAAAAAAAAAAAAATAACATCAAATAATTTTCAATGACAAAACTCAAACATCACAATATTTAAAAGAATATATTTCTATAACTATTTTTATTGATTTATATTTGATTATAATATTTATATCTTAATTTTACATTTTTATATTAAAAAACATATTTTCAAGATAACAATATAATGCATAAGTTATTTATTTTATGAAAATATAATATGATAATTTTTTTAACTATATAATAATTAAATAAGATTATAGAATTAAAAGAATATATTTCTATAACTATTTTTCTTGATTTATATTTAATTATAATATTTATATCTTAATTTTACATTTTTATATTAAAAACATATTTTCAAGATAACAATATAATGCATAAGTTATTTATTTTATGAAAATATAATATGATAATTTTTTTAACTATATAATAATTAAATAAGATTATAGAAATTATGACATACAATTAAAATTACCTAAAATCATTGATAACTTAATGAGTCAGCAAATTCACTTCTTAAATAATTTTTCTTGAGTGATAATCTATATATAATTAATAATAGATAATTTTTCTATTTTACTTTTAAATTGTATAATATAAAATATATTTTCAGGATAACAACATAATATATAAGAACTACAACTTTTTATATCTTAATTTTAAATTTCTAATAGAAAAATATATTTTTAAGACATCAACTTAATACATAAGAAGTATTTTATTTTCTAAGAATCTGATACTATTAATATAATTTTTTAAAAATATATAATAAATTATCAAAATTACCTAAAATCATGAAAATATGACAAATTAGCAAACATCAAATTCATTTCTTAAATAATATTATAGATTTTTTACATGTTAATTTAAAATTTATAATAAAAAAATATTTTTCAAGATAACAGCATAATACATAAGAATTAACTTATTTTCTAAAATATCATATTATTAATATAAATTAGTTTTAATTATATCTTCATGTTGCGGATAAATATAATAGTGTTTATATCTTAATTTAAAATTTAAGTTTTATATATAAAAATATATATCAAGATAATAACATAATTCACAAGAATTATCTTATTTTATAAAAATATGATATATTCATATAAATTCGTTTTATTTATAAATAAAATATATATAAATATTAAAAATATGATAAAGAAATAAAATTACCTAAACTTATGGAGAACATGACAACTCAACAAAATTACTTCTTAAATAATAGTATAGATATCTTTCTGATTTTCTCTTAATGGGTCGAATATTCTTTTAGTTTATGCAATTTATAGCATAACAAACTGGTGGTATTCACTATTCAGTATGGTAGTGAAAATAAGCAAATACAAATTTTTAATAATCGGTATTAAAACAACATTCATTCCCACCAAAAATATGAAAGAGTATGCAAAATCTTCAGTAAGTTTTCTCTAGCAGATCAGGAATCGTTGATGGATCAGGACTGGAACAGAGAAGCTTTGGTGTTTTCTGAGTTGCAAATATTGTAAGACAAGAAATGATGATAGAAAGACTTCGGATTTAGTCATGACTCCACATTTCATGTAAGGATAAGAAGTGGTCGAATGATTTCAGATTCAGACCTTAAGAAATTGAGATTCCGGAAGAGATTCGAAGGTTAGAGTCTGCTCCTCCGCTCACTACGCTGTCTCCTTTCCACCAGTCCGCACATAAAACCTTTAGCAAAATCGAGATTTTTGCAGTGTTTGAGTAACCAAAAGAACGAAGAGTAGATGATAGAAGATAAGATTGTGTGTTACTTTTACCTTATCCTTGTGTGTGTCGATAACTGACAAAGGCCACTGCATATGGAAATGGAGGAAGAATATCAGTTTCAAACAAAGGAAACAACGGAAAAGAGAGTGTGCGTATGCGTATGTGTATACTTACAGCGGTTCTGAGATCCCAGAGCATGATTTTGCCATCATAGGAAGCTGAGAGCAAGTGAAACCAAGAGCTTTTGTGCCATTTACAGGCGGAAATCCATGATGCGTGTGAAGCAAATTGAAACACTGGAGCGGATGTTCCTAGAGATTATTTGCAGAGAGTTTATCAACCAGAGTAATAAACTGAGATATGGTTATATATTTTAACTCATGCGTGTGTTCTTATAGATTCCTCACCAGGCTTACGAGGATCCCATACTCTAAGGATTGGATCTGAACCAGCAGCAGCTACAAGCGCAGAACCTTCACCACCAACATCTACCGTATTCAGAGCTTTTCCACAATACTACATTTTGACAGAAACAAACTCGCTCTAAGTTCCGATGGAAGCAACTTAAAAGCACTGATTTTTACAGCAAAAACTGTCTGATGTGTGCCTGAATACACTAAATTGCAAAGGAGAGTGAGAAGGCATACCAAGTTCAAAGATTCTTTCCCTGTCGGAACATCCCATCTCCTTACGGAATGGTCCCATGAACAGGAATAAATTACATCATGCTCCGGCCAAACAACTGATGAGACACACTGTGTATGTCCAACAAATGTAGTATCCGCCTCTCCCTGTACGAAATTCAGTGTAGAAATTGAAATTAGCTACTTCAACTGACAACAGTTGGAGAGTACACGTGTCTCTTCCTCTTGATCAAAAGAGTGGACAATGCGTTTCAAAAGAGTTTGGATATCATCAAGACTTTATTGAGGGTACCTCTAACTGAGTTTCCTCCGCCTGATTATTCCCTTTTCTTCTCTTCCCAGATACTGATAACTCTGAAGTAGCCTCATCGGTGTCCCATAAATTGATCGTGCAATCCCATGAACCCGAGCAAATCTGAATCAGAATATACAGCAGGTGAGGACAATGAAATACAAAGTAGTTTAACTTGCGATATACAAGCTAAGCGCAATAGGAAACGGCAAACCTTGCTCCCGTATTTTTGAGCTGCAACACTTGTCACTGACGACTTGTGCCCACGCAATATCTTGTAAGCCCCAACTCTTGTAGTAGAGTCACCAGATTCAGCTGTATCAACCTTTATACAAAAAAAAAAAGATGATTTTAGTTAACCGGAACTTTTACCTTTTTGTTATGTATTCGTATCCATGTTTACCTTAAACAATCTCAATGTTCTATCTTTAGCGGCAGTTGCTACGGTAACATTTTCTGCACCTGGATAGACAAAATAACAAGAAAATGTAAGGAAGTGATAGATGAGCAACAAAAGGTGAAATCCTTCTTTGTTAATACTATTTGCTAGTGAAGAACAGGCATACTCATGCTACGATTATACCTTCCGAGTTAACAAAAGCAATAGAAGAGATTGCCCCAGTGTGGCCTTCTAAAATGTGTGTACACGATTCAGGAGAGCTCCATATCCTAATCACAAGAAAAACTTAAAATCTGAGATTCTTGCAAATGTTTGACAACAATACAAAAATATGAAAAGATAGGCATTTGTAAACACACAATATGATAAATGATTACCTTCCCAAACCATCATAGCAGCCGGTCAAAACGAACCTGAAAAATAAAAACACGAGATCAGAACAACCACTAGCACAACATTTACAACCAAGAACAAATAACTATAACCTTTAAGATCATAACAATCACTGGATGCCCCTGATTAATTAAGTTTTAAGCAAAATCCACATAAGTAACAGGTGTTGATAATCACAACAACAATGATATGGCAGTCGTGTAAGTGGTAACATAAACAATAGAACAAAATTTTGTACAAGAAGATATATCGTAGACTTATATGACACCATTCCACATATTACAGTAATCTAGAGAGAACGTAGAACAAGATATTACCTGGAAGAAGAACCATCAACAGCACTGACCCAGTCATCATGCAACGAAGGTTTCTCCTCCTTCCGTGGCGCCACAGCCCTTATATATTCAATTTCAAGAGTCCTCTCCTACAAAATTCCACCAGTTGAATTAACTACATGTTTCCTAGATAAAGATTATCAACACCAAGTTGCTGTCATTAGTAGCTGTTTAGGAATTAAGTAAAAAAACAATACCGCAGAGATTCCCTTGGCGAGAAGAAACTGTTCAAGTGACATTCGAATAAGCTCCCCATCAATCAAAAAATCAAATGCCTCATGTTTCTCTGTTCATCCAAAAGATAATCACACAATCATATACATTGAAAACCCTAACAAGCAACGAGGTACAGAGAGAGACAGAAGTATACCGAGAGTGAGAAGAGAGTTGACAATGGAGGAGAGACCAAGACGAGTGACATTAGAAGGGATAACAACGGAGCTGGAGGGGGCTTGGAACGGAGAGTCAAGCTTCGTCACGAACTTCACGTGGATTACTTTAGCTGCATCTTCTCCTTCGCCGGCCATTATCGCCTCTAACTTCTCCAATAAGCGGTTTACAGAGAAGAAGGAAGGAGACGCAGGAGATAAATTAGGGTTCAAACTTGAGGAGAAGAGAGCAGGGTTTAAGCAAACTGCTAAAATTACGAAACTAACCTCCCTTGGGCTCTGTTTATTTGGGCTTATTAAGATCTTTAAGTTGGGCCCTTATCAGGCCTCGGAGCTATATCATTAATCATGAGAATTTAATTTAGTTCAAGCTTGCTTGTGTATGAATTATTATATGATACACGTGTCAAAATATAATAGCTTTGTGACGGGATCTGTATCTGCTCGGTCGTGAAGCTATCATCGCCTCTTTCCTTTAGTGATCTGCTTCCGCTTATAAATCTCACACTCTTAACTACTCTCTCTCTGGATCGAGGGGGGTTTAAGCTGTTTCTTTGCCCTAAAATTTGGCGCCTTTCTACTTCGATTGGGTTTCTTGGAACCTCCATAAACCACAAATCTCACCTAATTTCGCTCATTCGCTAGGGTTTCGAGTTGGTCTCTTCCTCCTGGGTTTTATCAATGGGGAAGGCTTCTTCTCCGGTAAGCATTTCAATTTCTGTTTTTTTTTTTTAATTTGCGCGTCGTATCTCGTGAATTAGACTCGTTGAGTTTCTAGGGTTTTGTTTGGGGACAAGTATAAAGAATCGATTTTTATTCAATTTTAAAATTTATCGGCAAACGTGTTCTTATGACTCAAATTTTGATTCTGATGTTTTAAGGTACAGAGAGGAGACCTTGGGGAATGAATTAAAACGAATTTTTGATTCTTAAAGGAATGCGCTTTTCGTTGAGTTGATTTCAAGAAATGGTTCTACATGTTACGCATTGCAAAGTTGTAATAAAGGTTGTTGAATATGACCAATGGAGGCAACGGGGAGGGTGGAAGTCAACGGAAAAAGAATCCTTCTCGTGGCAATGACTTTCCCTATGCAGTCGCTAGAATGGCCGTGGCGCAGATATGCGAGAGCGTGGAGATCAGCACTTTCCAGGAGTCACATTCACGGGAAGGTGCGAGGTTTAGTTCTTTTCAGGAATCTGCGCTGGAGAGATTGACTGATGTAATGATACAGTACATTCAAAGCGTTGGGAAGATGACGCAGTTTTATGCTAATATGGGTGGTAGAGTAGAAGGTAATGGTTTGGATATTGTTCAAGCGCTTGAGGATTTGGGGTCTGGATTGGGTTTTAGCGGTGGGCATGATGTTGAGCGTTGTCTTGCTGATTCCGGTGTGGTTAAGGATATTATTCGGTTTACGGGTGAAGTTGAGGAAGTGCCTTTTGTTTATTCTCTTCCTCGTTTTCCTTTTAATAGAGGGAAGAGACGAGCTCCTAGCTTCTCTGAGATTGGAGGAGAGATGCCAGATGAGCATATTCCGGTTTGGCTTCCTGCTTTTCCTGGAACCAAGATGTTGAAGGAGGTTGAGGAGAGTAATGTTGAGAAAGTTGAAGGAGAGGTGAAGAGGAAAGAGAATGGACTGTCTTTGCCGAGTATGCAGCAGTCTGTGGATGTTGATAGGTTAAAAGTTCAGAAATCTATGGATCAAGAGGATGTTCAGGAACCAGCAGAGGAACCGGAGGGTAATCCATTCCTTGCTGCACCAGTTTGGGTTAGTGAGAAGAACGTGCCACCTGTGCTGTGCCCGTCTGAGCCAACAAATGAAGAAGTTAGCATTGGCCTTGTTCCTGAGAAACAAACAAACAAGAGTCATCACATTCCACCCCTTGAGGCACATGCTCTACCTGGCATGATCAACGACGAGAGCAGATTAGGTGGAACGGATGATGGGGAGAAAACAGATAGTGCAAGAACACAACGAGCTTTACTCCGTTTCAAGATTGGAACTCGAAAAGCCTCTATGTGTTGGACAATAAAGCAGAGCTTAAAAGATAAGGGTTGGTTTCTAGAGGATGGAGATAAGAGGGAGAAAAAGGTGGAACGCGAAGAAAAACTCGAAACCATTGACACAGATGTAAATTAGGTATTTTGTGACTTAGAATATGTAGACGGAATACCATTGTTTCTTGAGTTTAGACATAGTTTGCAATTGAATACGTGCCCCGTTAGTGAAATGAGATTTTTTTTTACTGGTTCAAAATACTAGAGGAAGGTGTGTGGTCTTTAGCATCATTTGCTGGTGAAACATTCTTTTTCAAGTGGAGACATAATATCCTCACTTCTACTGAGAATTGATTTCCTTTAAGTGTGGCAGTGTTGATAATTCTAACATTATTCAGAGTTGTTGGAAGAGAAGTGGTGTTTGGTCTAAAATGTTCTGCTTAATGGATCACACATCTTGTACCTTTATCTTAAGTTGAGTCTTTACATAAAAATTAGGAAGAGATCAGAAGAAAGGGTTCAGAGAACCAACAAATCACATGTTTTCTACACTTTAAATTGATGATTTAGATCCTTCTTACAGCTCTACGTACGCATATTAGCAATGGAAAAGCTGCCTGGGTTGCCCACTGAGCATCCCTGGAAAACCTGCAATCTCGCTTGTCACCACTTCACTTATCAAGTCCTTGAATATTAGCCTCTCTATGTCTAACACTAACCCCGGTGTCTCTCCTTCAATCTCCTTCCAGTTCATCCCTTGGCCTTTCAGGTCCTCCCAAATGAGGTCTTCATCATCCTCATCCAAGATACAGTTTGAGTTGTCTTGTAATCGATCAATCTCTGAACAGAGAGTTTCCAGAAGTTCTTTCCCTCTTGAACTTTTGTCTGCTGTCATTAGCGAGCTGATTGATGATGTTAAGTATGGCTGCTTGGTACACCCTTCTGCTGCGAATTTGCGAGCTAAGATCTCGTTGACGTTGTCAAACACCAGCTTCCTCCTGCTTCTCTCTATCAGGTTCGCCGCCTGCTGTTGTCCGAATCCTCTGCCTCTGTGTTTGTTGTCATGTCTCACATTGCTTGTCTTGTTTTGTTCCAGGACAAAGAAAAGGCTTGGATTGATTGGTAGGTGTGCTTGGTGCAGCTGAATGCTTAGCATGCTGTAGTCGATATCTTTAAGAAGTCCTGATGCTAACAGTATCTCTGAGATGTACTTGTGGTCACCATTTCTTAATTCTATGCCTTCTTCCATGACATTCTCAGTAAGTTCAGCATCAGGCTGATTTAGACTCGTGTTACTCTCAGGCCACACAATCGATCTACATAAGTTTGTGTGCTTGTTCATCCACTGGGACTCTTCAGAACGTATATGATCGTCGTCTGTGACAAGAGAAATAGTAAAGGTTAGACCGTCAAACAAATCAAAGTTTGTAATCTGTTTAGAGAGTTACTTTCTCAGATACTCACCTTTAAAGACAATGGATATCTTCCTTACAGGGGATGGTGACTCATCATCGTCGAAGACTACATCAAGAATTGAAACCGGGCTGGGCTGCTCCACCGTAATTTTTAGAGGTTTTGGCAGAGACCTCATTCCCAATTCTGGACTCTGCATTGGTAAACAGATGGACTTAGTGAAACATGTATTAGCAAATAAACTGAGAAGTGAATTTGCGTTACTGCGAAAAGTTTATACCCTTTGTTTTGGTGTGTGCTGCTCCGTTAAGTCACATTTATATCTGCTTGTAACCTCAATGTCAAGGTTAGAGGCCGAGCTTACGTTGCTGTCAGATCTCAGACTTCTCAAGTCACTGCTCTCATCACTTAAACGGTCTTCAGACTGCTGCATGACGCGTGATTTTAACCCTGGTTTTCTTCTGGGGGAGGCTGATTCTGTCTGTTGCCTGCTAAGTTGTTGTCTTTGGATCTTGTTCGGTTCAGGTTTTGGAGACGTTGGTCTAGACTGCTTCTCGAACCCGAGCTTCTTTGGTTGAGTTCTTGGGCTGACACTAGGCTTCTGGTTCTTCCCTGACTTGGCCATCTCGATCTTCGACTGTACTGGTCTGGTGCTAGTGTTTTTTGTTGCAGAATCTGTCTGGCCCTTGTAAAACCCTGGCCTTGGGGTCAATTCCATGGCGCTCTGCTTCCTCTGTGTAACTTTTTGGTTCTGCCTCAGGTTTGAAACCTTGACATTTGGTAAAGCACTCCGTGGCGAGGAAGAGGTGGAGCTAGAGTTACCAATCTCTTTGAAAACTGGAGCAGATGCTGCTTTCATAACCACGATAGAGGAAGATCTGATACTGTTGGACGATGGACTTGGCTGCATATAACTGGTTGAGCTCAGGGAACTGTTGTCATCGTCTTTACTCATCAACTGCTGCGTCTTCTCCATTGCTTCGAGTATCTGCTGTAAAGCTCTGAGATCTTTCTCAGACTTTTTGAACTCAAGCTGCGAAAGCCTCTTCTGTATCTCACCGTAAACCGTCAGCGTTGTAGCAGCGTCTGCTGCTTTGACTTGGTTCTTGGCACCATCCACTTGCGTCCATGGAACTGTCTTCATAGGAAACTTAGCAGGCATCATCTTCTTGATTGTATCAGAACTTCTTGATTCCACTCGGGAAGGTGGCCTCGGAGAGTCGCAGAAGTGGTTCTCTCTGTTCTGATCAGTAACAAGATCGTCTGAAATTACTTCAAGACCCATTAGCTTGGCAATAACACTTGACGTTGTTCTTCTGTGACCCGTTACAAGGTCTTGCGGCTCTGGTGAACAACTAGACTTTGCGCTTCTAAAGGAATTCGATCTACTGTCTAATGACAACCTCGGCGTCTCTTTGAACTTGGCCCCTGTCTTTCTTGTCTCCCTCTCATCGTAAGAGAACCGAGGACTGTCTTTCAGCTTCACAACTCTCCGTCCTTCACTCCATTCATTAGAATTCCGAGATGGTGATGGTTCTTTGAGAAGAGACACGTTAGCTCTGGTTGACTCTTCATCTCTGGGTCTGGTCTCCTTATGAATGGAGCTTCTCACTAGCTCCCTTAAATCACTCGACATCATTAAACCGCCCCACCTTGGCGACCCGTTGGTTGGTTCTCTTACAGGAGTCTCACCATGACTCGTTTGAACCAAACCGGGTTGCTCAAACTGAGAAGCCGTGGTGCTGATATCAGCAGAGGAGAAGCTAGAGGAGCATGGTGAAGAAGAAAAGGACAGCCTCGAGGATGATTCAGAGGAGACAACCTTCTGTTTCTCCTTTGCAGCCTTCTTCTTCTTACTCTTCTCCTGCAATTCCAGTAAAATTCCTTTTAAGATCCATTTTCTTCAGTGAAAATTATCATTTCTGTGCTGGTTTACAGATACTTACCGTTTCTTTGTTGTCCGTTGAAACGTTGGTAACACCAACATTGTCACTTGTTTTTCCTGCAAAATTAAAAACTCTCCAGTCAAATCTAGCTTTTAAGTTTTAACCAATACCTAGTTGTGTTTAGATATACACACTTCTAGATAAGCCTATTAGACACTAGAACATCTATAACAAGTCATGCTCTATAGCTTTGGTTTCTTTCTTATCTTTGTGGTCCTGAATCTTAGATTTAAGATCTTAGTCAGAAACTAGAATACAAAAACGTCTTATGTTGAAGAAGTTTCCCTCTGAAACTTGTTCTTCAGGTTTTAATGGAGAGGACACTGCAAGCAAAGGCTTAAAGAGAGAGAAATGTTACCTAACGGCAGAGACTTAAGCTCATCTCCGGCGACGGAAACACGTCTCGCCGGATAATGTTGCCGGTAAAACACCTGAAAGATACCATTCATACATCCAAACTGTTTGTTCAGATTTGGATTCTCATCTGACAAGTTGTACAAAAGCTTCGCCGACATCTTTTTCTTCTTTAACTCTGGTCTCAGAAGGTTTTGACTCTATAAGACAATGGAACTCTGAGGTTATCTCATATCAGTTCTTGAAAAACTTCAAGAAGTTTATTGTTTCTCCTCTGTTTTGTGTCTCAGAGGAAGAGGAAAAGTAGACAAGAACCCAGTACTAAGACAAAGGTAAAGCTAACTTGTGAAGTTACGACCAGACAGGAAATGAGTTTGCTCTGTGTTTGTTCTCTTGGATGGTTCCTTGAAGAAGAAAGAAGAGAAGGGAAAAAAAGGTTTTTCTGTTTGTGTTGTTTGAGAGAAACGGATCTGTAAAAGGCAAAAGAGCTCTCTCTACAATTATATGGAGAAGCATATATAAACATCTGTTATGTGATGTATATACACATGCGTGTACACATGTATACGTGTGTATTCGTAGATTTATACATATAAGAGAATGTAATTGAATTATTTGATATTTTAAAAAAATATGACCAAACAGTTACAAAAACCCTGCTTGGAAATAATGAGGTATCTATTTTTTATGCATCTCTGATGAAAGTGATGCACATGGAAGCACAGACCAAACTCATTATTTTTATTTTATTTTAACAAGACATGTAATTGGATAAAAATTCTTTATTTTTTCGTTTTATCCATTTATTCCACCGAGTGTATACATCTATATTTAAATGTATCTTTGTGTGTTGGTTAATGTATCTACTCTTACTCATTGTAAAAAACAAGTTACATAGTACAGTTACTAACATTATAAATAATAATCACTGGTACTATTAGTAGCATTATAGATAATAACTAATGAACAGAGAAAGGAATAATAAATGAAAATAAAAGAGGTTTCCTTACACATCCATGTGGACAAAATAATGTGGGTGGGTCTCATAAGTCTTTGGTGCTCTTTTACATCTGCATGTGGAGTTTGTCAGAGACAGACATCAGAATTTTTTATCTTCAAACAAATAAATATATAAAGAGAAAATCCTATCAGAAAATAAAAATGAATGAGAAAACTAATGGCCAAAAACAAAATTACAATTAATAGTTTAGGAAGAAGATTGGTGCATTGAAATAAAGCTTGCATGGTCTTAGATTGGTGGGTCTTACAAAAAAAAGAGTACTTTCTTTTTCTTTTCCGTTTTTTACTTTTGTTTGGGCTTCACAAAAATATAAATTAATACTTAATAGTGTAATACTTATGTTTGAAGACTGATCATATTGTTCCGGGAAATTTGATAATTCTAAATATTCAGAATAATATATACATTTGCACTGTGTTGATTATTTTAAAATAGTATTAAGTAGCTAGCTGTGTTTCACCAATAACATAAATATAATTTGAGGAATTATTATGAGGTAGAATAATGTCTTTTTGGTTTTGTTTTATTTTGATATATATTGATTTGAGAGTTTACGTCATGCGATGTAATCGTTAAACACCTTTTGGGCGGATCACGTGCTTTTGTTCAACGATGTGCTGTGACCAATGTGGGGTTTGATCATACTTATTTGTTTTTATATTAAAATGATTTAGTTTTATTTAATCATTTTATGATTAAAAA